TGAGATGGAACCATGATCTGAACAGAACTATCATCTCCTCTCAGCTGACCGGTTCTGGAGCGGCGTGGGGCGCTGGGTCTAAGGTCCGGTTTGAGGCCCGCTCAGAGGGAAGCTTTGGACATGTCAATGAATCTGAAACCGGATCGTAAAATCTGAACCGTCTCCGGTTCTGTCCGGGTCTTATTTTTAGATCCTCCAACCGTCCTGAGGTCCGTCTCCCACAGAGTTTTCTCCTCTCCGTTTTACCAGATTTTAGTCCAGTACAGCTGGATCCGTTTCCATCCGACCCGGTCCAGGTGCGCTAATCTGGACCAGCAGAACCCAGATCGTTAATCATCAACAGGAAGGAGAAGCTGCTGCTGAGAAGAAGCAGAACCAAACCTCCATGAACCGAGGCGTCAAAACGATAATCCTGCTTCTGCTTCATTGGTTTCAGATCATTCACTGCAAAAAATACTAATTTAAATAAGTACGTTTTTCCTCGAATTGAGGAGGTGAGTGTGACACTTTGCTCATGGAACACGACAATTTAGATGTAAAATAGGAAATAACAATTATTGTCTTATTTCAAGTGCATGTTATCGAATTATCCTAGTTTAATGAAATTTAATTTCCATTGGCATTTTATTTACCTGCTCAAATGAAGGGTAAATACATTTAATTTAAGACATTTATACTTATTTCTAGGTGGTTTTGGCAGTGTAGGAACCGTTTTTATTCTCAGCTGGTTCCATCCGGTCCAAAATGGGCCGGTTCTCTTGGCTTCATTATGGTTCCAGTTCAAGCTTCTTGGATCGGTTTGGTTCTGATCTCCAGATCTTTGCTCTGCTCTGGTTCCTCCCTCCATTCATATTTCCCTTCAGCATCTGGCTCGTCAGACGGAGACCAGGTGTGGAGTCCGTCCGCCTATGGAAAGCCTTTTTAACATAAATTCGGTTCCGTCTGACCATCCACAATTACGTTCCAGATATCTTTAAATACATTTTGACTGTCCGGAATGGTAATGTAAGATATCTGTATTTACATTCTGATTAGGAAGAATAATAATTCAAGATATCTTAAATTACATTTTGCCTAGTCAAAATTCCTTTCAAGATATCTCAAATTACGACAACGGATTAGTCATTTAAAGCGTCACACGCTGGTTTAACTTTTCCTCCTTTGGATCAAACTGACGGTAGGGATTTTTTAAGGAATGATCCTCCTGGAAACCCATTAAAAAGATCATTACACATTTTGACTATATATATCTTTAATGTAAAAGCTGAATAATTCAACATATCTTTAATTAATTTAGAGATATCTTAAAAGGAATTTCGAATAGTCGAAATTACAATTCAAGATATCTTTAAATTTGTTTTGTCTAGTCATCATTTGCTTTTAAAGGCACACTATGCAACATTTTTCAGTTAATTAATGTGTTCCATAACGTTTTGGATGATTAAATGAGTCGTTTCAGGTCGAGCAAAGGTTTTCTCTGCCGCCCTGGTGGTCTGTAGGGGAAATACCGTACTTGCATTTGCAGGAGCCCTTGGCCCGCACCCACAGGCTCAGAAGTCTTGTGCATCGCGAGAGTCGGTCTTGCTTTACGGCGAGAACTGCTACACGCCCTCAGTGAAAGGCGTGCTAGTTGCTAGCGCAGTGGCGATATTTGTGCAGTTATCATGGCGGAACCGGCGAGAATTTTCAAACTCGAAATTTGGAACAAAATAGTCACTTACCGCAGTAGACATGGTGATTCGTTGCGTTTGCCTGTCTGCTAAGCTCAAAACAACCGCGCCTGGCTTTACGGAGAAACCAGGAGAACAGCTGAGCGTATTTACGACAGTGCACTTTTACTTTCGCCCTCTGGGGGGAGCCTCGCTGGAAAATCAACACCGGTTGCATAGTGTACCTTTAAGATATCTATAATTGAGTTTTCACTAGTCAAATCTGCATATCTCCTATCCTAAAATACATTTAAGATATCTTGAATTATGGTGGCATTTGAGATATCTTTAATTAGAATTATGACTAGTCAAAACTAAAATCGAGATATCTTGAAATTACCTTATAACTAGTCATAATTTAATCGTGGATATCTGAAATGTGTATTTCAGATAGTCAGTAATTCCTTCTAGATATCTTAAATTGTCGTCTTCATACAAGTTAATGGTAAATCTGACGTCATTTCACCAGTCAGAATATAATTAGAGATATCTTAAATTGCTAAAACGTCTAGTCATAAAACAATTTGAGATATTGTGAATGTAAAGGTGTTATAACCGAATTTATGTTATAATGGCTTGCCATAGTCCACCTGTCATGTATTGTTGGTTTGGTTGATGTTCAATAGATGAAACTATTGACCCAGTCTGACCCGTCAGACCGATCCGTTAAACTCGGGCTGATGCCGATGCACCCCGGCTGGCTAAGGCTTCGTTCACGCTGCAGCCTGCAGTGAACCAAACCCCATTATTTTTATTTTATTTTTTTACAGTGTCCTGTCTGGCGATGTGGCAATAAGAATAATTGTCTTGATGCCAAAAAGAGCGCAACAGATTTTACTTTCACAAGTGGAGCAGTACGGTGATAGCCGCTTGTTTCATGCGTATAAATTGCTTTATTATAATTATGCAGGGAGTTTTACAGTTTATATGGACACTGCGATGTAAGTAGAGCAGAAAAACAAGAAGAAGAAAAGAAAAAAAGAGAAAAGATGAAAGAAAGAAGAGATAGAAAGGAGATAATAGTTATATTATTTTTTTGCTCATATGTGATCTGGATCTGATCTTTTCACGACAGTCTGAACAGCTCACATCTGATTTTTCTGGAATGCGACCCAGAACAATTGTCTGTGATCCTGAATCTGATACGAATCGGATCTTTTCAAATGCGATCTGTGTCTGAGCAGCCAGGTCGCATTCATCCGACCTTACGCCATTAATACCCGACATAGGTCAATATTCTGCGTCTTGCTATGAAGAAGCAGCAAGAAGACGATGATGCGGAGATTAGATGAAAAGATTGTGTTTTTTAGGGTTGGGAAAGATCCTAGATGAGCTCCAGTGTTCTCAGATCGGCATACCTCTGGTCAATACGCATGCGCCAGACGTCAGTTTTGCATTTATTCCTTTAGTTTATATGAAAAATAGACTTTAAACGACCTCAACAGGCGTGTTTCCCTTTAGCCCCTTAAGCCCTGAGGGTCTTAGGTCCAATTAGTGCCTGAAATTCCATATGTGAATTAAAGCAAGTACAGCTCACAAACTATAATTGTTTGTATTTGTATAAAAGAAAAGCGTTGAGGAATATTTCTCAGGTGGAACCACTATTTTAAATGTCACCATGTCTGATTTATAAACAAAGAAAAGAAAAAATTTTACCTCGTCACATTTTTTCCCCAAAATAAACTCTGCAAAACTCCATAAAGCCCGTTTGAAAATCTGGATGAACCCTCAGACTTTATAGATCCTCATCTTGACTCTAAGTCAGGCTAATCTGGACTGAATAAGTTAAAGCTTGTTTGTTCCACAAAGGTTTCAGTGGACAGAGGGCTAGGAGGAAATATGATTTTGGTACAATGCCAAAAAATGCAAAAAAGCATCTTTCCACTCATAAAAGGAAATCTGGTCAGACAAATATTCTGATTTAGATTATTGGAGACCTTCTGCATCCTTTGCTCCTAAGATTTACTCATCTCATTGAAATGTACCAATAATTCCACCAAACTGAATAGAAAATAGGAACAGAGTAAGGTTATGTAAAGCGTGCCGGTTACATCACCTGAAATGGTCGCACAATGACCTCCGACCCCTCCTTGGAAAGGCCTGAGCCTCTAGTTTCCAATGATCCTGGCCATTAGTGGGCGGGGCTAAAAATAAAAACGTAATGTTGCATTGCTCCCACCGAGTCCTAGCCTCGTGAGACCATCCTGATCTCGCGAGCTTTCAAGGTTTCACTCGCAGATCAGTCTGGAGACTCTCCGTTAAAGGAAATTTGGAGCCGTTCACCAAACGAACGTCCAATCAGCGTTGGCTTTGAGGCGGGTTGAGGTGTGACGCAACGAGAAGCGCCACAGTTCAGTCTAAAGAACATGGCGGCTTCAGCCGATGTAACTAGCGTTAGGGTGGCTATGGAGCAAGTTTTATGGGAATTACAGAGTATTTCTTCACTGAAAGAAGAGCAAAACACTGCTCTGGAGGCTTTTCTCAGAGGAAAAGATGTTTTTGCTCTTCTCCCGACTGGTTTCGGCAAGAGTTTGATCTATCAATTGGCTCCTCTTCGTCGTCGCTCTGTTAGTACGTCATATACTTCGTTGGTCTGATTGGTTTATTTGGTCCGTCTATCACCAACATAGGCCAATCAGCTAACCAGTATTTTCGCCCATTAAAATTACTTCAACAGAAGGTTTCCAGATGGATATGCGGAGCCAATCCATGTTGGAGACTCAGAAAGTCCCCCATCTAAGGTGGAATTTTAAATCTCATTTTATTTGTTTACACAGCTATAAAACAAAAAGTATTCGTGAATTTTGTATTTTTTTTCTGGAAAGATGTAGAAATTTTAAAGAAATTAGAAAGGCGAGTGGATGAAACACCATGTGACTGTTTTGGCTATTTCTATAATCAGCTGGAGTCAGCTTCACTAAAAAAAAATAAATAAAAATTAAATAGTTTTTTTGTACATGACTAAAGGGATAAACGGGTATTGACTGTGGGTGTGCTGAGCTGACAGAATGTACCGTCCATGTTTGCTTCTGTAAACTCGGAGCACGCTGGCCTGTGACATCATTGCGTTCTCTACTGCTCATGCGGGACGCTTGCGTTGTACGAATGCAGTTCACACAGGAGATCATATCCAAGTCGCATATGTTTGGAAATGTGAACGGCAACGCAGCAAAAACTAAATAAAAAATCAGATTTGGAACCTCTGCCGTGTTTCTCCCGTTTTTAACCCGGGTTAGACTGGGTTTGTTGGTTCTGTGCTGCTTCTGCTGATGAGCTGAATGTTTCCCGCAGGGCAACGATGAGGAGGCCGTGTTGGACCAGGGCAAGACCAGCTCCACCCTGCACACCAACTTTGAGAAGGAGGAGCTGGAGAGTGAGTCTTTACCAACACACACACACACATGTTGTGTCACAATATCCTTGTGGGGACCTTCCATTGACTTCCATTCATTTCCCACTAATTTATATGGCCTAACCATGACCCTTGCCCTAACCCTAACCATTACCAACACATACCTATCCCTAAACCTAACCTAAACTCAATTCACACCTTAGTCCTAAACCTAACCGCCCCCCCAAGAAGAGAAACTTTCCTTATGGGGACCAGTTGTTGGTCCCCACAAGTACCTATGAGTCCCCAAAATGTAGCATATTCCTAGGAAATTGTCCCCACCAGGTATTAAAGACATGGCCACACACACACACACAGAGCGGCGGTGCAGGGAGGGGCCTGCAGGCTGTGTGTTCAGCCCAAACACAGAGTAACAAAACGGGCCGGCTGTGTTTTCTCTGGGTTCAGTCATGCTGATCCACCTGGAGGAGACATTTCTGAACCAGCATCAGGTCCCTGACTCCTGGTTTTCCTGGAAATTCCCATTTCATCGGATTAAGTCAGAAACTTCTGGACCATTTGGGCTCGTCACTCTTTTCCACATCAGCTAAAAAGAGTTTAGTCTTTAATTCAATTCAGTTCATTTCTATAAAGCCAATTCACAACACGTCATTCAAGGCGCTCTCTTCATCCTCTGACATGGGAGCTGGCTCGGAGCTCGTCTGCCTGACTGACTTTGAATCAATCTGACTGGATGATCTGGTGAACTGGAAAGGGACCTGAGATGACATGATGTGAATTGGAGCTATAGAAATAAACTGAATAGAATTTGTATATTGCCCACCCCAATCTGTTTTCTACATTTTAAAGTTGTAGGGAAGTCATAGTTAAATGTCTTAAACATGTTAAACATCTAAAAATTTTCTTTTTATCAGACCATATCGTCCCAAAATCTTCTATTAAAAAAAAATCCTGTCTTAAAATCTTTTCTTTTTCCGTTATCTTCTGCAGGCCAGTTAGTTCTACGTCAGCCTGAACACCTAAATTCAATTCAATTCAGTTTATTTATATAGCGCCAAATTCACAACACATGTCATCTCAAGGCACTTTACAGTTCAACCAGATCATACAGTCAAATTGATACAAAGTTTTCTATCTAAGGAAAACCAGTTGATTGCATTGACTCATTGACTCAAATACAATCCCTCACACTAAGCATGCTTGTAGTGACAGTGGAGAGGAAAAACTCCCTTTTAACAGGAAGAAACCTCCAGCAGAACCAGGCTCAGTGTGAGCGGCCATCTGCCGAGGCCGACTGGGGTTCAAGGAGACAGAAGCATAGATACAAAAAGCAGCTGTAAAAGGCGGCCCCGTCCAGGAAACACACAGCCAGGCAGACGAGCTCCGAGCCAGCTCCCATGCCAGAGGACGAAGAGAGCACATCCACTCAGTCACGGTCAGAGAAACAGGACTACACTGGAAAACAGGCCAAGCTCCAACATCTAGAAACAAAGGTGTTGATGGCAGCAGCACAGCTGATATTTCTCTCCAGGATGGAGTCACAGCCAAACAGGAACAGACCAGATGAAGCTACTATGAGAAAAAGCAGAGAGAGCAGAACGTTAGAGATTGAACTAACAGATTCTGCAGAGTGGGAGAATAGAGATAGAATGAAGCAGAATGATGAAAAAGGGGTCCCTATGTCCTCCAGCAGTCTAAGCCTATAGCAGCATAACTATAGAGATAGCTCAGGATAACCTGAGCCACTCTAACTATAAGCTTTATCAAAAATGAAAGTTTTAAGCCTAGCCTTAAAAGTAGACAGGGTGTCTGCCTCACGGACTAAAACTGGTAGTTGGTTCCACAGGAGAGGAGCCTGATAACTAAAAGATCTGCCTCCCATTCTACTTTTAGAAATTCTAGGAACCACTAGTAAACCTGCAGATTGAGAGCGAAGTGCTCTGATAGGAACATAAGGAACAATCAGATCTCTGATATCAGATGGAGCTTGGCCATTTAAGGCTTTATATGTGAGAAGGAGGATTTTAAATTCTATTCTTGATTTAACAGGAAGCCAATGAAGAGAAGCCAGGATAGGAGAGATATGATCTCTCTTTTTTATTTTCATTAGAACTCTGGCTGCAGCATTTTGGATCAGCTGAAGGCTTTTAACTACAGTTTGTGGACTTCCTGATAGTAAAGAATTACAATAGTCCAGCCTTGAAGTAACAAATGCATGGACTAGTTTCTCAGCATCACCCCTGGACAGGAGATTGCTCATTTTTGCAATGTTCCTCAGATGAAAGAAGGAAATTCTAGAAACCTCTTTGATATGGGATTTAAATGACAGGTCCTGATCAAAAATAACACCAAGATTTTTTACTTTATTATCTGAAATCAGTTTAATCCCATCCAAATGAAGTGACTGGCTAATCAGCTTCTTTTTCAGAGACTCTGGTCCAAAGACTATAACTTCTGTTTGTCTGCATTCAGAAGCAGAAAGTTAAGAGTCATCCAGGTTTTTATGTCTTCAAGACATGCCTGTAATCTATGTAATGGGTTAGCTTCATCTGGATTATAGACAGATATAGCTGGGTATCATCAGCATAACAGTGAAAATTAATCCCATGCTGTCTAATAACTCTACCAATTGGGAGCATGTATAAAGTAAAGAGAATTGGTCCTAGCACTGATCCCTGTGGTACTCCACAGGTAACCTTTGAGCGTGTTGAAGATCTATCATTAACATGAACAAACTGAATTCGATCAGATAGATAAGATTTAAACCAGTCTAGTGCTGTTCCTTTAATTCCAACAAAATATTCAAGTCTTTCTAAAAGAATATTATGGTCAACTGTATCAAATGCAGCACTAAGATCCAACAGGACGAGCACAGATACAAGTCCATTATCTGAGGCCATGAGAATATCATTAGTGACTTTCACCAGAGCTGTTTCAGTGCTATGATGAGCTCTAAAGCCAGACTAAATTCAGCCAATCATATAATCAACGGTCATCTGTCAATCAAATGTTTTCGGTCATAGCATCTTGATTCATGTGTCGCAGCTAATATACGCAACAGTTGAAACCAGAATTCTTTCCTTTTCCATTGAGTTGCGTCCCAGTGTTCACGGGGATGGACGTCTGTGTCTTCGGCAGGCGTAGAGCTAACAGAACTGGCAGCGTTGCGAGGCAAGGGCTCAAACATGTACGGCTGGAAGCCTTCTACACCAAACCAAGCTTCTGCTGCCCTGGCGTCCTCTTCCACAACATCTTCGTCCCCGCTTTCCTCCTCTAAATAAAAAATGGATGACGGAGGAGACTGATCCACGACCTCCGACACTAAACTCTCCTCCTCTTGCATGTTTCCTCTGTCCATAGCGTTCCTTGACAGCGTCGTTTCTAAGTCACCAATTTAGTGCTACTTGGTCCCAATGGAATTTCCCATTGGGAACCTGCTAGCACTAAGATGCTAACTGGTTAGCCTTTATTCACTCGTGTAAAGTCGGGCACCACTCGGGAGAATTCAGAAATGCAACCGTTGGAACGGCCGCTTTCCTACGACTTTAAAAAGTGATATTTCTTCTCTAGGCTTGACATCAGTGAATGTTTAACAGATTTGCTCCTGGTTCTCTTGGCCTTCAGATGAAGCAACACTAAAACCTTCTGGTTTCTCCCTCAGGCCACAGAGCCGTGTATGTCGGCGTTCACGTCCCTTTGGGCCGTCAGAGCCGGAGGCGGCACCGCCACAGAGGACACAGACATCATCGGAAACGGCGGGACCGCTCTGACCGGGAGGATGGGCGAGAATCTCCGTCTTATGGTCTGTATGGGATCGGTGCGTCCCCCGCTGGGAGGCGTCCGATGAGGCAGCAGTGACGGAGGGTCTGACCTTCTCGCCGCAGACACGCCGTCCCAGAGGGTCCAGTTCCTGCTCGGCACGGAGGACGACGACGAGGAGCACATCCCCCACGACCTGTTCACCGAGCTGGACGAGCTGGCCTTCAGAGACGGGCAGGCCCAGGTGTGGAAGGAGACGGCCAGGTGAGCTCAGACGTCCTGTGATCCTTCTGAACCGTCCGCATCAGCGTCTCTGCTGCTTCATGCTTTAGTCTTTCTGGACCGGATATTTGGGAGATGCGCCATTTACTAAAGTGTAAATGTAACGAAAATCGTCTCCAGCCAAGAGTTTCCTCCATGGCTAAAACCAGGGAACATACATGAGGCTCAGTGGATTTAGTGCAAGAAGTCATTCAAGCTCAGAACGATGGGAATTAAGGCAGTGGAGTCGCACATGCGAAGCACGAAACACAAAGCGTCAAAATGGAGTTACAGAGAAACAGCCGGTATTTCTCAGTTTAGTTCCACCCTTGTCTCTGCAACGCCTCCACTTATCACCAAATCAAACATACTAAGAAAACCATACAAAGAAAAATAGCTGCAAAAAAGTAGGGATGCACAATATTGTGATTTTGGTCGATATCCGATATGCCGATATTTTAAAACTCATGTAGCCGATAACCGATATCGATACCGATGTTAAAGCTGGACAAAAATAAGTAGTCATTGAAAATAGCAGTTTTGTTATCCATTTCTGACACTTTGAAAAATAATATACTCAAATATATTTTCATATGCTGATATCAAATAGATTTTTAAAAACGCGGTATCGATCTATTTTACTTTCAAAATCTGGTGAAATTTCATCGTTCTGTTACAAACTCTCGTGATATTTTGCAAATTCTTGTGAGATTTTGTTAGTAAAATAGATCGATACCGTGTCAATATATCAACATATAAAAATATGGCAACATTTGGTGAATGTTTGGGGGAATTTCGTAGCATAACGATGACATATAGCAATATTTCATTAGTAAAAGAGATTGATATGGTGTTTTTAAATGGCAATATATCAGCATATGAAGATATTGGGATATTTTAATGGATCAATATTTTTTCCCTCGTCTTTAGAAGTTTTTAAGTCTGTAAAAAAGAAGTTTTTGAGGAAGAAGAAGAAGTAGTATTTTTATTTTTTTGTTAGACTTTAGAAACTCAGAAGCTGATCAAATATCGGGTCAAATATCGGTGGGGGGGCCGATGTCCGATATTCAGGTTTAAGGCTGATACCGATAGGGGGCCGATTATATCGTGCATCCCTACAAAAAAGACTTAGCACTGGTTATGTTGGGGCTTTAAAACTGATTAGTTTTGTTCCCTGCTAAAACAAAGTTTGTGAATTCAGTTAAATAATTGTTCAAATATATCTGTCATTTGTGTGTTTTTAGTTTCTTCCTGTATGGGAAGCTTTTCAAAATGTGAAACATTAGTGCAGTGGTTTATGTTAAAATAAACCTTTAGGTTAAGTTGTCGCAAGCAGGTTTTTCTTGTGTTTCTTGTGAATTTTGTCTTAAATTTTTATATCAAGTGGCGTTAAAAAGTCTTAAAAAGTATTAAATTTAACTTCCTTTATGCTGTAGGAACCCTGTTAAAAACAAACAACAGATCCAGATCTTACATTCCAGATTCCACTACCTACCATGTTTTTATTATCATCTCTCTTTCCCATATTTAATTTTCTGTGTCCAGATGTTTTATTTTACTGGACCTGCTAACTTCCGCCCTCAGTTAGTGACGCCATGAAGGCGTTAACCCAGCAGGTCTCCCCTGCAGCGTAACGGGGGTTTTTGCTCCGAGGCTCAGCGGTGTGGTGCGGAAGGAAGATGCTGCTGCTGAAGTGTTGTTCTGTCCGTGTTCAGGTGGCTGAAGTTCGAGGAGGACGTGGAGGACGGCGGCGAGCGTTGGAGTAAACCCTACGTGGCCACTCTGTCCCTGCACAGCCTGTTCGAACTGCGGTCCTGCATCCTGAACGGCACCGTGCTGCTCGACATGAGAGCCAACTCCATCGAGGAGATTGCAGGTCAGCCGGCCGGTCGACGGCGAGCCGCTCGCTCGTTTCAGCTCGTTAAACACCTGCTGTGTCCTCCTCTCAGACATGGTGATCGACAGCATGCTCGCCTCCGGCCAGCTGGAGGAGGAGCTGCAGGACAAGGTGAGGGAGGCCCTGCTGAAGCGTCACCACCATCAGAACGAGAAGAAGCTGAGCAACCGCATCCCGCTGGTCCGCTCCTTCGCAGACATAGGCAAGAAGCACTCCGACTCCCACCTCCTGGAACGTAACGGTGAGGCTCCGGCGCTCCTGTCATCCTGCGCCCCATTCTCTGCTTTCAGTCCAAACACGGACGATCGGTTGATCATCCCATCCTGGTTTCTCCTCCTTTAGTTTCCGTCTTCAGCCTCCAATCCAACTCTGGTGAAGTTTGGGCTTTAAATGGTCCTGGGAGCTTCACCTTTAGAACTTATTATTGAGGGAATTTTGTTTATTTCTTGAATTTAATCAGAATATTTGAATCTTTATCGTCGGGCAGAGTAACAGGATGACACGGCGGCGGGTGTCTGGTTGGAGCATGTCAGCATGAACGCGGAAACCAGAAACCTGGTCCTCATGTGGTAAAGTTCTCGTCTTTGAGCTGCGTGTGGGTGTGGCCTTCGACTGTCATGACGTCTCATTAACAGAGTGTTTAATGATCAGCTGAAGCTGTCGTGTTATTGGACCCGCCTGCTGGGTCGGCTAGCTAACAACCAGCTAACAACTCATAACGATGAATATTGGTTGTGGGGTCTCATTAGAGGATGAGAGGTGTCCATACGCCAACTTTCAGCCATCAGTGGGAAACTTGTTTTATTCTTCTGGTTCAATTTGCATGTTTTCTAAGTTTTTTGGGCTGTTATATAAAGCTTTGAACTCAACACTGATTCTGATATTTTGAATTGAAAAACCTTCCTGGATGGGAAGCAAAATGTCTTCAAACTTGGAAACAAAGTCAGTAGATTGTTTTTTAACTTTTTTGGAAGCAAGCATACATATCCTAACTAATATATTCTAATAACCTAAAACAAAATGCATGGTCTGGTTGTTCCATGTCAGGTACTCCGGTCATTGACTTGACTCTACCTCACAGTAGAACTGCAGTCAGTCCCTGGGCTAGCATGGCTATCGCTGCCCCTACAGGGTTAGCATGGCTATCGCTGCCCCTACAGGGTTAGCATGGCTATCGCTGCCCCTACAGGGTTAGCATGGCTATCGCTGCCCCTACAGGGTTAGCATGGCTATCACTGCCCCTACAGAGTTAGCATGGCTATCGCTGCCCCTACAGAGTTAGCATGGCTATCACTGCCCCTACAGAGTTAGCATGGCTATCACTGCCCCTACATAGTTAGCATGGCTATCACTGCCCCTACAGAGTTAGCATGGCTATCACTGCCCCTACATAGTTAGCATGGCTATCACTGCCCCTACAGAGTTAGCATGGCTATCACTGCCCCTACATAGTTAGCATGGCTATCACTGCCCCTACAGAGTTAGCGTGGCTATCACTGCCCCTACAGAGTTAGCGTGGCTATCACTGCCCCTACATAGTTAGCATGGCTATCACTGCCCCTACAGAGTTAGCGTGGCTATCACGGCCCCTACATAGTTAGCATGGCTATCACTGCCCCTACAGAGTTAGCATGGCTATCACTGCCCCTACAGAGTTAGCGTGGCTATCACTGCCCCTACATAGTTAGCATGGCTATCACTGCCCCTACATAGTTAGCATGGCTATCACTGCCCCTACATAGTTAGCATGGCTATCACTGCCCCTACATAGTTAGCATGGCTATCACTGCCCCTACATAGTTAGCATGGCTATCACTGCCCCTACAGAGTTAGCGTGGCTATCACTGCCCCTACAGAGTTAGCGTGGCTATCACTGCCCCTACATAGTTAGCATGGCTATCACTGCCCCTACATAGTTAGCATGGCTATCACTGCCCCTACAGAGTTAGCATGGCTATCACTGCCCCTACATAGTTAGCATGGCTATCACTGCCCCTACATAGTTAGCATGGCTATCACTGCCCCTACATAGTTAGCATGGCTATCACTGCCCCTACATAGTTAGCATGGCTATCACTGCCCCTACATAGTTAGCGTGGCTATCACTGCCCCTTCATAGTTAGGGACTCATTTCCCAATGGAATCAGCTTTATAGTCATGTTGGGAGACTTCTTTGATTTTATTTATTTAGCTCAGGCTACTCGTAGGCCCACCGTCCGCCAAATGTTGAAAGGGCCAAATTACACAGCATATCACGGTCTAGCGCAGGTCTGCTCAAGTTCAGTCCTCAAGAGCTACAATCCTGTAACTTTTAGATGCAGCTCTTCTCTAACACACCTGAATCGAAACGCTCAATCCCCTCATTTAGCCCAGCAGAGGCAAGGTAACGAGCCACTCATTTCATTCAGGCGTGTTAAAAATGGGTGCATCAAAAAGTACTGGACTTGAGCACTGCTGGTCTAGCAGTTTTTTGTTGTTTTTTTCCCCAGTTTTGTTATCTATCAGTTAAAACTTATTCGGTCATTAGACACGCTAACGCTACAGATGCTCCTGACTCGGCACAGTGCCGCTGTGCGATGCTACTATCGTTTAGCTTTGTTCTCCACTGCGGTCAAAGGTTTTATTTTATTCTCAATATTTTTATTGACTACGGGAGAAATGTGACCTTTGGCTGAAAGTTTCCACCAAATGTGGATCTGGATCATTCGAAGCCAAATCTTCGTCATATTTGTGTCCATGGCAAGCAGCCTGATGATGTTTTTGGTTATGGGGGAATGGCTCCGTTTCCGTGGTAACCCAGAGTGTTGCTGTGAAGCCAGTTTGCGTTTTTGCATGACTTGGTTTGATCCGGTTGGTCTCCGATCGATGCTCAGCGTCTGTTTTCTTCCTCCTCTCTTCAGGGGAGGGCCTCTCCTCCTCACGCCCCTCCCTCTTCCGCCGCCCCTCCCAGGCCTCCTGCTGCACCCCTCCCCCGTCCCCCCGTGCATCCTACGTGTTTGGACGCCTCCTCTCTGGCCACTCCTCCTTCCCCCGCAGCGCTCCCACCCTTTACGGCCAGAACAGGCACCTGTCGGAGCCCCTCCCACCTGGACTGAGCCTGCCTCTTCATGGCCACGCCCCCTCAGGAGGAGCTCCACGCCGCCGCTCTGCCCCGGAGAAGCTGATTGGAGGAGATGGGATTCCTGAGGTGCTGATTTTCCCTCCTGAGGAGGAGACATTTACCCCGGATGAGGTCCAAAACCAGCAGGCTCCTAGGGGCCAAGCAGGCAAATAAGATGCATGGCATGGCGTCCAACCCCCCCCCCCAATCCCACCCCCGCTGGTCCTACTAACATCCTGCTCTTCTTTTTATCTTCTGATCAGCTGCTGCATCAGACTCTGCTCTAGATGAAGGAAATAACCCTGACATACCCTGTCTATAAATTTTAGTTCTATATCCCTGTAACTTATAACTGTTTCGCATATTTAATTATCTTTTTATCTTTTTATCTCATTCAGTAACCTAGTAGGTTCCTGCTTTGTTATATTTTATAAATGTGTCCCAATCAATGTATAGGAAAACGTTTTTTCTTTTTTTCTAAACGGCATATAATCTAGCTGGCAAATTAATTGGCTAAAATGTATCTATCCATCTATCTATATCTATCTCTGTCTTTCTCTATCTATGTCTATCTTACTATATACATATCAATCTCTATCTATGCATCTATCTCTATATCTATCTGTCTTGATCTATCTATATGTGTCTCTAATTATATCTGTCTCTCTGTGTCTCTGATCTATCTATCTCTATGTATCTCTACCTCCATCCATATATCTATGTATCCATTCATGTGATGGATGAATCCTGCCGATACCAGACTTGCTTCAATTGATGGAGAGATTTCCATCCCAGTCAAAAGGATTATACCAGGGAGGGAAACGGAAGAAAAAGAGAAAACTTTTGAATGAATCGTTAATCCACCGATTTAAATCAATCAACATTTGGGGATTTCCTTAACTGATTATTTGTATCCCTAATATGAAACTTTAAACGCATCATATGCTGCATGAAAATGCTTCTGATTTGGCTTCTGAAGGTCAAATGTTCAGATATCCAGTCACCATGAAAACATGAGCTCCTTTAACATCCCGGCTTTCTTTGTGGAAAGTTGTTGCAGATCTGTGGTTCAGATGGAATCCTGAGATGTTTGAAAAGCAAATCGGGGCCGACGGCCTGCATGAGCCACGGCATGATCGGTTAATGATCTACAGGTGTCAGCTGGAGCCGACCAGAACGGGTCCAAATCCCTGATTCCTCATTACCTGAGCAGCCGTTTGCTTTCTGAGGCAAACAGGAACGAGTCACAGAGCGTGACGAGCAACGGTGTCAGCAGCTATGAGACAGTTTGCAGCAGTTCCTCTTTCCTGTCCGACTCGACCTCGGCCGCCTGATCCGATCCCTCAGGCCCTGCTCGGATTATTGGATCAGTGGTTCTAGCAGGCTGACGCAGAGACTGGAGTTACTGGACCGTGACTGGACCCTGAACCACAGGCTGACCCTTTCTCTGCCTGTGTGTTCCTGCTCAACGTGGGGAAATTTAACTGCTCCTCACTTCCTGCTCTGCTAACAGATTTAGCACTGAGGGATGAATCGAGGGTCGGTTAGCGATTTAATTCACAACACATGTCATTTCAAGGCACTTTACAGTTCACCAGATCATCCAGTCAGGTTGCAGACAGAAGCGGACATAGAAAAAGAAGCATAGATACAAAAGGCAACTCTAAAAGGCGGCCTCGTCCAGGAAACACACAGCCAGGCAGACGAGCTCCGAGCCAGCTCCCATGTCAGAGGATGAAGAGAGCACATCCAGTTAGTCACAGTCAGAGAAACAGGACTACACTGGAAAACAGGCCAAGCTCCAACATCTAGAAACAAAGGTGTTGATGGCAGCAGCACAGCTGAGAGCCCAGAACGTTAGAGATTGAACTAACAGATTCTGCAGAGTGGGAGAATAGGGATAGAATGAAGCAGAATGATGAAAAAGGGGTCCCTATGTCCTCCAGCAGTCTAAGCCTATAGCAGCAGAACTATAGAGATAGATCAGGATAACCTGAGCCACTCTAACTACAGAAAATATCATTAACAGAACCGGGACCTCGTCAGCCTCAGAAAAGTAACTGTATGAATTAAGGTCAAAACTCCGGTTCTGGCCTAAAAGACAATAATCCTGAGGTTTGATGATTGAACATCTGGACATTTTCAGTACATTGTGATAGAAAATTAGTGAAAGGGCTTTAAAATGTGCAGGAAGTGCGGTTGAGGTCAGGATGGGTTTTTAGAAGGTGGTTCTGACTGTCCGTCTCTGCAGGGCTGCTGGCGTCGCCTCAGTCGGCTCCAGGGAACCTTGACAACAAAATCAGCGAAGGGCGCATCAGTGGAGGCAGCAGGGAGAACAGCACGGTGGACTTCAGCAAGGTAACCAGCTCACACACCCGCTCCAGTTCTGAGAAACAAAAGAGGTTATGGGAGGTGGACTTAGAACCCACCGCGGGCCTTCATCATCTGCCACAACCCGACAAATCTGAGCAGAAACCTGTGAATGGGAACTTTTCCGACAGGCAGTGGTTTACCTCTGTACCGCCGACCCGTTTCTTTCATAGGTGACGCTGTAGGAACCAGATCTGTTGGGGTCCTCCTTCCTGCCAGTGGCGTTACGCTACATGATTGGCTGAACGTTGCCACATGATGTAAAACATTGTGGTTGCCTAGCGTCATGGTGCCAAGTCACGAGCATCTGTAGCATTAGCGCGTCTAATGACCTATGAAGTTTTACCTGATGGATAACAAAACTGAAAAAAATCTGTTTCTGGTGAACAAAGTAACTGTTAGAGCGTGATATAAAGAGCTGGGTAGCGCTCAGTAGCTAACAGGTTAGCCTCTTTTAGCTCAGTCAGTTAGCCATATTAAGCTACACAACTTTTATTTTCTACAAATAGAATAAGTTTTATGTGTCTAATCTTAATAGGGCTTGGTCTTCATGACGTAAGCACTTTGCGTCGCCGCCATCTTGAATGCCTCTTTTACCGCTGCTTATACTACTACCTACAACTACCGCGTCTTGTACTCCCTCCCAGCCGTGTTTTAATTTGATTAATTTCACCTTAACTTGATTTCAACCATGGTAAACCGTTGCTGTATTGTGGGCTGTAACAGCGCAACACTTGATCGCCATGGAAACATAGAAAATGGGTTAACTTTCCACCGCTTTCCTGCCTGGAGGCGTAACCACGGAGACCAAGCGTCAGAGATAAAGAGTCGTCGGCTAGCTTGGATCGCGGCTGTAAGACGAGCGAACATAACTTTCCACAGTATTCCAATGTCATTGAGAGTGTGTTCCCTGCATTTTCATTCTGGTAAGTTAAAGATGCACGGTTTTATTTTATAGCCTACAGTGTTTCTTTCCTTCAAAGTTGGGATCTTTTATGGTAAAATAATAAAAACGGCAGCGGGAAAAGGCTCAAATACGCGAGAAACCCGGAGGGTTGGCAGTTAACGTTACTAACTACACCTTTGAAACACATAGCAGCTAGTTAAAAGTACATTACATGCGTGAGTGGTTGTTAGCACTAGCGGTTAGCAGTTGCTAAACTAGCAGGTTCCAGAGCCCGTCTGGTCACAGCTTACCTTCGTACGGATTACTGTGTTCCCACTGTTTGCTGGCTTTATGATCTGCAGCTCCTGAACCCATCCATTCATGAACTGCACATGAGACTCCAAGGACTTGTAGCTTGGGAACTGTTTTGAAGTATAGGCGCTCACTCATCGGTGCTCCACTCATTGTTTGGAACTTTATATGGATCCAAATGATTAATAATGCTGATTTTGTCAACATACCGGTCCCTGGCTTCTCTATTTAATGTGTCCCGGTAAATTCCAGATCCTTTTCGGGATTTTAACATCTTTTTTCTCTCTACTTCTACGTCTCTTCTTTCAACAACAACATTGTATCAGAGCTATGTTTACGTTCGTGTAGCCCTCAATATGGCCGCCACGTCCCACAATGCAACGCGGATCCCGAGCCTTATAACAATAATTTTTTGTCACCTTATTAAATGGCAGAGCTTTAGATCATCAAGGAAATGTAAAATAATAGCAAATATAGGTAATAATATGTTGAGACTCTGAAAGAGATTTGATCCTTCAGCAATGGATGCAACACAGTTTGTGTGAGTGGAGTTGCCATATGTTGATGTCATAAGAAGGGGCGGGGCCTCGAGCAGATCTGGTATCTACACCAGCACCAAGCAGTCCTCCAATAGCGTATTAATCTATCACCATGGTAACACTTATTGTTTGTCTTCCAAGATGGGGGTGTCTTTAAGTTTTATGACCTTGTTATAAATGTTTTATAATGGCTTCATGTGGGAAAGAAAAATCTGCTGAGTCACTGTCAGACACGATGGTTTAAAACAACAGGAATCAGCAGCTCAGTATACCCATATTAGGAATGTTGGAGGCAGGAGCATTTCTATATCTAGAGGATAATCACTCATGCTCAGTCTGTGAGCGTTGCATAGATTCTGGTTCAGTAGAGGACAGATTCAGTCTGATTAGCTCAGGGGGATGAAGGCCTTCCTCACACAGATTAGTTCCAGTGGTTACGGGAAACACTTCCTGTTGCCCTTTCTAACTCGAGACTTAATGCAGAAATGAAAAATAAAATTGGAGAATGCATTTTAAAGACAGGAGAAGGAGGTGGGGTAGGAGAAGAAGCTGCTGGAGTTGATGCGTAGTTTTAAATAATGTCGACTTAGGTAGGCCGTTTTAGAATTTGATAAAAGCACTCTGTTGTTCCATTTGTAGATCACTCAATGTAGATCATTACTGGTCAAATCACTACTAGAATGAACTGTAATAACTGATTTTCTAAATCAGGAAGCAACATGCTAGGAAACTGGAGAGAACATTGCACTCACTAATGACTTTCTCATTGTATCTGTGCTCGTCCTGTTGGATCTCAGTGCTGCATTTAATCCAGTTGATCATAATATTCATTTAGAAAGACTTCAATATTTTGTAGGAATTAAAGGAACAGCTCTAGACTGGTTTAAATTTGATCTATCTGAGTGATTCCAGCTGGTTCCGGTTCTCTTGCTCTCTGACCCAGTCTGACTGTCTTTCCTCCAGACTCTGAGGCCTTTTGATTCTTTTGGTGACGTAAACACGAAGCAAGAGCAGATTCTGTAAGATTATTAATCTCCTTTTGGGGACGCTCTAAACGTTCTGGAAGCGGACCGTTAAGAGCGCCCCGCTTCCAGAACGTTTAGGGCGTTCCGCCTCTAGAGCGTTTAGAGCGTCCCGCTTCCAGGGCCTCTAGAGCGTCTTGCTTCCAAGGAGTCTAGAGCGTCTCGCTTCCAAGGAGTCTAGAGCGTCCCGCTTCCAAGGAGTCTAGAGCGTCTCGCTTCCAAGGAGTCTAGAGCGTCCCAGGGCGTCTAGAGCGTTCCAGGGCATCTAGAGCGTTCCAGGGCGTCTAGAGCATCCCAGGGCGTCTAGAGCGTCCCGCTTCCAGGGAGTCTAGAGCGTCTCGCTTCCAGGGAGTCTAGAGCGTCCCAGGGCATCTAGAGCGTCCCAGGGAGTCTAGAGCATCCCGCTTCCAGGGCATCTAGAGCGTCCCAGGGCGTCTAGAGTTTTAGTTTATTTAAAAAAGCCCTAAGATCGTCCCACCAGGAGGCTGGCGTATACCTCTGTAACCAAGGGAGCGCAGAGGTATGCCTGCTAGTGACGGTCCGCTGGGGCGGCAGGACCAATCAGAACCTGTGTGGCGGAGGCTGACGGCTCGTCTCTCTGCAGGGTTGTCGGTGTGTCTGTTTGCTGCCGGGCGCCGGCAGAAGCCCGCAGTAAGTCAGCTGTCAGTCAGTCTCCATCATCCAATCAGAGGCCTGTGCAACTGTACGCGTCGTAGTGGTGCTCTGTGATTGGCTGGTCGCTGGCTATGGTGTTACCTTAAAACTGTGTCCGTCGGCTGTGGTGTTGATGTCATTGATCGTGCCAAACAGAACCCGAGCTCTCCTGTTGGTTCCGAGGCCTTTCAAAGTGAAACTAGGGTAAAGCGTCGGTTTCTGTGTTTCAGGTGGACATGAACTTCATGAAGAAGATCCCTCCTGGAGCGGAAGCCTCCAACGTTCTGGTTGGAGAAGTGGACTTCTTGGAACATCCAATAATCGCCTTTGTCCGCCTCTCCCCGGCCGTGCTGCTGACGGGGCTCACTGAGGTCCCCGTACCCACCAGGTGGGGGAAGGGGGTTCTTATCCCATCTGCCTCTCTTTTAATCAACGAAAAAATAAAAACCCAAACTTCTATGTTGATATATTCTTAAGTTTCGATCGATACAACAGAATTCTGATATTGATATCGTCGATTAAAATATACTGGATGCCGCTCCAGATGTCTGGCCTGAAATCTTAAAAAATCTTCTGATATAATACTTAAGAAGGAAAAAACACATCTAACTCCGATCATTTGGAGCTCCAAGCTGCAAATTGATTAATCTGTTAATTATTTTTTCAATTCAATTAGTAATTGGATAGCCAAAGATTCCTTAAAGAGGACTCTTTCTTAAAGAACTTGAGGAGTTCTGAATAGAGCAAAGATTTTTTATATTAACTGCAAAATGTTTACATATTTTTTTTTTTTTACAATTTTGTGTTATTATTGATGTAAATGGGTCACTTTGTCAGCTAAAGGCATGTTTTAAAAGTCTTTACACTCCAGTTAACTATTAATCGATTACTAAATTGACAATAATTGTAATAATCAATTTATCATGATTAATCCGATTAATTATCTCAGCCCTAATTTTAATTTTCCATGGATGGATTTGTTTCTTCCAAATAAATCGTAATGAAAAAGTAAAAGAATCAGTTTCTTGTTTGAGTCCAATCATTACGTCTCGGTCATGTTAAACAGATCAGAGATAAACCGCATGAACAGCTGGGTTTAAACATACTGTTATTTCTTGACATATGTCAACAAGGTCTAAAGTATGAATATGAGAATGAGTGGGACTATGCACATTTTGAGTCCAAGATGGCATCCAGTAGGGATATTAAAATTCCCTACTATAATGGCCTTGTCAGTAACACTTCTGATGTCCATTTGGGTTTGTTTGTCTCCGTCAGGTTTCTGTTCCTGCTGCTCGGCCCATTTGGTAAAGGCCTGCAGTACCACGAGATCGGACGCTCCATTGCCACGCTGATGACGGACGAGGTGAGCTAAAGAAGTGGATCAGGTTTTGGTTCTGATTCTGCAGAACGTCGTTTAGATCCCTTTTGCCCTGCTGCAGGTCTTCCATGACGTGGCCTACAAGGCAAAGGACCGGAACGACCTGCTGTCCGGAATCGACGAGTTCCTAGACCAGGTCACCGTGCTACCGCCGGGAGAGTGGGATCCCAGCATCCGGATCGAGCCGCCCAAGAACGTCCCGTCTCAGGTGAGAATGCCACCAAGGCGTCCTGGGCGCCAACCCGTTCAACGGTGCGTTCTCTGACACCCCATGTATGTCTGCAGGAGAAGAGGAAGATACCGGCGCTGCCAAACGGCTCCACCCACTTCTCCGAAGCGGTGAAGGAGATGGAGCATCACACGGGCCCAGAGCTGCAGAGGACCGGCAGGTCAGTGTGTGCTCCGCTCAGGTGGGCTGTAGTCCCCGAGCGGTGCTGATGTGACCCTGGGTTCCCCCAACAGGATCTTCGGAGGCTTGATGAACGACGTCCGCAGAAAAGCGCCGTTCTACTGGAGTGACATCAAAGACGCGCTGAGTCTGAAGTGTTTGGCCTCCATATTGTTCCTGTACTGCGCCTGCATGTCACCCGTCGTCACGTTTGGAGGGCTGCTGGGAGAGGCCACCAAAGGGAACATCGTAAGAACCAGCTGGTTCCGGTTCTCTTGCTCTCTGACTCAGTCTGACTGTCCTTCCTCCAGACTCTGAGGCCTTTTGATACTTTTGGTGACGGAAACGAAGCAAGAGCAGATTCTGTCAGATTATTAATCTCCTTTTGGGGGCGCTCTAAACGTTCTGGAAGCAGGACGCTCTTAACGTTTGGAGCGTTCCGCCTCTAGAGCGTTTAAGAGTCCCGCTTCCAGGGCGTCTAGAGCGTCCCGCTTCCAGGGCGTTTAGAGCGTCCTGCTTCCAAGGCGTTTAGAGCGTCCCGCTTCCAGGGCGTTTAGAGCGTCCCGCTTCCAGGGCGTTTAGAGCGTCCCGCTTCCAGGGCGTTTAGAGCGTCCTGCTTCCAGGGCGTTTAGAGCGTCCCGCTTCCAGGGCGTTTAGAGCGTCCCGCTTCCAGGGCGTTTAGAGCGTCCTGCTTCCAAGGCGTTTAGAGCGTCCCGCTTCCAGGGCGTTTAGAGCGTCCCGCTTCCAGGGCGTCTAGAGCGTCCCGCTTCCAGGGCGTTTAGAGCGTCCTGCTTCCAAGGCGTTTAGAGTGTCCTGCTTCCAAGGCGTTTAGAGCGTCCCGCTTCCAGGGCGTTTAGAGCGTCCCGCTTCCAGGGCGTCTAGAGCGTCCCGCTTCCAGGGCGTTTAGAGCGTCCTGCTTCCAAGGCGTTTAGAGCGTCCCGCTTCCAGGGCGTTTAGAGCGTCCCGCTTCCAGGGCGTTTAGAGCGTCCCGCTTCCAGGGCGTCTAGAGCGTCCCGCTTCCAGGGCGTCTAGAGCGTCCCGCTTCCAGGGCGTTTAGAGCGTCCCGCTTCCAAGGCGTTTAGAGCGTCCCGCTTCCAGGGCGTTTAGAGCGTCCCGCTTCCAGGGCGTCTAGAGCGTCCCGCTTCCAGGGCGTCTAGAGCGTCCCGCTTCCAGGGCGTCTAGAGCGTCCCGCTTCCATGGCGTTTAGAGCGTCCCGCTTCCAGGGCGTCTAGAGCGTCCCGCTTCCAGGGCGTCTAGAGCGTCCCGCTTCCAGGGCGTCTAGAGCGTCCCGCTTCCAGGGCGTCTAGAGCGTCCCGCTTCCAGGGCGTCTAGAGCGTCCCGCTTCCAGGGCGTCTAGAGCGTCCCGCTTCCAGGGCGTTTAGAGCGTCCCGCTTCCAGGGCGTTTAGAGCGTCCCGCTTCCAGGGCGTTTAGAGCGTCCTGCTTCCAAGGCGTTTAGAGCGTCCCGCTTCCAGGGCGTTTAGAGCGTCCCGCTTCCAGGGCGTCTAGAGCGTCCCGCTTCCAGGGCGTCTAGAGCGTCCCGCTTCCATGGCGTTTAGAGCGTCCCGCTTCCAGGGCGTCTAGAGAGTCCCGCTTCCAGGGCGTATAGAGAGTCCCGCTTCCAGGGCGTCTAGAGCGTCCCGCTTCCAGGGCGTCTAGAGCGTCCCGCTTCCAGGGCGTCTAGAGCGTCCCGCTTCCAGGGCGTTTAGAGCGTCCCGCTTCCAGGGCGTTTAGAGCGTCCCGCTTCCAGGGCGTCTAGAGCGTCCCGCTTCCAGGGCGTCTAGAGCGTCCCGCTTCCAGGGCGTCTAGAGCGTCCCGCTTCCAGGGCGTCTAGAGAGTCCCGCTTCCAGGGCGTCTAGAGCGTCCCGCTTCCAGGGCGTCTAGAGCGTCCCGCTTCCAGGGCGTCTAGAGCGTCCCGCTTCCAGGGCGTATAGAGAGTCCCGCTTCCAGGGCGTCTAGAGCGTCCCGCTTCCAGGGCGTTTAGAGCGTCCCGCTTCCAGGGCGTTTAGAGCTTCCCGCTTCCAGGGCGTTTAGAGCGTCCCGCTTCCAGGGCGTTTAGAGCGTCCCGCTTCCAGGGCGTCTAGAGCGTCCCGCTTCCAGGGCGTCTAGAGCGTCCCGCTTCCAGGGCGTCTAGAGCGTCCCGCTTCCAGGGCGTCTAGAGCGTAGAGCGTCCCGCTTCCAGGGCGTCTAGAGCGTAGAGCGTCCCGCTTCCAGGGCGTCTAGAGCGTCCCGCTTCCAGGGCGTTTAGAGCTTCCCGCTTCCAGGGCGTTTAGAGCGTCCCGCTTCCAGGGCGTTTAGAGCGTCCCGCTTCCAGGGCGTCTAGAGCGTCCCGCTTCCAGGGCGTCTAGAGCGTCCCGCTTCCAGGGCGTCTAGAGCGTCCCGCTTCCAGGGCGTCTAGAGCGTAGAGCGTCCCGCTTCCAGGGCGTCTAGAGCGTCCCGCTTCCAGGGCGTCTAGAGCGTAGAGCGTCCCGCTTCCAGGGCGTCTAGAGCGTAGAGCGTCCCGCTTCCAGGGCGTTTAGAGCGTCCCGCTTCCAGGGCGTCTAGAGCGTCCCGCTTCCAGGGCGTCTAGAGCGTCCCGCTTCCAGGGCGTCTAGAGCGTCCCGCTTCCAGGGCGTCTAGAGCGTCCCGCTTCCAGGGCGTCTAGAGAGTCCCGCTTCCAGGGCGTTTAGAGCGTCCCGCTTCCAGGGCGTTTAGAGCGTCCCGCTTCCAGGGCGTTTAGAGCTTCCCGCTTCCAGGGCGTTTAGAGCGTCCCGCTTCCAGGGCGTCTAGAGCGTCCCGCTTCCAGGGCGTCTAGAGCGTCCCGCTTCCAGGGCGTCTAGAGCGTCCCGCTTCCAGGGCGTCTAGAGCGTCCCGCTTCCAGGGCGTCTAGAGCGTCCCGCTTCCAGGGCGTCTAGAGCGTCCCGCTTCCAGGGCGTTTAGAGCGTCCTGCTTCCAAGGCGTTTAGAGCGTCCTGCTTCCAAGGCGTTTAGAGCGTCCCGCTTCCAGGGCGTTTAGAGCGTCCCGCTTCCAGGGCGTCTAGAGCGTCCCGCTTCCAGGGCGTTTAGAGCGTCCCGCTTCCAAGGCGTTTAGAGCGTCCCGCTTCCAGGGCGTTTAGAGCGTCCCGCTTCCAGGGCGTTTAGAGCGTCCCGCTTCCAGGGCGTCTAGAGCGTCCCGCTTCCAGGGCGTCTAGAGCGTCCCGCTTCCAGGGCGTTTAGAGCGTCCCGCTTCCAAGGCGTTTAGAGCGTCCCGCTTCCAGGGCGTTTAGAGCGTCCCGCTTCCAGGGCGTTTAGAGCGTCCCGCTTCCAGGGCGTCTAGAGCGTCCCGCTTCCAGGGCGTCTAGAGCGTCCCGCTTCCAGGGCGTCTAGAACGTCCCGCTTCCATGGCGTTTAGAGCGTCCCGCTTCCAGGGCGTCTAGAGCGTCCCGCTTCCAGGGCGTCTAGAGCGTCCCGCTTCCAGGGCGTCTAGAGCGTCCCGCTTCCAGGGCGTCTAGAGCGTCCCGCTTCCAGGGCGTCTAGAGCGTCCCGCTTCCAGGGCGTTTAGAGCGTCCCGCTTCCAGGGCGTTTAGAGCGTCCCGCTTCCAGGGCGTTTAGTGCGTCCCGCTTCCAGGGCGTTTAGAGCGTCCCGCTTCCAAGGCGTTTAGAGCGTCCCGCTTCCAGGGCGTCTAGAGCGTCCCGCTTCCAGGGCGTCTAGAGCGTCCCGCTTCCAGGGCGTCTAGAGCGTCCCGCTTCCAGGGCGTCTAGAGCGTCCCGCTTCCATGGCGTTTAGAGCGTCCCGCTTCCAGGGCGTCTAGAGAGTCCCGCTTCCAGGGCGTCTAGAGAGTCCCGCTTCCAGGGCGTCTAGAGCGTCCCGCTTCCAGGGCGTCTAGAGCGTCCCGCTTCCAGGGCGTCTAGAGCGTCCCGCTTCCAGGGCGTTTAGAGCGTCCCGCTTCCAGGGCGTTTAGAGCGTCCCGCTTCCAGGGCGTCTAGAGCGTCCCGCTTCCAGGGCGTCTAGAGCGTCCCGCTTCCAGGGCGTCTAGAGCGTCCCGCTTCCAGGGCGTCTAGAGAGTCCCGCTTCCAGGGCGTTTAGAGCGTCCCGCTTCCAGGGCGTTTAGAGCGTCCCGCTTCCAGGGCGTTTAGAGCTTCCCGCTTCCAGGGCGTTTAGAGCGTCCCGCTTCCAGGGCGTTTAGAGCGTCCCGCTTCCAGGGCGTCTAGAGCGTCCCGCTTCCAGGGCGTCTAGAGCGTCCCGCTTCCAGGGCGTCTAGAGCGTCCCGCTTCCAGGGCGTCTAGAGCGTCCCGCTTCCAGGGCGTCTAGAGCGTCCCGCTTCCAGGGCGTCTAGAGCGTCCCGCTTCCAGGGCGTCTAGAGCGTCCCGCTTCCAGGGCGTCTAGAGCGTCCCGCTTCCAGGGCGTCTAGAGCGTCCCGCTTCCAGGGCGTCTAGAGCGTCCCGCTTCCAGGGCGTCTAGAGCGTCCCGCTTCCAGGGCGTCTAGAGAGTCCCGCTTCCAGGGCGTCTAGAGCGTCCCGCTTCCAGGGCGTTTAGAGCGTCCCGCTTCCAGGGCGTCTAGAGAGTCCCGCTTCCAGGGCGTCTAGAGAGTCCCGCTTCCAGGGCGTCTAGAGCGTCCCGCTTCCAGGGCGTCTAGAGCGTCCCGCTTCCAGGGCGTTTAGAGCGTCCCGCTTCCAGGGCGTTTAGAGCGTCCCGCTTCCAGGGCGTTTAGAGAGTCCCGCTTCCAGGGCGTTTAGAGAGTCCCGCTTCCAGGGCGTTTAGAGAGTCCCGCTTCCAGGGCGTCTAGAGCGTCCCGCTTCCAGGGCGTCTAGAGCGTCCCGCTTCCAGGGCGTCTAGAGCGTCCCGCTTCCAGGGCGTCTAGAGCGTCCCGCTTCCAGGGCGTCTAGAGAGTCCCGCTTCCAGGGCATTTGACCTCAACAGATATAAATGTCCAAGTTGTAGCACGGACGCTGTCTTGACCTGTTTATTATGAACGCAGCTTTTAATTATAAAGCTGTTTTTATCAGACTTCTGGGACAATGTCCTCTAGTCAGAGATGTTAAACAGAACCAGGAAACAGCCGGCTGTCAGGCATGGTGTTGGAAGAGTGATAGTCTGGGTTTGGATCTGGGTTCTTTCAGGTGAACCTTTTTCAAACTGGGTCATGAACAGAACTACCATCCCAACCTCAGCGGCTGACCTACAACAGAGAAGATCTAGGGTCTAGTCCAAGTCCAGACTGTTACTAGAGATTGCAAGGAAGAGGTTGTACAGGTGGTAGATTAGTTGTGTGCTTAGTTTCTTACTCCCGTAGTTGGTTCTGGTTCTGGTGACACCATGTTGGAAGATGTTCTGTGTTCTTAATCTAACTGGACCTAAAGGACGGGCTCAGGTGTCCTCTTTTGTCTCCGTCTCTCGCAGAGCGCCATCGAGTCTCTGCTCGGGGCTTCCATGACAGGTGTGGCCTACTCCCTGTTCTCCGGTCAGCCTCTCACCATCCTCGGGAGCACCGGCCCGGTTCTGGTGTTCGAGAAGATCCTCTTCACATTCTGCTCGTGAGTCCAAATCTAAGCTTCGACCTGTTTTCTGAGCGGAACCCTGAAACCAGCGTCTCTCTGTGGTTAGAGGGTGTGAGCAGCTCAGGTTCTGGTTCTGACCCGGCTGCATGGAACCCCGGAGACTCGGTTCTTCCAGAACACCATCTGTCTCTGGAGTTCTGACCCCAAAAACAGCCCTGAGTTTGAGCCAACGGGGTCAGAACTTATCTGGACTTTAAGGATTAAACTCTGTTTGTCTAATGATCTTATATCGTTTCTTTTTGTTTGAGGATTAAAATGAGATTTTGATTTGGTACCGCTTGCATAACGTCCTGGTCTGTCAGCCCGACTCGGTTCTGGTGACGCACTGATGTTTGAGAGATGAAGATGATGGGCGACCAGGAGGCCTCTGAGGCGGGTCGGCGCTGCTCGACCCAAACTTCATCCCCTATAAACGGAGATTTGTTTAAAACATCTGAAGAATTTGATCCGATTTAAACGGATCGATGAATTAGATGCTGTTGGTTGATGAAGACAAACAGAACCTCAGCGGTTCTGCTGGGAATCGGATCCGTCTCCATCTCAGCATGTCTGATTTAATCTAGATCCACAGACGGGGAATCCTGTTGCTTCCAGGGGGCGTCAGGGACTGATCTCTGCTCGTTCTCCCTCATCCCAGAACCCTGTGGCTTCCTCTTCACTGGGACCAGTTCTGTCCTCCCTAAACCCAGTTTATGAGACGGTTTGCTGAGCGTGAGAGGCAAAGGGACAGTATGGATGTGGGGTTCTACTGGGAACACTGGGAGACGGAGCAGCAGACCAATCCAAATCAGGTGGTGCGATGCTGCCCCCTGCTGGCTCAGGAGGGAACCAATCTGTTTAGTTCTGCTGCTTCAGTATGGAGAGAAATTTGTTCCTGAATTATCGAAAGTAAAGGAAATATTTACAGGAGGAAATTTAAAAAATATATTGCAGGAATTAAAATAAAAAAAAAAGGTATTGGGGGTTATTTATTATCTGTTTGGAAAAGTTTAACCAATATTTCTTGGGATTTTATTTTTCACAGTTTGTATAGTTTTTATAGATCTTCTGTTTCTGAAGGCTCTTTTCTTGGTTCTCCTTCAGTCCAATGCAGGAGTGTAGAGGTTGGAAAATAACGCAATTAATAAAACTCTGTCCAAAAAGGTTTAAAAAATATCCTCTGGACTCTGTTTCCAAGTTTGAAAACGTTTCGCTTCCAATCCAGAAAGCTTTTTCAAGAGGGAGGGGGGGCTTTATGGAAATTATAGCTTGTTTTTTGGACAGAAGGCTGACAAGAAAGGGGGTAGGAGAGAGGGGGGAGAGACATGCGGGAGAAGACCAGAGGTTAGATTCAAACCCGGGTCTGCCTCGTCGAGGACTAAGGCCTCCATACGTGGGTCATGTGCGCTAACCACAGAGCCACCTGATCGCCCTAGCTGAACGTATGATTCACATTATAAATTAATCTCTAAACCTAGAAGGTTTTCTACTGTCCTTTTTCGATTAAATGTTTTTGGAACAAATTTCTCTCCATACTTCTATTCAGTTTATTTCTATAGCTCCAATTCACATCATGTCATCTCAGGTCACTTTCCAGTTCACCAGATCATCCAGTCAGATTGATTCAAAGTTTTCTATCTAAGGAAAACCAGCTGATTGCATCGACTCATTGACTCTTCAGCAATCCCTCACACTAAGCATGCTTGTAGCGACAGTGGAGAGGAAAAACTCCCTTTGAACAGGAAGAAACCTCCAGCAGAACCAGGCTCAGTGTGAGCGGCCATCTGCTGAGGCCCACTGGGGTTCAAGGAGACAGAAGCAGACATAGAAAAAGAAGCATAGATACAAAAGGCAACTGTCAACCAGCTCCACAGGCGGCCCCGTCCAGGAAACACACAGCCAGGCAGACGAGCTCCGAGCCAGCTCCCATGTCAGAGGATGAAGAGAGCACATCCAGTTAGTCACAGTCAGAGAAACAGGACTACACTGGAAAACAGGCCAAGCTCCAACATCTAGAAACAAAGGTGTTGATGGCAGCAGCACAGCTGATATTTCTCTCCAGGATGGAGTCACAGCCAAACAGGAACAGACCAGATGAAGCTACTATGAGAAAAAGCAGAGAGAGCAGAACGTTAGAGATTGAACTAACAGATTCTGCAGAGTGGGAGAATAGAGATAGAATGAAGCAGAATGATGAAAAAGGGGTCCCTATGTCCTCCAGCAGTCTAAGCCTATAGCAGCAGAACTATAGAGATAGATCAGGATAACCTGAGCCACTCTAACTAGAAGCTTTATCAAAAAGGAAAGTTTTAAGCCTAGCATTCAGAATGTTTCTCTACGTTTCTCCCAAAATTTGCTTTTAATCCTGGTTCCCATCAGTCCCTCTGATGGGAACCAGGATCCAGTCGTCTCTTCCTGTCAGTCTCACCGTCCCCCTTCATCCGCAGTGAGTTCCAGCTGTGCTACCTGTCCCTGAGGACCAGCATCGGGTTGTGGACGGCCTTCCTCTGCATCCTGCTGGTCGCCACTGACGCCAGCGCCCTGGTCTGCTACATCACCCGCTTCACAGAGGAGGCGTTCGCCGCCCTCATCTGCATCATCTTCATCTACGAGGCGCTGGCCAAGCTGGTCCACCTGGGGGAGCAGTTCCCCATTAACATGCACAACCAGCTGGACAATCTCACCTTCTACACGTAAGCAGGCCGATCCGCACGTCTCAGACCGACTCCAGAACCCCTGATCCAGCCCAGGAGATCCAGTTTCTGGAACCTTCTTAGTCCCCAGGCTGTCTGTCAGAGGTTTGGTGGGTTCTTACCTTCTGGTTCTCTTCTGGTTCAGGTGTCGTTGTTCTCCTCCTTCCAACGCGTCTGCTGAGGTCCAAAGGTTCTGGAGCAGCATGAACCTGACGTTGGACACCATCGAGTGGGAGCAGCTGAGTGTGAAGGTCTGTCTCACAAACCGGTTTATCTGCTCTGGTCCAGAACCAGCATCACCGGGTCAGACAGCAGCAGAACCTCCGTTCTGACTCCAGTTAGTGGAGCAGCAGCAGCATCTAGTGGAGGTCAGAGGTACTGCAGTAACTCCTTTCTCTCCGTCTCTGCAGGAATGCAGGAACTGGAAGGGACAGTTTATGGGGTCGGCATGCAGCAGCAACGGGCCTTACGTTCCTGACGTCCTCTTCTGGTCCGTCATCCTCTTCTTCACCACTTTCTTCCTCTCCTCCTTCCTCAAACAGTTGAAGACCAAAAGATATTTCCCCACCAAGGTCAGTCCGGCTGCAGAACCTTAGATGTTCTGATTCTGCTCCCTCTGAGCGCCGCAGCGCCGACCGAGCTTCATTTTTCTGCTTCTCGCAGATTCATTGATCCACATCATAGGTTGTGAAGAAATACGGAGAGCCGTTTGATACAAAATTACATGAAACGTTCCTCTGATCTTCGGGAAACGTTCCTCTGATCTTCGGGAAACGTTCCTCTGATCTTCGGGAAACGTTCCTCTGATCTTCTGGAAACGTTCCTCTGATCTTCGGGAAACGTTCCTCTGATCTTCGGGAAACGTTCCTCTGATCTTCGGGAAACGTTCCATTGATCCTTGGGAAACGTTCCTCTGATCTTCGGGAAACGTTCCTCTGATCTTCGGGAAACGTTCCTCTGATCTTCGGGAAACGTTCCATTGATCCTTGGGAAACGTTCCTCTGATCTTCGGGAAACATTCCTCTGATCTTCTGGAAACGTTCCTCTGATCTTCTGGAAACGTTCCTCTGATCTTTGGGAAACATTCCTCTGATCTTCTGGAAGCGTTCCTCCGATCTTTGGGAAACGTTCCTCTGATCTTTGGGAAACGTTCCTCTGATCTTCTGGAAACGTTCCTCTGATCTTCTGGAAACGTTCCTCTGATCTTTGGGAAACGTTCCTCTGATCTTTGGGAAACGTTCCTCTGATCTTTGGGAAACGTTCCTCTGATCTTCGGGAAACGTTCCTCTGATCTTTGGGAAACGTTCCTCTGATCTTTAGGAATCGTTCCTCTGATCTTTGGGAATCGTTCCTCTGATCCTTGGGAAACGTTCCTCTGATCTTCGGGAAACGTTCCTCTGATCTTTGGGAAACGTTCCTCTGATCTTTGGGAAACGTTCCTCTGATCTTTGGGAAACGTTCCTCTGATCTTCGGGAAACGTTCCTCTGATCTTTGGGAAACGTTCCTCTGATCTTTAGGAATCGTTCCTCTGATCTTTGGGAATCGTTCCTCTGATCCTTGGGAAACGTTCCTCTGATCTTTGGGAAACGTTCCTCTGATCTTCTGGAAACGTTCCTCTGATCTTCTGGAAACGTTCCTCTGATCTTTGGGAAACGTTCCTCTGATCTTTGGGAAACGTTCCTCTGATCTTTGGGAAACGTTCCTCTGATCTTCGGGAAACGTTCCTCTGATCTTTGGGAAACGTTCCTCTGATCCTTGGGAAACATTCCTCTGATCTTCTGGAAGCGTTCCTCTGATCTTCCGGAAACGTTCTTCTGATCTTTGGGAAACGTTCCTCTGATCTTCTGGAAATGTTCCTCTGATCTTTGGGAAACGTTCCTCTGATCTTTAGGAATCGTTCCTCTGATCTTTGGGAATCGTTCCTCTGATCCTTGGGAAACGTTCCTCTGATCTTCGGGAAACGTTCCTCTGATCTTTGGGAAACGTTCCTCTGATCTTCTGGAAGCGTTCCTCCGATCTTTGGGAAACGTTCCTCTGATCTTTGGGAAACGTTCCTCTGATCTTCTGGAAACGTTCCTCTGATCTTCTGGAAACGTTCCTCTGATCTTTGGGAAACGTTCCTCTGATCTTTGGGAAACGTTCCTCTGATCTTTGGGAAACGTTCCTCTGATCTTTGGGAAACGTTCCTCTGATCTTTGGGAAACGTTCCTCTGATCTTTGGGAAACGTTCCTCTGATCTTCGGGAAACGTTCCTCTGATCTTTGGGAAACGTTCCTCTGATCCTTGGGAAACATTCCTCTGATCTTCTGGAAGCGTTCCTCTGATCTTCCGGAAACGTTCTTCTGATCTTTGGGAAACGTTCCTCTGATCTTCTGGAAATGTTTTGCCGGTTTTTCTGCTACAGAGAAACATTCGGTGCTTCAGCTTCAGTTTAATTTTGTTCCTCCTGTTGCGTCTGCAGGTCAGGGCGACCATCAGTGACTTCGCCGTCTTCCTGACCATCATGATTATGGTGCTGCTGGACTATCTGGTGGGCGTTCCTTCTCCCAAGCTGCATGTTCCAGACCGCTTCCAGGTGACCCCGCCCACAGTCCCTCAGTGTTTTCTCCAGCTTTGGTTCCTTAACTTTGAATCTGGATCTAACAGCGTTCCTCGTCCTGCAGCCCACCTCCATCAATCGCGGTTGGCTGATATCTCCGCTGGGAACGAACCCCTGGTGGACCCTGCTGGCTGCCGCCATCCCGGCTCTGCTCTGCACCATCCTGATCTTCATGGACCAGCAGATCACCGCCATCATCATCAACAGGAAGGAGAACAAGCTGAAGGTGAGTGCGGGCGGCGAACGGCGAGCAGACGCTCAGCGCTCGGGTTTAATTTCCGTCCCCGTCTGTGTTCTGCCTGCAGAAAGGCTGCGGGTACCACCTGGACCTGCTGGTGGTGGCCGTCATGCTGGGCGTGTGCTCCATCATGGGCCTGCCCTGGTTCGTGGCGGCCACCGTTCTCTCCATCTCCCACGTCAACAGTCTGAAGGTGGAGTCTGGCTGCGCCGCGCCGGGCGAGCAGCCCAAGTTCCTGGGGATCAGGGAGCAGCGCGTCACGGGCTTCATGATCTTCGTCCTGATGGGCTGCTCCGTCTTCATGACGTCTGCGCTGAAGGTGAAGCGTCGGGCGAACTTTGACACCTCAGCGATCCTCTGGGGAAAACTCAAGCTTTGGCTCTTTTCTGCAGTTCATCCCGATGCCGGTTCTGTACGGAGTCTTCCTCTATATGGGAGCGTCCTCGCTCAAAGGCATCCAGGTACGTCCACCTGACGTCTGCAGGAGGTTCTCAGCTCGTCTGGGAGAATTCTCCCCTTTTAATAACTCCTGGTTTGTATGGAGCTAAATTAGGGCCAGAAAGTTTGTTTAAAAAAAATCTTTTTTTTACTGAAAAAGAATTTTGAACTGAGAAAAAATATCAAAACTGAGACTTTGTTTCCAACTTTAAAGTTGTTTCTCTTCCATCCAGGAAACTTTTTCAATTCAAAATGTCAGGAATAGCTCAACTCAACTCAAACTTTATTTATAAAGCACATTTAAAACAATCGGGGTTGACCAAAATGCTGTAAAGGAATCACAGTTAAGGAACATAAGATAAAAGCTAAGGCTGAAATACATCAACACATAAAAATAGAATAAGATAAATGTTTCAATTAAAATACATTTTAGAATAAAATAAATTTAAAATAAAATTTTGCTAAATGTCCACTTAGACATGATTAAAAGAGGGAGAAGAAATGTGATTTTAGGCCCCGTCCACACGAAGTCAAAACGAACACGAAACGCTGATATTTTCCAGAACGTTTGTCGTAAAGACGGAGACGTGAAATAAATGTGATCGTCCACACGAATGCATGAAAACGCTGCAAAATGTATGCCAGGCCTGTAAGTGGCGCTGTGGTGCCAAAGCAAAAATAGGCAAAAACTGGCAACGAAATGTTGGGCATGCGCACTAATATTTATACATGGTTGCCCTGCGGGTCCATTTTGGTGGTTCAGTCAAATTCAGGTGCTGAACTATGTGGTCGATATTGCTCTGTTCTTCCTGGAGATATTCCAGAAGAAGAAGATTCTGTTGTAAGCCCGACAGCAGGGTGAGTAGCATGAGCAGCAACCATTCAACACAGTACGGCGCCATTGTTGTTGTGATACTGTGTCGCCCATGCGTGTTTAGAGGCGACGCTATGACGCATGCGTGTAAGAAAAAAAAAGCTGTTAGAGCGTAAAGATGGAAACGCGAAAACGGCGTTTCAAAATCTTCCCACTCTGAAGGCTTAATAAAAAAAAGATCGTTTACAGACCCCCGAAACGCCGGCTTCGTATGGATGAGAGGCTGGTTTGGTGAAAAATTTGTGCGTTTAGGCCAGGGTTTGACTTCGTGTGGACGGGGCCTTAAAGAGGATTTAAAAACCTCAAAGGAGCCTGCGGATCTAACATGCCAAGGCAAGTTATTCCAGAGCCTCTGAACACTGAATTTTTTTAACACCGAATTTTAAACACTGAGTTTTTTTTAACACTGAATTTTAAACACAAAATTTTTTTAACACCGAATTTTAAACACAAAATTTTTTTAACACCGAATTTTAAACGCTGAATTTTTTTAACACCAAATTTTAAACACTGAATTTTTTTTAACATCGAATTTTAAACACAAAATTTTTTTTAACACTGAATTTTAAACACTGAATTTTTTTAACACTGAATTTTAAACACTGAATTTTTTTAACACCGAATTTTAAACACTGAATTTTTTTAACACCGAATTTTAAACGCGGAATTTTTTTAACACCGAATTTTAAACACTGAATTTTTTTTAACATCGAATTTTAAACACTAAATTTTTTTTAACATCGAATTTTAAACACTAAATTTTTTTTAACACCGAATTTTAAACACTGAATTTTTTTAACACTGAATTTTAAACACTGAATTTTTTTAACACCGAATTTTAAACACTAATTTTTTTTAACACCGAATTTTAAACACTGAATTTTTTTTAACATCGAATTTTAAACACAACATTTTTTTTAACACCGAATTTTAAACACTGAATTTTTTTAACACCGAATTTTAAACACAAAATTTTTTTAACACCGAATTTTAAACACTGAATTTTTTTTAACACCGAATTTTAAACACTGAATTTTTTTTTAACACCGAATTTTAAACACTGAATTTTTTTTAACACCGAATTTTAAACACTGAATTTTTTTTAACACCGAATTTTAAACACTGAATTTTTTTAGACATTGAATTCCTTACACTCAATTTTTATCTGGAGAAAATTCTGGAAAATTCATTTGGTCACGTGACATAACGGCTGCGCTCAGCGCTGTTCCCAGCTGAATGAGGAATTTTTTTATTTATTTTTTTGTTAAACAGATAGAATTATAAAACGTCAGTTAGCCACTAATAGACAGCTAGTTTCCCATTGGGAACCTGCTAGCACTAAGATGCTAACTGGTTAGCAAGATGCTTCCCACAAACCGGCTACAATTGAACTTGCTTTCGAACCTTCCTCCACAACAATCCCACCCCCTTGATAATCAACCAATCACATTCACTTTATTCACTCGTGTAAAGTCGGGCACCACTCTGGAGAATTAGGAAATGCAACGATTGGAACGGCCGCTTCCCTACGACTTTAAAGGAACATTAGTCTATCCCATTATTGATCAATGAATCAAAAAAATGATCAATAGAATGACCGATCTGCAAAATAATCGTTAGTTTAGCTAATAATGATCAGAGCTTCCTCGTACATAAAACATTCTCCTGGCTTTTACCAACCTGTAGAGTTTATCCGTTTTATAGTTTTTATTGTTGATATGCTGACGGCTCAGCAGAAGCAGAGATCATGGCGTGCAGGTTGTGTCTCTGCTCACCAGCTGCGGCTGCTCAGACCCAAACAGGAAGCTCCTGTTTCTGATGTTTCACCTTCGAACCGTTCCTCCAGAGCAGCTTGATGTCGCTCTTCCTCAGGAGGTCTCTGCTACCAGCTCAGTCTAAACCGTCTGCTCTCTGCCTCGCAGCTGTTCGACCGTATCAAGCTGTTCGGCATGCCGGGGAAGCACCAGCCCGACCTCATCTACCTGCGCTACGTGCCGCTGTGGAAGGTCCACGTCTTCACCGCCGTCCAGCTCTCCTGCCTCATCATCCTGTGGGTCATCAAGGCGTCGCGCGCCGCCGTCGTCTTCCCCATGATGGTGAGCCCTTCGGCCTGCATGTTTCACCACCCCGGGCACTGACGCTCACCTCCGTCGCCGCTCCCCGCAGGTTCTGGCGCTGGTCTTCATCCGGAAGCTTCTGGACTTCTGCTTCACTAAGAGGGAGCTGAGCTGGCTGGACGACCTGATCCCAGAGAGCAAGAAGAAGAAGGACGACGATAAGAAGAAGAAGGAGGCGGTGAGGAGGGGAGGGAGACGCATGAGGCCGGGAGCGTTTAAAGGTTTTGACCCGTTCTGGTCGCTTCTCTGCAGGACGCTCAGTTGATGATGGAGGAGACGGAGGACGAGGCGCCCTACGAGCCACAGAGCATCCGGAAGTTCCCCATTAAATCCCTGAAGGGACGGTGAGTCGGATCAGAACCTGCTGAGCTCAACCCAGTGGAGCGTTGGCCCCGTGAGAAGCGGCTTTATGGGCTGCATTAAAAGAGCGTGACATGTCAGACTGCTCTATGTAGTTTACCCAGAAATTCCTTTATCGTATTTAATTAATTTCATCTCATTTCTGCTATTTGATCTCAGGGAGGAATTCTATTCTATTCAGTTTATTTCTATAGCTCCAATTCACATCATGTCATCCCGACGCACTTTCCAGTTCACCAGATCATCCAGTCAGATTGATTCAAAGTTTTCTATCTAAGGAAAACCAGCAGATTGCATCGACTCATTGACTCTTCAGCAATCCCTCACACTAAGCATGCTTGTAGCGACAGTGGAGAGGAAAAACTCCCTTTGAACAGGAAGAAACCTCCAGCAGAACCAGGCTCAGTGTGAGCGGCCATCTGCTGAGGCCCACTGGGGTTCAAGGAGACAGAAGCAGACATAGAAAAAGAAGCATAGATACAAAAGGCAACTGTCAACCAGCTCCACAGGCGGCCCCGTCCAGGAAACACACAGCCAGGCAGACGAGCTCCGAGCCAGCTCCCATGTCGTAATGGAGGAGAATTAGAATAATCCTAGATTTCTTTTTAATCCGGTTGCCAAACTCACCCAGAGCCATAGCTCTGTTGAACCGTCCATTCCACCTGATCTTAGCAGTAATGATTTTATAGGATTCTTTAAAAATAAGATTGATCTTATTTAAAATACGATCATTAGCACTCCTCTATCCACGATTGGTTTGTCTCTGGAAGGTGGGGCAGCATGTTTATCATATGATGATTGAAATTCATAATTGAAATTATTCAATAAAACAATATTTAACATAACAATATGCAATTAAAAAAAACATCATTAGTGATTTATTCTCCTAACCCGGTACTGTAGAGCGCTGACATGTTATTAACATCATTTAGGAGATCCAACAATCGAAATGGCCACGCCCACCTAGTGTAGTTGATGCCGTCATCCAAAGGTGGGGCAAGTGACTTTCACATTTCATTTGCCCAGAAACAATTTTTACTTGCCCAGTATAATGTTTAATAAATATAGTTCCTAATATTCATTTTTATATAAATCTCAATGAAACATGTTTGTTTTTTAAATGTTTTTTGTAATTCAGTATTTTTTAAGTTTCCAGGTTCCTGGTGTGTATCTGCATGCGTCAGATAATGAACTCCAGCCTACATTACCGTGTTAACATGCTTTTCAATCATTCCTGCTCATTCTTTTCAAACTAAACTTTGCTTTAAACTGTTGTGTGCTTGGAAAAATATAAATTGTAATGTTAAAAATCTAAAAAAAACTTGACAGGTTAAAAACTTAAGATAAATAACAAGACAGAAGTCAATGTCATAAATGAATAACTTTTATTTTAGAGTCACGGTACGTTTATAAAAGATAATACTATTAATATAATGTGACTTTTCTAGAGAATCATTATAGTTATTTTATTCAGGGTTTCCACAGTCTGACATCATTTCAGAATTCCCTGACTTTAACGGACTCAGGATCAGTTTTCCCTGACAGAATAAATGCAGCAACAAGGCAATAATAATAACAGGTCACCAATCTAACATGTTTGGCTCTATAACATTTAAATGCACCTCTCCAATGTCTAAGAGAAAAAAATGTAATGAACATTTTTTAATGTTTGACCTGCATATGACAGACTGCCATATAATGGCGCTTTCTAGCTTGTTTGTTGTTTTGGTAACATCAAAATTACCGCTAGGTGGGCAAAAATCATGCCATCTGGCGGAAAATCACCCGGCTTTTTCAAATCAGGCGAGAATGTGTACAAAACAACAAAAATGGCGCCGGCAACGCTTGTGGGTCGTTTTCAGCGAATGTCTGTGATTTTTAAAGTAATTTTGAGTGATAAATAATTCGCCCGGCGGGCAAATGCAATGAAATTTGTCCTCTCCCAACAATAAAAATGACTTGCCCCGGGAGATCGTGCGATGGTTAACATCGAGCCCTGCTATGGCAGGCCGTTTTGACATTTATTAGAAGCGCTGTCCTCTCCATTGTTCCGTTTGTCGACCTCTAAAATAAGATTCTTCTTGGTCAAAACCAGAGATGGGAAGTAACGAAGTAAAAATACTTCGTTACTGTACTCAAGTAGATTTTTCTGATATTTTTACTTTACTTTACTACTTATTTTTATGGCGACTTTTTACTTCTACTCCTTACATTTTTACACAAATATCTGTACTTTCTACTCCTTACATTTTAAAAAATTGGCTCGTTACTTTAGTTTTGAATCATTTCAATGGAGTTACCGTTATTATTTTTCACGTCATCAATACCAAATTCAATCTAATTGGATGGGAATCTACGTTGCATTTGACGCACCACTACAAGATGAATCGACAGATTCGGCGGTATTCATTGGCGGCAAATCATTGCAGCTTGGTGGCGGTGGCGTTAGCATAGTAGCATGGACGACGAGATGATTGAAAATGAACACAACGGAGATCTAGTCCTATTGGCAGACATCCATTTAAAATGTAGGCATGAAAAAAGTGGTTTCTACTTTTACTTTTATACTTTAAGTAAATTTACAAGCCTGTACTTTGTTACTTTTACTTGAGTAAAGAAGTTTAATCAGTACTTCCACTTTTACCAGAGTATTCCACTTTTACACAAGTATCTGTACTTACTCAAGTACGGAAAGTGAGTACTTTTGCCATCTCTGGTCAAAACTAAGTTCCTACCAGTCAGAACTGTACATATATTTATCCTAAATTACATTATTGCCAGCAAAAATTTTATTTCAAGATGCCAAAAATATAACTGTACTAATCAATTAGTAGTCATTGGTATAATTATGATCCCTAGAAAAAATCTGCAGAGGCTTCAGTATATTCCAAACTCTGTAGTTAGGATCCCCCCCCCCCCCCTTCTCCATTCATTACACTGGCTTCCCATCTCCTCCAGGACTGAGTTCAAGGTTTTTACTCAACGTAAAAGACCTTAAAACATTTCTTTTTAGCAAAGCTTTTGATTCCCTTTAGAGGAAAATTAGGTTTTCCTGCTTTTCTCTTTTTTTACTCGTAGATCTTTTGATGGAAAGTGCAGTATAAATTAAATGTATCATAATTATAAAAAATACACTTTGAAATGCCTTTGAAATCCTTACATATTATAAGTGGACCTTTTGACATTTAATAGCTTGACTGAAAAGGTAATCCAGATATCTCAAATGCATTTCTTCCTAGTCAAAATGAACATTTCAGAATCTAAAATATCTAAAGTAACATTCTTGCTATTTCAAATAAACATTCAGGACATCTAAAATTGAATTTCAGACATCTGGATTACATATTCAGTCAAGCTAATGTCAAAACGGCCTGCCGTACCTCCCTCTTCACTGACAGCAGAGATTAACTGAACCGCTGGATAATCTTAATTCATTAGGATGTTTTAATTAGGAAATGAAGTATTACCGATTCTTTGCTAATCCTAAAGAAAAATCATTTAAAGTTAATTTAGAAATGTTATTTGATATATGAGCAATATTAACCTGTAGTGGGGAAAAAGTATTCAACTATTCACCCAATTTAAATAAACAGAGATCGATGGATTTCACTCAGTTGGCACTCTATTTTCATATATCTTTGCAAAGAGATCATCATTCGGCCCTTATTGCACAGTAATCAGCCCTGTTCTGCCTGAGCAGAGTGTGTTCCCTTTACTTACAATAATGGAAACGGTCCGAGTCGAAGCAAATTACAGAAACTTTGGTTAAACGGTAACATGTTATGAATTAACATGAGAAAAAAATCTGGTTTGTTATGGAAGAAGCTACGTCTTGTCTAAAAACAGCCTCACACAGGAGAATCGTGCGGCCTTGCAGGTGAAACAGGCTGAGTGAAAACTTTTATAGTGAATAAATAGGATAAATTAATATATGAAATAAGAGAAATTAAATTTTTCAACCACAAACCTCAGCATGAAACGCCCCTCTCTGCCTCCGATTAGCTCACTGGTCGTCATGCCTCCAGTTCACCAATGTAACCAGTTAAGCCAGTGAGTACTGGCCAATTAGAAGCAGAGTAGCGCATGTGATGGCTTCACTGTCTCTGGAAAAAATGGGAAATTTGGATTGGAGATTCTGCTTAATAGTGCGAATCATGTGGGATTTATAAGTGGATATATGCAATGCTGATTGAAGTAGATATACGCCGTATATCTGTGCATACTCTAGACTAAACCTCTGGGTAATCGGTTCTGTTTCCGTTTGTCCCGCAGCTCCGACCCGTCTGAGGTCAACATCTCGGATGAAATGGCCAAAAGTGGAATCTGGAAATCCGTCTCCAAAAACTCTGAAGGAGGCAAAGGACTGAAACGCTGCAAAAGGTAACCTAGCAACTGCTGATGTCATCGCCTGTGCCTCGCTCTGATTGGTTCCTTTGTAGCTCTGAGCCACTTGCAGTTGGAACCCAAAAGTTGCTGCATTTCAGGCTGAAGGATGAGCAACGATTCGGACGTTTTCAGGAGGAAATTAGAGAAAAAGTTCTGTTTTTAAGATTTTCTTGGTTCTAAAGGATCGTTTTCTGTTGCTGATTTCCTTCCCTTGGAAAATGAAAAGAAAAAAATGGACCCAATTGATTTTATTTCGGTTCCATTGAAACTTTTTTATTGAAGGTTTTAAACCGAAGGAGGAAGATGGAGTTGGACGGGATGGGAAGGTAGTGGGGCTGAAACAGTTAATGGGATTAATCGACGATTGAATAATCATCAACTAATCAATAATCGATTGTTAACTGGAATACGGCTCTATAATGAGCCTTTAGCTGACAGCAGTAATTGTATCAAATAGTAATTGTAATGTAATTTCTATCCAGAACTTCTCTAGTGGAAAACTTTCAGTTTCACCTGGTTTAAGTTTGGAAAAAATCTCCTTTAGGGAAAATTATGCTGTCAGGTTTTTAATCAATTAATCAAAAAAATAATCCACAGATTAATTGATATGCAAAATAATCGTTAGTTGCAGCCCTATTGTCAGGTTGGTGAAAAGTCAACCTGCCAGATTATGAACGTGCAGAAAAAACAGTAATGGGGGAAAATTTGATGAATGTGGATTAATCTGAGCTACATTATGTAGAGAAGGACCTGAGAACGCAGAGATGTAAAGATTCCTCACCAGGACGCTGTTTCCATACTGAACTGACTCTGACTGAAAAGGTCCAAAGACTATAACTTCTGTTTTATCTGCATTCAGAAGCAGAAAGTTAAGAGTCATCCAGGTTTTTCTGTCTTCAGACATGCCTGTAATCTATGTAATGGGTTAGCTTCATCTGGATTATAGACAGATATAGCTGGGTATCATCAGCATAACAGTGGAAATTAATCCCATGCTGTCTAATAATTCTACCAATTGGGAGCATGTATAAAGTAAAGAGAATTGGTCCTAGCACTGATCCCTGTGGTACTCCACAGGTAACCTTTGAGCATGAGGAAGATTTATCATTGACATGAACAAACTGAATTCGATCAGATAGATCAGATTTAAACCAGTCTAGAACTGTTCCTTTAATTCCAACAAAATATTCAAGTCTTTCTAAAAGAATATTCTGATCAACTGGATCAAATGCAGCACTAAGATCCAACAGGACGAGCACAGATACAAGGAGAACATCATTAGTGACGCCTGAACACCTTCAGATCCGGTTTGGAAAAGGAACAGGAACCTTTCTAGGAACGTCTGACAGCAGGGATGGTGGAACCCGTCCTTCCTGGTGGATATGGGCTCAGATTGGAGGTTCTGGACCAGAACGATCGTCTGACCCATAAAATATAAAAAGTTCTAAAAGCAGTAAAATCAAAACGGTCACTGATGTGAAATGAACAAACCCGGATAGTTAAGGAAGCCATGACCCGGTTCTTCACCTGGTTCTGAACCCGGTTCTTGACCCGGTTTTGGTCCAGAACTGGGTCAAGAACCGGGTCAAGAACTGGGTTCAGAACCGGGTCAAGAACCGGGTTCAGAACCAGTTTTCAGAACCCGGTTCTTGACCCAGTTTTGGACCTGGTTCTGGACCCTGGACCTGGTTCTGAACCCGGTTCTGGAAACTGGTTCTGAACCCGGTTCTTGACCCGGTTCTGAACCCAGTTCTTGACCCAGTTTTGGACCTGGTTCTGAACCCTTGACCTGGTTCTGAACCCGGCTCTTGACCCGGTTCTGGACCTGGTTCTGAACGCTGGACCTGGTTCTTGACCCGGTTCTGAACCCAGTTCTTGACCCAGTTCTGGACCTGGTTCTGAACCCTGGACCCGGTTCTGAACCTGGTTCTTGACCCGGTTCTTGACCCAGTTCTGGACCTGGTTCTGAACCCAGTTCTTGACCCGGTTCTGGACCTGGTTCTGAACCCTGGACCCGGTTCTGAATCTGGTTCTTGACCCGGTTCTGGACCCGGTTCTGAACCTGGTTCTTGACCCGGTTCTGAACCTGGTTCTTGACCCGGTTCTGAACCTGGTTCTTGACCCGGTTCATGACCCAGTTCTGGACCTGATTCTGAACCCGGTTCTTGACTCGGTTCTGGACCCGGTTCTGAACCGGGTTCTGAACCTGGTTCTGGACCCGATTCTGAACCCGGTTCTTGACTCAGTTCTGGACCCGGTTCTGAACCCGGTTCTTGACCCGGTTCTGAACCCGGTTCTTGACTCAGTTCTGGACCCGGTTCTGAACCCGGTTCTTGACCCGGTTCTGAATTGGATTCTGGAAACTGGTTCTAAACGGGTTTCTTTCTTCCTCCAGTCAGGAGAAGCTCCCCAGCGTCCAGATCAGCGTGGAGGACGAACAGAGGTTTGTGGACGCTGAGACGGCGTTATGATCCTTCAGCAGACGTCTGGAGGACAATGTGGGCGGAGCCTGGATGAGGACCAATCAGCTTCCGGCTCGTTGTTCTCTCAACAGAAGCTCTTTTATTTCCTCATCGTTTTATGGTGAAACATGGAGACTCCTCAGGTTACTTTGGTTTTTACTTACATGGTCCGCCGCTGCGCTCTGATTGGCCGAACGCCGTACTCAGACTCTGATGAATGTTTGATTTCGATGCGCTCAGCTCCCGCCTCCCACAGACTGTTTATTTAATCCAACGTGCTGATTGGTGTTAGTGTGAGAGAGAGGGTGTGTGTTTGTTCACCGTGATGCCTGCAGGTCAAACCTCAGCACATGTTTTCTAGTTTCTTTGTAAATTTTTAATAAATCAGTTTTGAAGCAAAAATCAGAGTCACTGGTTTTACTGGGAGCCTTTCTAACATCTACCATTAAGTTATTATTATAAGACTTTTTTTCCAATAACAGATGGCGTCTTGAACAAGGTCCCCTCGACTGATTTTCCTGGGAGCAGTTATGACAGAAGTGTCTGATTTATTACCGTAATATTCAGAATATAAGCCGCAGAAGCTAAATTGTATGATTATATATGATTGTAAGCCGCAGGTTTTTTATGTTTAATGTCCGTCTTTCTCGCGGTAGAAGTCTGCTTCCGGAGGACCTCCGCATTCCCCCGCGCGCGGCTACCTGGATGGTAAAATCCATAGATTTAGGTATTACGCTAGTGGCCGTTAGCTGTAAAAGTCCATAGATAAGCCGCATTGTTATATAAGCCACAGGGTTGAAAAATGGGGAAAAAGTCGCGGCTTATAGTCCGGAAATTACGGTACTCATAACAAACAGAGCTTTGAGGGATGGAGAACTTCTGACTGACTGTTTCCAGCGGTTCAGCTGAAGCTTCCAAACTAACTTAATTTATTTTACAGAGTGAGAAATCTACCGTCAGCAGGCCTCAAACATTTTTAGTGCCACAAAGGACCACAGGTTGGATTCAAACCCGAGTCGGCCGCATCGAGGACTATGGCGTCCGTACATGGGTCGCGTGCGCTAACCACTGCGCCACCAAAACACGCCCACTAAAACCTTTTAAGTTATAGTCGGCTAAAACCGACTAAAACTATCACATATCATAAATATTAATAATAGTTTTCGTCTTCAGGACAAAAACGAAGACTAAATCTAAGATGGCTGTTAAAAATAACACTGCATCGGTTTGTCTTCTGTATGACGTTAATTAGATCTGCTTCAGCTTTTAGTTTTTATTGTTTTCTTTGCAGCTTCTTTATATCAGAGGAAACAGATAAGCAGATAAAGTTAGAATAATTCTGAGCGGATCAACAACCAGGATAACATTTATTGTATAGGATTGTGAGTTTCAGAGAATTTTATTAAATACTTTGAAGCAGGAAAAAAGTTTAAAACTCTTCCATTATGTCAACATTTTCCATCTGACCTTTTATCATTTTTTATTATTTTAGTTTCTTAAAGCATCACAGTGTAAGACCTGTAACTTCCAGGTCTAGCTCCCCTAAAGGCCACCGGCAGCACTACGCTGTTACTGTCTGAGCATTCATCCTGACCCCTGACCTCTGACCCCTCCATCACTATATAGTGAGCTCAGTGAACCGACCGCTCGGACAAATGGTCACTACTTTCCGCTCCCCTTTGGTCACGTGACTCCGCCTCCTTGTTTTCTGCCCCATCTTTGTTCTCTTTTGCTCCTAAAACAAATCCCATGATGCTTTGCGAGGAGAGCTCTTGAAAAGCATTGTGGGATATATCTGCTGCTTCTAGAAACGGACCATCCAGACCACCAGCTACGGCTAATTAGCATGAAGGTACAGAAACCTAAAATGGCTCCTTTCTTGAGGTCCTCTTCTGTGACGTAATGATTGAAATGTTCTGACCCTGTTCGGATCCAAATGGGTCTCGGTCCAACACGTTAAAACAGATTTTACTCGAGACAGAAGAAGAAGAGCAAAGAGAAACTTTATTCAGAATCATGAAGCCGACTCAACAAACGGATCAGCGGTGGTCTGGTACCAGGATCCCCGGACCTGTTTAGACATCTTCGGTACCATTTCTGCTGGATGTGGAGGTAGGCGGTCAGGGCATGATCCGGGTCTGGTCCTGGGTCCGTTACAGCGCGGTGGAGAGGAGCAGGGGCAGCAGCAGAACCACGGAGAACCGGGCTCCCTGGGATTCCCCTGCAGAGAAACCGAAGGTTCTCCATCAACGATAACGCTTCGATGGTTCTGCAAAATACGCGGCGGATCCACCAGAACCCAGACTCACCTCCGGACCACAGCATGGCCTCCGTCACCTCCAGGGACCCGTTGTGCGGCGCGGGTTCGATCCGCAGCAGTTTGCACAGCAGGGGGTAGATGTGGATGCTGTCGAACGGCTCGGACACAAAGTTCTTCTTGAAGCTCGGTCCGAAGGCTCTGAAGATGGTCTTCATGTCCATCTCTCCGTTATGGAAGCCATGGTCTCCTTTGTTGATGTAAACGACGAATCTCTGGAGAAACGGAGAGAAGTTCAGGAATAAGATTTGGCTAAATCTGCTCCCATCCGGACCTGCAGTGCAGCCGGACCAGGATTTTGGATCCATGAAGGATTGTTAGTCATTATATTAGGAGACAAAAACATTTAATTAGACTAAAGCTTTAATAGAGCCGTCAAAGCTGATTATCTCCAGTGGAAGAGATGTGGAATAAATTCAGTTTGCCTTTTTATTACATTATTATTATTATTATCATTTTGTCACAGATTTATTCTCCTAATGTTCCTGATAACGTTAGGACTTTATTCTTGTTATTACTTTTATCTCAGTGTTTCGGCTTTAGTCCTGTAATGTTGGGACTAATCTAGTACCTAGTATGTTACCTGTTATCAGTGTTGTTTAGTAACGAAGTAAAAATACTTCACTACTGTACTCAAGTATATTTTGGAGTACTTAATACTTTCCAAGAATATAAATTTTTCTATTTTTACAGTAATTCTTATAGTTAAGTTCGAGCCATTTCAGATACTTTAAGACTTTTACTCGAGTAACATTTCAGTCAGTGACTTGGACTTTAACCAAAGTCATATTTTGGAGCGGCTTATACTTTTACTGGTCCAGATTTCAGTACTTTATACAACACTAGCTGTTATCTTGTTGATTTAATATTATGATTTTATTCACCTAATAAAAAAATAAATGTAGATATATCTTTATGTCTAATACCAGTACTGGAGTTTAGTGGAGATTCTTCTTAAATGACGTAATACCATCCATCCCCTGTGATAATCAATGAATAATCAATGGATCATTATTTATACTTGCTTGATTTAATGAATTTAGCGTTAATCAGCGAAAAAATAAACAATTTTTATCGCGATGACTGAGTCCTGGAGCGGCCATTTTTGTCCAAATATAGTAGCCCCTCCCTCCTGTCATCTTCCAGCAGTGACGTCACAGTGCGGTTAGCCTAGCGCCATTCTCCCCGCTTTACAAGCAGAATCAATGGGAACTACTAGACACATAACAACCATAACATGTATGTTGCTTTAGGTTAATAGACTATATTCATTAGGCTATGTATGCTTCTAAAAAAAAAACACCACACTCCCCCCTTTTTTTTTTTTTTTTTTTACAACTAGACTACCGTATAATACTTTCATCCATCCATCCATTTCCCGTCACACTTATCCCAAGTGGGGTGGCGAAGGGTGCTGGTGTCTATTAGAGACTGACACGGGAGTGGATTTTCACTCCTGTCCCGTCCCACTCCCACAGAAAAAAATGGTGTCCCGTCCCGATCCCGGGCCAGAGTAGAAATCTAAATCCTGTCCCGTCCCACTCCCATCCCGCTCCCATTCAGAATGACTCCCGCTCCTGCTCCCATTCTTGTTGTCTTCAATAAGATTTCTGCCAATTCATTGAATGTGAATTTCTATGAAGGGTCAGTTAAGTTCCTGTTTCTAACCGTAGTAACTGTTGGTCCCTCCATTGTTGTTTTTGAGCGCAGGTGAAAAACTCAGAGCGGAAGCACTGTTGGTTTTTGGGTCGTGTAGTTTTTTGACTCACATTATTAGTGTAGGCTTCAAGGAAAAAAACTACAAAATGGAGGCGCCAGTACTGGATGTTTTTTCTTTCTATTTTATTTTATTTTTTTGGCATCATTCCTAGTTTTTTTTAGTTATTATTGGTTTGCTCCCGCTCCCGTCTGCTCCTGTTAATCTTTAATCCTGTACCGTCCCAATCACGTGATCGTTAATACTGACTCCCATCCCGCGGGAATCCCGAAAAAATGTCAGTCTCTAGTGTCTATCTCTACGGGCGAGAGGCGGGGTCCATCCTGGACGGGTCGCCAGTCCATCGCAGGGCAACACAGAGAAAAACAACCATTCACTCACTCCTAAGGAGAATATAGAGAAGCCAATTAACCTAACAGTTAATTTACTCCCCAATTCACTGTGGGAGGAAGCCGGAGTACCCAGAGAGAACCGACTCATGCTCAGGGAGACTCCATGCAAACTCCATGCAGGTATCGAACCCGAAATCTCCTTGCTGCAAAGTGCTACCCACCGCCCCACTGAGCAGCCCTATCATATCTTTTGTAGGATCCAGAATTTAAAAGTTGTTCTAAACCTTTTCTGTTTCTGCTCCATCGAAACGTCTTGGCTAAGAAACGTATCTGGAACGGCCGCTGAATGTTAGGAGCTCCGTTCCTCCAGGAAACAAACTTTCTTCAGACTCACCGAGTTCAAGTTGAATCCCAGATCTGCTACGACCACGATGGGAGGCAGACGCTCACTTCTTCCCAGATGGAAGCTCTCTGGGATCTCGTGCTTCTTGTAGACCGTCAGATTTGGCGCGTTGGACAGAGCATCAAACACCTCCTGCTCCTTCCCCGGGCGCGGCGTCAGGACGCCGAACCCACCGTAATCGAGGATCTCGAAGCTGACGAGCTCAAATAGATTCAGGTACTTGTTGAGGATGATCTCGTCCACCAGCGGGCGCTTCTTCACGGTGGTCATGCCGTGGTCTGAGGTGATGACCACGTCCAGGCTGTCGTCCAGGTTGTGGCGTTTAATGGCGCCCCTCAGGTAGCCGATGGTGCGGTCGATCTGCTGGATGATGTTCTTCCTGTCTTCGGTTTCCGGCCCCTTGGCGTGGCCCACGTTGTCCGGCTCGCCGTAGTACAGGGTCACCAGATCAAAGTCCTCCTCAGAGAACCAGCTCATCACCGTGTCGATGTTCTGACACCACTCCGTGTAGTTGGCGTCAGGGTGGCCAGCTTCTTCAAGCCGAACTCTGTTAACCTTTTGACCCCTGTAGGTGGCGGCGCCTCCCGGAAAGAAAAACGAAGCAGTTTTCAAACCCTGAAAGAAGAAAAGATCAGATGAGCTTCAATCTTCTCCTTAGTTATGGTCACCTGGACCTTCAGGGCCTCTGCAGGTCTCTGTGGTCCCTGTTCTGATGACTCGCCTGGTCCTGAGCTGTGATCCATAGGGGCAGAATGCCGTTGTCCCACCACTCGGATCTGCTCAGGGTCTGCTTGTAGGGAACCTTCAGGTTTGTTGTGGTGTTGAACATCAAATTGTGGACAACTTCGTGGTCTTCTACCCATCTGCCTAAAACAGACATTTAACACCGTGGTTCAGCCGTAATACAGCGCACTCTGGTGGTCAGAGTCAAACTGAAATGTTTATGCAGTCATATAAAGTTTAAAGCTATAGAGGACAATCTTTCTCCTACTAATTGTCAATCATTCTGGTGATATGTTTGAGGTCGTCCTACATGCTCGTCCCGTTAGCTATCTTTTTCGGGCGTGTATCTGTGGTGAGCTACGGTTTCAGACAGTCATTGAAGCTCACCTTTCTCACTGCAGTTCTTTGTAAATGGGCCAGGGTCGTAAGAGAAAAAGTGTCTACGAAGTGTACGAGAAGAAAAGAAAGGCACCCGAAGAGGCAGATATATCCCAGAATGCTTTGCACGGAGAGCTCTCCTCACAAAGCATTATGGGATTCGCTGTCACAGCGGCCCGCTGTCGCCATAGGCTGTTGCTACACCACAGCAGTGACTAATAACAAAGATGGAGCAGGCAGCACGTAGTGGAGGAGGAGCTACGTGACCAACGGAACAAAAAACAGTGATCATCTATCCGAACTGTCAGTTAACTGAGTTCACTATAAAGTTCACTATATAGTCCCGGCTCTATATAGTGATGGAGGGATTTAGGGGTTAGAGCGGACGTTCAGACACAGCAAAGGTCTGGTTATCCTCCAGCAGCAGTGTGTCACAGTCACAGGTATTTTTGATTTATGCCAAATTTTAAAACTTGGTCTGTGCTATTCTATTCAACGCCACAACGCAGGTAACCTGACTCCGCTGGATGGATTTGCTCCGCATATCCATCTGGAAACCTTCCGTTGAAGTAATTTTGGGAAGGGGCGAAAATACTGGTTAGCTGATTGGCCTATGTTGGTGATAGACGGGCCAAATAAACCAATCAGATCAACGAAGCATATGACGTACTAACAGAGCGACGACGAAGAGGAGCCAATTGATAGATCAAACTCTTGCCGAAACCAGTCGGGAGAAGAGCAAAAACATCTTTTCCTCTGAGAAAAGCCTCCAGAGCAGTGTTTTGCTCTTCTTTCAGTGAAGAAATACTCTGTAATTCCCATAAAACTTGCTCGATAGCCACGCTAACGCTAGTTTCATGGGCTGAAGCCGCCATGTTCTTTAGACTGAACTGTCGCGCTTCTCGTTGCGTCACACCTCAACCCGCCTCAAAGCCAACGCTGATTGGACATTCGTTTGGTGAACGGCTCCAAATTTTCTTTAACGGAGAGTCTCCAGACTGATCTGCGAGTGAAACCTTGAAAGCTCGCGAGATCAGGATGGTCTCACGAGGCTACAGCGCAGGAGGGACAATCGCGAACTAGCTGTGGGTCTGGATACAGCGGAGGTGGTGAGGAATTGGGGAAAAGTTTGTGCGTCAATGGAGGGACATGGGGCCGAAAAAGAGCGGGGATCCAGGTTGGAAAAGTGTCCCAGCGTTCTCGCGCATCTCTAGTGAGAAAGTCCTCCTGAAAACATGGTCTGTGCAGTCAGTTCATCCAGATTACCATCCTGCCTTCAAGGTTGATTTCTCTGAGGGAGCCGCTCAGACCCCCACATACCAGCGCTGCGCTGTCACTGGGAATCCCACCTGATCTCTTCTTCCTGACAGTGATGCTACATGATTGGCTGAACGTTGCCACATGATGTAAAACATTGTGGTTGCCCAGACAACGATAATAACATCACAGCTTCTGTAGCATTAGCGTGTCTAATGATCGATGAAGTTTTACTTGATCGATAACAAAACTGAACAAAAAATAGTTTATAAAGGTAAAAAGTAGACCATGATATAAAGAAGGAGAGCTGGGTAGCGCTGCGGCTAGCTGTGCTGAGTAGCTAACAGGTTAGCCTCTTTTAGCTCGTCAGTTAGCCATATTAAGCTAAACTACTTTTAAATTTGTTTCAACAACAACCGTTTGTTATTCTACTGGTAAAATAACTGTTTTATTTGTCTAAAATCTCTAAAATGTCTAAAAAAGTCATTTTTTGTCCTCTGCCCTCCAATCTTAATAAAAGAATAAAGATAAGCTGAGACTTTATTTGTTGCCTTATTAAATGGCAGAGCTCAGCCTTAGAAGGCAGAACTTTCCTTCCAGACTGACAATGATTGTTTTCTCCTTTCAGCTACTTTAGATTGCTGATAAAATGTAAAATAATAGCAAATATAGGTAATAATATGTTGGGACTACAAAAGAGATTCGATCCTTAAGAAACGGTTGCAGTAGTTTGTCCGAGTGGAGTTTCCACATGTTGACGTCATAAGGAGGGGCGGGGCCCCGAGCAGATCTGGTACCTACACCGCTCGCCTCTTGGGGTTTTCCCCTACTTTTAATGGCGGTTGGAAGTAGATGTTAGCGTTTTTAATGTACGTAATCCAAACTGCAGGCAGCAGGATAATAAAAGCCAACATATTCTGCCGGCAGGTTTCTACATTTGAAGTTAATTTAGGCGTTAATAAACTGTTTCAGAGGAGTGATCATAGCGCTCTGCATCAGCAGCGCTGCGTCTGACTCCCTGCCAGCTCCCAGATCAGATTCTCTCATTGGTTGATGAGGCGCGTCCAGCAGCTGCTGCTTTTTCAGTGCATCCTGAGCCTCAGAAGCTCATGAGGCTCATGAGGTGCTGCTCCTGCTGCTCTAGACGCTGCAGGACCTTTTAATGCACCTGGATGCTGGTGAACCATTGACTTAGCATGTAAACTAGCAGCTTCATCACATGCGGTCTAAACGTAGCATAACGGTGCAGCGTAAAAGTCCTGCCCTCTGCTTGAAGTTAGTTGTTTAGCTGCCAATCTTTGGATTTTTAACATTTCTGCAGCAGTGAATTTATTGTTAATATAGCAGAAATAATGATGCTTATTTAATTTTCATTATAAAACATTGACCTTTTTGTTTAATTCTATAAGTGTTGATTTTTGAATTAAGGGCAACACATAAAGTTTATTTAAATTCAAATATTTTCAGGTCAGGAAATGCAACTTATGTGGATTCATGATTCAAGAATAAAAAGATGTTAATTTTGTAATAAAAGGCTTGAACTCTCATTGTTTCTTCTGCCTGATCAGCTTAATGAGCAGGAATCAGGACATCAGAACAAACATCTGATCAAATATTACGGCCATAAAACACACCTGGTCAGAGGTGGACGATCAGAGCACGGAACAGCTGATGTTGCTGATAAGACAGCAAACCTGAACCCAATCAACGTGCTAAAGAAAAGATTTAATAATCCTCTGATTTAAAACGCTCCGGAGAAACTGCTCTCTGGGTTTTCTAAAGGGAGGTTTTATTTTTGGATTCCTTTTAGGACCAGAACTGGATCATTATCAGAGGAGGATTAACCCTTTATAGGGGCCTCAGTGAAATACTTTAAAAACACAAATTTCAAGCCAATAGAGTTATTGGAATCAAGGAAAAGACCTTATTACCTTTGGAACATAGAAAAAATATGGATATTTTGATGGCAAAAATGAATAACAAGAAACGCCAACTTTCCCAAATATATTAAGAAAAATAACAAAAGTACTTTTATAAGAAATAAAGGAAAAACACTCTGAGAGTGAAAGAAAAAACTTTTTTTGGTCCAACATAAATTTAGAGGCATTAATGCTGATTTTTTTTTTTAGTTTATAGACCTAGATATAGTTGTTAACTAGGCTTATTAACTTTTTAACTTTACTTTATAACTTTTCAATTAGCTTTTTACCTTTTCTTCTTGTTAAATTTTTTTTTATAACTTCATTTCCAGTAGGTAATATATCATTCAAGGGCTCATTAAATTGGCCAAATGCTAAAATAAGATGTACAGCCATGCAGCAGGATCTTTGCTGAAAGGCTGGATATAGATCTTGTGCTTCTAGACGTCACTGAGGGACAGGGGGGGGGGGGGGGGGGGGGGGTATACAAGTGATAAAAAAAACGGTAACTTGCAGTATAAAGGGTGCTTACCTCACCTATTCTGGGCCAAAAGATTCTTCAACTCTGAAATAAAACCACATTTTGTTTTCATTTATTTTTAGTTTCCTTTAACAGATATAAAAAAAAAATAATTTTAGCTAAATTCTTGTTTCCAAAGCACCAATTTTGGGCTAAATTGTCTGAAAGCTGCATCTTTGGTGGTTAAGATCTGGTCCAGATGTGTTAGTGGACCTGAGAGGTGCTGGATGTCGTCCTGATTGGCTGATATTCTGAGTCCTTTCATTAAAATCGTAGGGAAATCATATTTAAATGTCAAATTCTGGCTTAAACATAATAATAATAATACATTTTATTTAACAGCGCCTTTCTGGACACTCAAGGTGACTTTACAGAAAATAAAAATGAAAATACCAAAATACAGATACAGAAACATAAAAACAGTTATGGATAGGGAGCAGCGCATTCACAGATAAGCGAGCTGGAACAGATGGGTTTGAGTCTGGCTTTAAATAAGGGGAGAGAGTCAATACTGCAGAGGTCGGGAGGAAGTGATTTCCAGAGTTCCCATGGTGACGAGTCAAGCTGGGGGTACAGTGAGGTGGATGGAGGAGGAGGGTCTAAGGTGGCAACGTGAAGGAGGTCTGACCGATATGGAGAGGTTTAAAAGTATAGAGAAGGATTTTAAATTGAATTCTGAACTGAACTGGGAGCCATTAGCGTTGGTGAAGGAGGGGGGAAATATGATGGAAGGAGGGGGTTCTGGTGATGACACGTATATAAATGTACCAGATTCAGACCAGATTGTCCCAAAAGTTAGAAAATTGCTATTTAAAAAAATCCTGTCTTAAAATCTGCATTTTTCAGGCCAGTTAGTTCTACGTCAGCCTGAACACCTAAATCCGGCCAAACATATATCAACAGTCATCTGTCAATCAAATGTTTTCGGTCATAGCATCTTGATTCATCTGTCGCAGCTAATATACGCAACGGTTTAAACCAGAATCCTTTCCTTTCCCATTGAGTTGCGTCCCAGTGTTCACGGGGATGGACGTCTGTGTCTTCGGCAGGCGTAGAGCTAACAGAACTGGCAGCGTTGCGAGGCAAGGGCTCAAACATGGACGGCTGGAAGCCTTCTACACCAAACCAAGCTTCTGCCGCCCTGGCGTCCTCTTCCACAACATCTTCGTCCCCGCTTTCCTCCTCTAAATAAAAAATGGATGACGGAGGAGACTCATCCACGACCTCCGACACTAAACTCTCCTCCTCTTGCATGTTTCCGCTGTCCATAGCGTTCCTTGACAGCGTCGTTTCTAAGTCACCAATTTAGTGCTACTTGGTCCCAATGGAATTTCCCATTGGGAACCTGCTAGCACTAAGATGCTAACTGGTTAGCAAGATGCTTCCGACAAACCGGCCACAACCAAACTTGCTTGCGAACCTTCCACCACAACAATTCCGCCCCCTTGATAAACAACCAATCACATTCACTTTATTCACTCGTGTAAAGTCGGGCACCACTGGGAGAATTTAGAAATGTAACGGTTGGAACGGCCGCTTCCTACGACTTTAAGGAGTTGATGCCCAACATTAGGCATCCCCAAAGTGGGTCCCTGAGGGCCGCTGTCCAGCATGTTTTAGAGGTTTCTCTGCTTTAGCACAGCTGATTTACATTGAAAAGATGATTAACAGGCTTTTTCTGGACGGCAATCATCAGAATCAGCTGTGCTAAAGCAGGGAAACCTCTAAAACCTGCTGGACAGCGGCCCTCAGGGACCCACTTCGGGGATGCCTGCCCTACAGGCATATTTTAATGGTTTCAGCCTCCAGCTGCGGTTCATGTTAGACCTGAATAAAGGAGTGTTTACCTGTAATGGTGGTGAAGTGGGACGGAGCCGTCATAGTCAGCATCGGGGGGGTGATGTACTTGGCCTTGACCCCATCCAGCGCCATCTGGTCCAGGTGCGGCGTGTCCACGTCCTGGTCGTAGTCCCACCTGAACCCATCGAAGGACACCAGAAGCAGCTTGTTCCTCTTCTCTCTGCTCTTCGCCGGCGTCCCTGCCGCACAGGTCGCCGCCAGCAGCACGAGGAAGACCTGCAGCCTCATCTTCACCTTCAGTCCGACTGCCAGGAGCTGGCCGGGTCTCACCTGAGCAGGTTACCCTGGTTAATGTGTAGCAGCAGTTCCCTGATACAGATCTGCTGATGGAGGAGGCTTTAGACTGTGAACATATGGGCCTTATCAGAGCAGACTTTAATGATTAGATGGACTTTGAAAGCTGCTCTAACGTATTTTTAACTCTCGATAAAAACCAATAATCTGACCCATAAAACCAGTGCTTTTATTTAACCTCTGAACCTGAAGGTCTCATGTCGTCCTGTGATGGACGGACAGCCTGTCCACAGTGGACCCGCCCCTCACACCAGACTCCAGTTTCACCAGGAATAAACAGCAACAATAGTGAAATTGTTCATTACGAAGCTTTTAGAAAACTAGATCACTTCTTATCAATGCTTGTATGTAGCTCCTTTAAACAAAAAACACATTCCTAATTTCTAAAAGTAGAATGGGAGGCAGATCTTTTAGTTGTCAGGCTCCTCTCCTGTGGAACCAGCTACCAGTTTTAGTCCGTGAGGCAGACACCCTGTCTACTTTTAAGGCTAGGCTTAAAACTTTCCTTTTTGATAAAGCTTCTAGTTAGAGTGGCTCAGGTTATCCTGAGCTATCTCTATAGTTCTGCTGCTATAGGCTTAGACTGCTGGAGGACATAGGGACCCCTTTTTCATCATTCTGCTTCATTCTATCTCTATTCTCCCACTCTGCAGAATCTGTTAGTTCAATCTCTAACGTTCTGCTCTCTCTGCTTTTTCTCATAGTAGCTTCATCTGGTCTGTTCCTGTTTGGCTGTGACTCCATCCTGGAGAGAAATATCAGCTGTGCTGCTGCCATCAACACCTTTGTTTCTAGATGTTGGAGATCGGCCTGTTTTCCAGTGTAGTCCTGTTTCTCTGACTGTGACTAACTGGATGTGCTCTCTTCATCCTCTGACATGGGAGCTGGCTCGGAGCTCGTCTGCCTGGCTGTGTGTTTCCTGGACGGGGCCGCCTGTGGAGCTGGTTGACAGTTGCCTTTTGTATCTATGCTTCTTTTTCTATGTCTGCTTCTGTCTCCTTGAACTAGGTTGACCATATTTTCCTTTCGGAAAACCAGGACACCTTGGAGCGGGGGTGGGTGGGGGGGTCGGGATCTCTGTTCCCATGCATAGAGATGTCTATATCTAGAGTTGATTTATTAAAAATGCTTTTCAGTAAAAGTCAACAGCTGTAACTCCAATAACAAACGATAATTTCATTCAAAATGTATTTAATAAAAATCCTTAACAATTCCTGTAATGAATGAATAGCACAATGAAAGAAATAATGTCTCACCTAAACATCCCTCACTTAACAATAAAAGTTAACAATAACTCTTAACTCCCAATAACAGATGATACTCAGCCTCAGCAATGAATGAAATAATGTCTGCTCTGTAGATTATTGGAAAAAAATAAAGTAACAAATGAGCTAATTAACAAAAAATACCTCTTGTGTAGCAAAAATAACTCAAAATGTACCAAAAACGAACAAACATATCAATAGACTATCTTTACTTTCGGTGTCCAGGTGGCTTTTCAGATTCCTTGCACCTCCATTAGACACCGAGACATACATGCCTGCTTTGCACACTGTGCACAAGGCCTCCGTTTGTCTCGATCCGGTCTGAAAGCGGGGAAACTCTTTTGTAAATCGTCGGTAAACATATATTTGCACTCTTGCATGTTGTTGGCGTACTGACAGCCACGCAATCTATATTCTGAGTAAGAACAGGGCTGCCCGCACTGCAAGTACATCCCGCTGCAGCCTGCGGGAAGGCGGGATTACGTCACACGCAGCGTCGTGCGCAGGGCCCTAGTGCCTGTAAATATAATGGTCCAATTAAGGTATTTAAAAAAAATCAGGACATTTCCTCACTTTCTAAAAAAAACCCGGGACGCCCGGGACAGGACGTGAAATACGGATATGTCCTGGGAAATACGGACGTTTGGTCACCCTACTTGAACCCCAGTGGGCCTCAGCAGATGGCCGCTCACACTGAGCCTGGTTCTGCTGGAGGTTTCTTCCTGTTCAAAGGGAGTTTTTCCTCTCCACTGTCGCTTCAAGCATGCGTAGTGTGAGGGAATTTACAACAAAAGGCTTCGGCTGGACAGGAGATGAATGGGCAAAAATATATGAGTTAGATGATAAGACTTTTTCTAAAAATAACCTAGTATGCGCTTGGCCACCATGGTTGTTTCCAGAAACAAAAGTTGACTTGAAACCACAAATGCAAAGAGAATGAAAACATAATGAAGTTGGGTTAAAACTAGCAGTGAAGTCATCATTGATGATGATGCAGTCTGGTAGGTGGTGATAAATACTCCTTTGACCATCTGCCAATAAAAAACATGGGCGAGGTGGTGAATGGCGCGTGTTTCTAAGCCGCTTGTGGATAAATGTTCTGGGTCGTGAGTAGCGAGGGAACAGGAAGCGATTCTTGTAGGATGGAAGAAGGAAATAGTGAAAAAAGAAGAAGATTGGAAGAGAATAGAATCAAAAAATGAGAAAAAGCTGAAAAAATAGAGATAAGTTGAAGGGGAGATCAGTTCAGAACAATCTAGAGATGAACAATCTAGAAATTGCAAAGGAAAAACTAAACGATTAACTAAACTGATTAAACTAAACGGATTAACAAGATGGAGGGAAAAGAGTTAAGTGCAGCTTGGTGGAGAACAAAACGATCAGCAGGGGGGTCATTGGAGGAATTCCTCTAAAGGTATCTGAGAAAGAGATTCTAGAAAATATAAGTGGTGAAAAAGTAAAAATAGCAAAACGGTTAAAAACAACAAGAAACGGAGAAAGATCTGACAGTTTATCTGTGTTAATTAGATCTAAAGAAGAGCAATTACCCAGTAAGGTTTTCATTGGTTACATGAGCTACAATGTGAAAATGTTGAATGATGCTTTAAATGCCAAACATTCGGTCCCATAGCAGCAGGATGCGAAGGAAAACTACGATGTGGAAGGTCTGCTGGAGAGCAGGATTATGGAAAATGAAGGAAAGAAGTTAAAATGAAATGCTGAGAACAGACTGCTGCTTATCGACGACGTGAGGTGAGCAAAAGATCTGAAGAAATTAGAAAAGGGAAATTAGAGCTCGGAATAACTTCTGCTGAAGCTGCGAAAAGCATCTAATCCCATAATCCCTGTTAGAAAAACCCAAACCAACAGTTTCTGGAGCAATGTCCCAACATTAATTGATCGTGAAGAAGAAAGATTTTGTTCTTTTCACGGTAGAAGTGATCAATGGTAGTGCTCAGACGACAAGAAAAACCGAAAAAAAAAATCTGAATAATAGTGAAAGTTCCAGAAAACTGGGAAATGGTTGAAAACATGATGGGAAAACCAGTAGGACCATCAGAAACTGGCAGAGTGACAATAAATAAAAGATAAATTAGAAATTATGAGGGCAAATGTGATTAAGTCTTTATGTTTGGTTAAGTTAAACAGTTTGGAAAAATATTATTTTATTTCTCTTTTATTTACTTATTTATTTCTAGGGAGGGTCTTGTTTCCTGTTTCCTTGTTTTACTCCTCACCAGTTGGTGGCGGTAGTGCACTTTAACTAGTCTGTCAACCGCCATAAAACCTCACAAGAAGAAGGGAAAAAACCCAGAATAAGAACAAACCGGAAGTGCTCCTTTGACCTACTAAGTACTTCCTGCGGCGTGATGTCCTTCGTTTAAATAGTTGTAGAAATGTTTCTATCTCGCTGCGGAGCTGGATTATAATCTGTTTTCGGTTCGGATTAATTGTTCCGGATTATCAGACTCTATAGAGCGCTGATTCTGGATCATCTCAGCAGGTTTGTTGCTTTTAGAAATCTGAGAATAAGGACCGCGGTTGAAGCTAGCTAACGTTAGCATCGCCAGACTCCGTTAAGAAAAACGCAGATTTTAGAGAATTGATCAAAGTCCAGTTCAGCTCCGGTTCTGATCCAAATCATCCAAACCTAAACGGTTTAAAACATGATTTCTCATCAGATTCATTAGTTTTCTTGGCATGAATGTTCATTTAACTTTTATATCCGTAAATATGCTAGAATGACCATAGACCTGAAATATTAAACTAAGTTTCACAGTTTTTTTCTGATTTTTTTTAAATATTTTTTATTACTATATAAGCAAACATATTTCTACAGGTATACACACATATCCCTCACTTTATACATATATATACATATATGTACTGGAAAAATACTTTGAAATACTGTAAAAATGTCCACAGCTGTATCTTGATTATTTATTTTTCAGATGCACTGAATTATATATTTGTAAAAACTGTACCTTATTTGAATTTATTTTTAAAAACTTTTTACCATATTGTCACTTATTCTGTTATTTTTATACACTTTTAAGATCCACGGTTGTGTGACCAATTCTGCTGTAATATTTTGCTGCTTTAAACCAGAATTTACTGACTGGGACAATAAAGGGATTATTATTATATTCTAAAAATATACACACACATACATACACACACACACACATATATATATATATATCACTGATTCTTGGTTTTAATTTTGAAATAAAAAGTTAGTTGAATTACAAAATCTGAAGGTATATTGTCAGACCAAGTTTACCGTACCGGTGCAACCTCCTAAGTCTGTATTTTTTATAGTTTTTCCTGTTATTACTTTTTTTTTGTCAAAACCATCAGACACAATAAAAAGCAAATAATTTTTATTTATTTGGTCTCATATCTATTTGGAGTTTTTAAATCATTATCTAGCATTGTTAGCACACATATATGCTGTTAAATGTAAAATATTTACTTTTTGTTAATTTTTTATACTGTTTCACTAGTATTCCTTTAAAAGATCAAACATCATACAAAGTTTACTTTTAGCCTAAATAGAAAAATTCATGTTTTTATTTTCAACACACATATTTTTGTATTAAAAGAGACTATTACTTTAATGACAGAACAGCACTGAAGGAACATATTAATTTAAAACAAATAAAAAGCCCTCTGAGGGTGGCCTAATTACAACATATAATTAAAACTGTTTATAACTCAAGTCAAACTTTTCTTTCTTAATAACTTTATTTAACTATTTGGTCCAAAAAATAACAATCATGAGCACTGAGACGAATTTTTTTTTAAGGAATATAAGGTAGAATTAAGCAATATGATTATTAAAAGTTCCCCATATCATCAAATATCAAATCTGAGGTTTTCTTCTGTTTTTAACTTTCTGATTTTAGTTTTCATTCTTTGTTTCAGAAATGTCGTCCTTGTGGAGCCTCAGACCGGCGCTGACAACGCTGATTCAAGGTGACTTTCTGTGACCTGAAAATTTAGATTTCTCTTATTTCATATATTGATCTATGCTAGTTAGGAATGATGGTGAGATGGAGCCTCGTGAGGCATTGAACAGTTTGGCCAAATTGCTTCAACGATCCCCACAGTTCAAGAGGCTCCATGTGAACATGGCACCGCCTACTGGTTGAAAGCAGAACTACAGTTAGTAATCTAGTTGTGATTTTTTTGTGTATAAAATGTCTTAGAAGAGGAAAAACCATTTAAGGTTCTTAGTTTTTCTGCAATTTTAGTGAAATAAGCTCAAGCAGACAGTGAAAGTGTGCAAACTGGGCAATGATGAGCAAAATGAAAGGTTTTAGTCATTTTTATTCAAACATAATAGCTTTTCCACAGTTTTTTGTTTTAATTGGGTTGGAAGTTATATGTTCAACCAATCCTTTGGTTAAACCAATCAATCTACTTTTACAGTGTTTTTATCCAATCTATATTCATTCTAGGGCAAACAATACAAATTAGTCACATTAGCAGGGCTCGATGTTAACCATCGCCCGATCTCCCGGGGCAAGAAGTTTTTTATTGTTGGGAGAGCATTTGCCTGCCAGGCAAGTGCAATGATCGCAAAATAAAATATTTATCACTCAAAAGTACTTTAAAATCAACGACATTCGATGAAAATGACCCACAAGCGCTACCGGCGCCATTTTTGTTGTTTTGTACACATTCTTGCGTGGTTTGAAAAAGCCGCAGGATTTCCCGCCGGATGGTGTGATTTTTGTCCGGTAATTGGCGCGAATGAGATACATTTTTTTTGAATTAGCAGGCTAAAAAACAAAAAGGCAAAAAATGTAAGTAGAGTAACACCCCCACCACCTATTTTACCCTCCACCCTAGATTAAAAATTATCAGTCAGGGATTAGGAAAATTGGCATAATCATATGCCAGGCGCACAGTGTAAATATTTCTATCTTCTGTACAGTGATGCAGGTCATATATTAAAAAAATGTTTATTAAATTTTTTTCTCTTAGACATTGGAGAGGTGCATTTAGATGTTATAGAGCCAAACATGTTAGATTGGTGACCTGTTATGTTATTATTATTGTCATTTATTTTGTCAGGGAAAACTAATCCTGAGTTAAAAGTCAGGGAATTCTGAAATGATGTCAGACTGTGGAAACCCTGAATAAAATAACTATGTATAATGATTCTCTAGAAAAGTCACATTATATTAATAGTATTATCTTGTATAAACATACCGTGACTCTAAAATAAAAGTTATTCATTTGTGACATTGACTTCTGTCTTGTGATTTATCTTAAGTTTTTAACCTGTCATTTTTTTTTTTTTTGATTTTTAACATATTTTTAACATTATAATTTATATTTTTCCAAGCACACAACAGTTTAAAGCAAAGTTTAGTTTGAAAAGAATGTGCAGGAAGGATTGAAAAGCATGTTAACACGGTAATGTAGGCTGGAGTTCATTATCTGACGCATGCAGATACACACCAGGAACCTGGAAACTTAAAAAATACTGAATTGCAAAAAACTTTTAAAAAACAAACATGTTTCATTGATATTTATACAAAAATGAATATTAGGAACTATATTTATCAAACATTATACTGGGCAAGTAAAAATTGTTTCTGGGCAAATGAAACGTGAAAGTCAACCCCTGACATTAGCCAGAATAATTGTTGTGTTTTATTGCGAATTTCTAAAGTCTCAGTTGTGTCTTAAACCAACGTCAGGAGTGGAAGTCCATCTCTCACACCAAGATGAACGTTCTTCAGCAAGCAATGCTCCTTAAAACCCAATGTTACAGCTGTAACCTTGCTCAGATTTCCATCATTATATTGTTTAATCAAACCAAACTAGTTTTAAGCAAATAGATTGGTTGGAAAAACAACCAATCTATTCTTAGAATCTATCCAACAGACAGCAGCTCCTCCAAACTCCCACATCTTGACTGAACTCTGAGGCTGTTTAAATGCTTGCCGAAGTTCCGGGGGAAGTAAGCCTCGATACAGAGATGCCCCCCTCCTCTACTCGACACGCCTCAAAGCCTCGACTCTCATAGCATCAGTATTAGTTTACGCAGCCTGTTTCACCTGCGAGACCAAACGATTCCCCTACGTGAAGATGTTTGAAAGCTAGCCTCGTGAGACCATCCTGATCTCGCGAGCTTTCAAGGTTTCACTCGCAGATCAGTCTGGAGACTCTCCGTTAAAGAAAATTTGGAGCCGTTCACCAAACGAACGTCCAATCAGCGTTGGCTTTGAGGCGGGTTGAGGTGTGACGCAACGAGAAGCGTGACAGTTCAGTCTAAAGAACATGGCGGCTTCAGCCAATGAAACTAGCATTAGCGTGGCTATCGAGCAAGTTTTATGGGAATTACAGAGTATTTCTTCACTGAAAGAAAAGCAAAACACTGCTCTGGAGGCTTTTCTCAGAGGAAAAGATGTTTTTGCTCTTCTCCCGACTGGTTTCGGCAAGAGTTTGATCTATCAATTGGCTCCTCTTCGTCGTCGCTCTGTTAGTACGTCATATGCTTCGTTGATCTTATTGGTTTATTTGGCCCGTCTATCACCAACATAGGCCAATCAGCTAACCAGTATTTTCACCCCTTCCCAAAATTACTTCAACGGAAGGTTTCCAGATGGATATGCGGAGCAAATCCATCTGGGGGAGTCAGGTTAGCTTGTAAGGCAAGGCAAATTTATCTGTATAGCACAATTCAGTACAAAGACAATGCAAAGTGCTTTACATGATTAAAATACAGGAAGATAAAACAGAATTAAAGCAAGTAAGAAAAAATAAAATAAAAAAATGTTGAAACAAAAAAGAATAAATGTTTGAAGACCAGACATAGATTCTTCCCATAACAAACCAGATTCTTTCTCAGGTTTATTTATAACATGTTACAGTTTAACCAAAGTGTCTCATTTCTTTTGACTCTGACTAGTTTCCATTATTGTAAGTAAGGAGGAACGAACGCTGCTCAGGCAGAACAGGGTTGATTACCGAGCAATAATGATGAACTGTTCTCTCTTTGCAAAGATGGAAATAAAGATCCAACTGAGTGAAATCCATCGATCTCCGATTATTTAACTGGGATGAATGGTTCAACAGTTCTTTTTCCCACAATAGTTTCCACACCTGCAGGCTGAAAAAAAAGTTTATTTTCTGAATTCAACTAAATAACCAGAATTATTTCCTCAGTCAGATAAATGTTCTGGGAGTAAATTAAACCTGTTTGATCTCCTCTGTCTGCAGTGTCCCAGCTCACCTCATCCTGGACGGGCCCCCTCCTCTCCAGGACCATGGCCACTCTCAACCAGATGCACCGCCAGGGGAAGCCCAAGCCCCCCCCTAAATCCCTGGGCGCCACCTTCGGCCGCCCGCAGCTCAAAGCGGTCATCCTGAAGACGATGATCCGAAAGCCCAAGAAGCCCAACTCGGCCAACAGGAAGTGCGCTCGGGTGCGGCTCTCCAACGGGAAGGAGGCGGTGGTGTTCATCCCCGGGGAGGGACACAACCTGCAGGAGCACAACGTGGTTCTGGTGCAGGGGGGGAGGACCCAGGACCTGCCTGGAGTCAAACTGACTGTGGTTCGAGGCAAATATGACTGCGCTCATGTGGTGAAGAAGAAGCAGTAGCCCAGGGTGGCCATTTTATTGAGTGTTTGATGTAAAATATAATTATAAATAAAGAAAATTAAGATCATCTGTATTTTACTGGAGGATATTTAACATTAGAGCATTAATAAAATCTGCTGCTTTCTAAACCCGGAGTGTTTAGAGGAGATTGGAGGAGAGCTGCTGTCAGCTGGATAGATTCTAAGAATAGATTGGTTGGAAAAACAACCAATCTAGTTGCTTAAAACTATTTTGGTGAGAATAAACAATGTAATGATCAAAATCTGAGGAAACCACCGGACACAGTTAGTGTGAACACATCAGTAGTAAGGAGTATTTTCTCCGTTCCACAGTGATCCATATGAGTGCCGTCGTCTGGGCTCTCACTCTAGAGGTCGATGGTTCAAGAACTGCTTTTAACTTTTGAAAAGTTGCGATTAAACTTAATTATTTTTGGCTGATGAGACTAATTTGAAATGGTTTGCTCTGGTAAAAATATAGATCGGGTAAAATCGCTGCCAAATTAGGTCAGTTTAGCCAAAAGATTGGTTGAACAAAACTTCCAACCTGATTAAAAACAAAAAAAAAGGGGGAAACTATTATGTTTGAATAAAAACGAATAACACCTTTAATTTTGCTCTCATTGCCCAATTTGCACATTTTCACTGTCTGCTTGAGTTTATTTCACTAAAATGGCAGAAAAACTGTAACCTGACTCCGCCAGATGGATTTGCTCCGCATATCCATCTGGAAACCTTCCGTTGAAGTAATTTTGGGAAGGGGCGAAAATACTGGTTAGCTGATTGGCCTATGTTGGTGATAGACGGGCCAAATAAACCAATCAGATCAACGAAGCATATGACGTACTAACAGAGCGACGACGAAGAGGAGCCAATTGATAGATCAAACTCTTGCTGAAACCAGTCGGGAGAAGAGCAAAAACATCTTTTCCTCTGAGAAAAGCCTCCAGAGCAGTGTTTTGCTCTTCTTTCAGTGAAGAAATACTCTGTAATTCCAATAAAACTTGCTCGATAGCCACGCTAACGCTAGTTTCATCGGCTGAAGCCGCCACGTTCTTTAAACTGAACTGTCGCGCTTCTCGTTGCGTCACACCTCAACCCGCCTCAAAGCCAACGCTGATTGGACGTTCGTTTGGTGAACGGCTCCAAATTTTCTTTAACGGAGAGTCTCCAGACTGATCTGCGAGTGAAACCTTGAAAGCTCGCGAGATCAGGATGGTCTCACAAGGCTAGAAAAACTGTGAACCTTAAATGATTGTTCTTAGAAATTTTACACTTTACATAATAAATTACAAAAGATTTTATTATACACACTAACAATTAACAATTTCAAAGGAACTTAAAACGGGGGAAAAAAAAAAAAACAATTGCAAAAAATCACAGATTTTATAATTTACTGTAGTTCTGCTGTCCACCAGTAGGTGGTGACATGTTCACATGGAGCCTCATGAACTCTGGGGATCGTTGAAGCAATTTGGCCAAATGGTTCAATGCCTCATGAGGCTTCATCTCAGCATCACTAATAATGATGACACGTGTTGTGAATTGGAGTTATTTACTCTGCAGATTAACTGAAAACCAGATGTTATTAAAAACACCTGTATGCCTTCAATTACACACAAACACTCCGCCATTTTTTTTTAACACCAATCAGTTAGTTTTCATCTTTCCTGCTACAGAAATAATTTTTATCATCTTAATCACAACAAATGCAAATATTGGAAGCAGATAGTTTATCAAACTGACCAATTACCAACATGTTCATTATGAATACCTGAAAAAGGCCCCGCCCCCGATTTGTTTTTTTTTCCCGTTTTTGCCACATTTAAGTAACTCAAACACTAAACAAACATCGTTGGTCAAAGACAACAGAAATAAACAGATGATTCAGTTTTTAAAGGAAAAGTTTGGTTATATTCAGGATCTCAACACTCGTTTATGGATGAAGAATTTTGCTGAGCACAGAATTTGGTTAAAACAGATTTTTATTGTTTTGTTTTTCAATAGTATTTCAACAGTTACCACATCTTTAGAGACAGATACAGGAAGTGCAATTTTTTTATTTGATCCCTCTTTTTAAGCAATTCCAAAATGTTTCGGTTTGATTGATTTCAAGAAGACTTGGTCTATCGTTTCTACATCACCTTCACAGGATGATGCTTTTATTGTCATCAATATTAAAACGAATTCTTAGTAAACCTTTTGAGGGGTAAAATTAATAAAAAAAAATGAAGTGAGTTTCCTAAGCTTTTAGTTTTATGGAGAGTTTTAGAATAAGAGTTCTATTCAGTTTATTTCTATAGCTCCAATTCACATCATGTCATCTCAGGTCACTTTCCAGTTCAACCAGATCATCCAGTCAGATTGATTCAAAGTTTTCTATCTAAGGAAAACCAGCTGATTGCCTCGACTCATTGACTCTTCAGCAATCCCTCACACTAAGCATGCTTGTAGCGACAGTGGAGAGGAAAAACTCCCTTTGAACAGGAAGAAACCTCCAGCAGAGCCAGGCTCAGTGTGAGCGGCCATCTGCTGAGGCCCACTGGGGTTCAAGGAGACAGAAGCAGACATAGAAAAAGAAGCATAGATACAAAAGGCAACTGTCAACCAGCTCCACAGGCTGATAACTAAAAGATCTACATGATCTACAGGGGCACTGGTCCCCGTAGGCCGCTGTCTTGAATGATGACATCATGGTGAGGTGCACTGTATGCTGAAGTCCCATGAGAAACAGAAAGCACAACTGATGTTCAAGGATAGAAGATTGAAAGTATTTAAATGAAAGACGAATTCTGTGTTTAAAAAATTACTGTTAGTTAATAAACAGTTGATGAGAAGTTGCTGACCTTAAGTGTGTATGTATGGGGCACGGTGCGGGTCTTTTTTCCCCGCGGTGTGTGTTTTTTTTGGGGTGGGGGGCTGATAAGCATCTCCCTGAAATTAGTTTTTGGAACTTGGGATGTCTGGGAACATACGGAACAATCAGATCTCTGATATCAGATGGAGCTTGGCCTTTTAAGGAGGATTTTAAATTCTATTCTGGAGTTAGAGCTGCTGCTCTTCTACAGGGTTCATTCTACTGTTGTTGTAGTACCAACCTCCAGCCAGTGGTGGCAGCACTGAGCACATATGGTTTCAGTAACTACTTCCTTTCTTACTGTTTTCTTTTTTTCGTTCTGACTTCTTTCTTCTCTGCTATCGTTAAAGGAAAATATCCAAGTTGAACCCGGGAAATCTCCAAACACTTTTTAATCTAACAGATTATATCCTTTAATGAAACCGACTGGAGCTGCGGCGGTGGAAACCATCCGAACTGCTTCTGTTAGCTTTAGCTAGCTGCTCGGTCCGGTTCCGACTTGATTTTAGAAGCTAAATACAGACACTTGTAGATCTTTTAAGCGTAGAATCGGTCTGTTTTCTATCATTGTGTATCATGTTGGATTTTAGCTGAACCTTGATACAAGAGAAATCATGTTTTATTCGTTATTTGGTGGTGTTAAAGAGACATCCGTTACTGCTCTCTGATTGGCTGAAACGATACCGCTCTTTATTCTCTGATTGGCTGAAATCTGTTGCCAGATGTTTTGAATCATTGTTGATTTGGTGAAATTTAAATCCCAGATGAACAATTGAGAAACCTGAAACTTGCTTTACTCCATATCAGTTGGTGGCGGTAATGCACATTTCACAAGTTTGCCAACCGCCATAAAATCTCATAAGAAGAAGAAGAAGAGAAACCTGAAAACAGACCAAACCGCAGCCAGAAAGGTAAAATATCAGAAAATAACATTTATCAATATTTAGTCTGAATATTTGCTGTTTATTGTTCAATCAGTGAATTTAAAATCAGCTCCATTTGTTTTTGTCCAGAGGCCTTGATGAGAGAAGATGAACGGAGTGAAGGTGGAAGATCAGGAAGATGGAGAAGAAATTCAGCAGCTTCCTGAGGAAGGTCAGAGCTGTTTGCCCCACAGGAAGTTCACGAGTTTCAGCTTCTATGCTCAGACATCTGTGGTTGCTTCTATAGAGAATAGATCTAGAGAAAAGGACAGAGGGATCATTACGATACTAAACTTTTCAACTCGATACTGATACTAGGGAAAATATTCGATACTCGATACCATTTTCGATACCACAAGGATAAAAACAAAGACTCATTAATAAATAAAATACAATAAATAAATACAATAAAGGTTGTATGCTGTGCACAATATTAAGCAAGCTTGATAAAAAAAATGTATGAAATGAAGTGTCCCTTCCCTGGCTATGCTTTGCACACATAGTATTGACGCTAACCAAACCGGTTAAGAAACAAAAATAATTCTCAGCAGCTGCACCTCTTACAAAACAAAAGTGTGAAACTGAAAAGTGCGTAGAATTATTCAATCCCACAGTTTTCAGAAAGTGCATTTTCCTCTATTCTGCACTTTAGATGAATAACTGCTTAGGTTCCACTGGTGGTGGCACTGTATCGATACTTTTAAAAACAAGTATTGTATCCGGATACAACGTTTCAGTATCAATACTTTTTTGAGTATCGATACTTTTGACAACCCCAGAGGGCCCCACCATGGGGGAGAAGTGAGAACTCTGTGCACATTCATGAGTAAAAGCCTTCATATCCAGATTTATTATTATCATTTTTTTAGGTAGATGTTGTCGTTGGTTCAGTTAATATTTAAAGTTACTCCGTGAACCAACTCTTGGTCGCAGAAGGATTTCTAGAAGAGACCGAGAGGGTGTAGACGTTGGTGAGCAAACAATCATTACGCTCCACTCCAAAAAAGTTAAAAACAATCCTCTGGACATTGTTTCAAAGTTTGATGACGTTTCTCTTCCATCCAGGAAGATTTTTCAATCCAAATGTCAGAAATAGCGTTTAGTTCCAGGTTTTATCCAGCAGCCCAACAAAGCCTGGTTTTAGTCTAGAAAACATGCAAATAAAAACGGATGAACGGGTCCCCCCCTTTGGAATGGGGGTCGTTTGGCTTCTTTGTTAGCCTGCAATGCCCCATACCTGTCTATGTCTCTGAAAGGGGGGTCGTTAGAGGGAATAGTTGGCCTGGCTGAACAGGTGAGGTCTTCTGTTCTCCTGTAAAGGGGTTGGAGCTGCGATGATAGCGGGAAGGAATCAACTCTATCGCTGCTTTGAAGGTTTTTGAAAGCTGGAATCTGGTTGACCTTTAGACCTTTACCTTTTCATTAATATCTTCAAAGCGAAAGCAGAACTGGTTGACCTTTGATGACCTCTACAAACTATTATCAATATCATTAAATTGATTTGAGGAAGGTGGGGGAGCAACTTCACTCAGGTTTGTTCTCTAACTCTGAATGTTTTTGTCCCCCCCCCCCCAGGCTCAGCGACGGCTCCAGATCCACCTAAGCCCAAACGGCGCCACGTCTGCTCGATCTGCGGTCGGGATTTTGCGGGTCCGTCCCGCCTGGCGGACCACGTAGCCACGCATTACGGCTACAAACCCCACAGCTGCTCCATCTGCGGCAAACGCTTCACCAAGAAAGTCAACGTCCTGGTCCACCAGCGGGTTCACACCGGGGAGAAACCGTACACCTGCCCCGACTGCGGCGTCAGCTACGCCCAGAGGTCCTGCCTACGGAGGCACCTCCTCATCCACTCCCCCGAGAAGCCGTTTACCTGCTCCCTGTGTGGGCGGGGCTTCGTGCAGCGGCGGTACCTGGTCCAGCACGAGCGGACTCACACCGGCGAGAAGCCGTTCTCCTGCCCGCTGTGTCCCAAACGCTTTGCCTCGCGGAGCGGCCTCTCCGACCACCAGAAGACCCACGAGGAGCAGAAGCAGCACGCCTGCTCACTCTGCGGGAAAACCTTCTACTCCGCTTCGTCTTTCAGGGATCATGTCAGGAACCACACAGGACGCAAGCTCCACCCCTGCTCGCTGTGCGGGAGGAGCTTCAACCGGCCGAGCCTCCTCAACAAGCACCTGCAGAAGCACGCAGATGGGAGCCTGGACAAGGTGAGGCTCCCTGCAGGTTCTGCCTGGTCGGCGCCGACGCTGAGGCGGCTGCTTTCTCTGACTCCGCAGGAAGAAGCTGCTCTCCGCTGCCTCCCGTGTCAGGAGGACTTCTCCTCCATCAAAGAGGCCAAAGAGCACGAGCGGCACCGCCACGCCTCCACCCGCTTCGCCTGCGACGTCTGCGGTCGCTCCTTCAGCCGGTCGACCCGACTGAAGGACCACATGAGGTCCCACACCGGAGAGCGGCCGTTCCAGTGCGGCGTCTGCGGGAGCCGCTTCATGGTGCTGAGGGCTCTGAGGAAACACCAGGAGATCCACAGCAGGCCGGACCGACCCGCCGACGCCGGTCCGGGAGACGGCCCGGAGCAGCCGGCAGAACAACAGGTGATTCACAGGGTCGGTACCGATTAGTCATCAGAATCGGGTCAGAAGATGTTCTGTTAGACGGCTCGGTTCCTCAGATGGGCGATCGGGTCGGAACATCTGGGCCATGTCTTGATCCAAACGGGCTGGTTCTGGTTTAGAGCTGAAGCTTGTTTCTGTTCCAGATACCAGACGAGCTGCCGAAGGTCCGTTCCCATGGAGACGAGACGCCGCCTTCGCAGAACGGTGAGAAAGCCAGAACTGTCCTGTTTGGTTGATGTATTGTTTCTGTAGGAGGCGGAGCCTCTACAGTAGCTCCATACTTTCTACTCTCTGTTCGCTTTTTTTTTTTTTTGTTTCAGCTCTTTTGTACCTTTTTTTTTTTTTCTGTTTTTTCCAACCGTGGGACGATTTTTATCTTTTTATTGAACACCAGCTGCTGCAGACGGGCTAGCGGTGGCCCCGGCCGCCGCGATCCTCTCAACTTCTGAATATTTTTTTTTTAAATTACTTACTGAAACACTAAATGTTCCATATAGTGAAGCTTGAAGTATAATGTTCTCACCTTAAAATGATCTTAAAACGTACTTTTATTGAAAACGGTTCATGCTGGGACAGCTGTCAGTCTGGAGAACAGAAAAGTCTGCTCTGATGCATGCTGGGTAAAGAGGGAGGGGCCAGAATAACATCTGGGGACTTTGTCCGTTCTTGTGAATTGAAATGTATAAAATCTAAATCTGCAAAATCTCTTATTTTCAACAACAAAAAATACTTAAATTATGCAAAATATCAATACAAAAATAAAACCCCTATCAGATTTATAGCCCCCCCCCCCCACTCTGCAGAGATAGTAGAATCTGTCCTTAAATTCCAGCCAAACCCATTTATACAATAACAGATAAAAACCTTTAGATAAATCAAACATTACCGCCACATATCTGACTCTATAACCATTAAAACAACTATTATCATTAATCTCAGACGGAACTATTCACTTACTGGATTATATTAAACTGAACTTCCAATATTCACCACTGTTCGGCGCCATTTCCCTTTTTCCTCGGAGCACGGAGCAGCCGGGTTGATTGTACTCGCAATGAATCCTGGGATATCCCAGGTAACAGAGGATACAGCGGACCCGTCCGTTAAAAGGAGGACGCGTTTGTCGGCTGCGTAACCAGGAGTCTTAGAATCCAAACCTTCGAAACTGGCCTTCAGAGGATGCAGCCGCTGGATTTGAATTCAGCCTAAGACTCCTCATCCTCCTCATCCTCACTGTGTTCTTTGCTCTGCAGACCAGAGCCCCACCAGAACCGAGGGCGTCCCGGACCCGTCCACATCAGAGGATCGCCCGAAGGTCCAGGAGGTGGCGGAGGGCGGACCCGGTTCACCGCGCTCGCTGACCTCCGGCAACCAGAGGAAGAGGAAGCACTGCTGTATCATCTGCTCCAGGAGCTTCCTGAAGCCCTGCCTGCTGCGGGAGCACATGGGGGTCCACATCCGGGAGGGCTGGCTCCCCGACCCGGCAGACAAGGTGAACCAGAACCTCCAGCTCCATCTTTAAGGTTTTCTTTGACGTCAGATGTTGGTTCGGTCCAACCGGATCAGGTTCTGAGGGGAACGTCTCTGGTTTTTGTTTCAGGAGTTCTGGTTCCATATGAGGACTGGAGGTCAGAAGAGGAAGGAGACCGAAAAGAAGGAGGAAGAGGGAGACGGTTTGGCCAATCAGGTGAGAAACCTGTACTTCTGAACGGGATCTGGTCTGGGCTCTACGGTTTTTACCTCCCAGTTTGAGTTCTGGAGATCTGTAGCCCACTTCCTGTCAGTCCACTTTCAAAATAAAAGCATGAGGATGAACTAAGCAGGTTGGTTAAAACCAGCAGCAGTGCTAAAAGGTTCTAAACCATCAGGGTTTAGACCATCAGACATAGAAAAAGAAGCATAGATACAAAAGGCAACTGTCAACCAGCTCCACAGGCGGCCCCGTCCAGGAAACACACAGCCAGGCAGACGAGCTCCGAGCCAGCTCCCATGTCAGAGGATGAAGAGAGCACATCCAGTTAGTCACAGTCAGAGAAACAGGACTACACTGGAAAACAGGCCAAGCTCCAACATCTAGAAACAAAGGTGTTGATGGCAGCAGCACAGCTGATATTTCTCTCCAGGATGGAGTCACAGCCAAACAGGAACAGACCAGATGAAGCTACTATGAGAAAAAGCAGAGAGAGCAGAACGTTAGAGATTGAACTAACAGATTCTGCAGAGTGGGAGAATAGAGATAGAATGAAGCAGAATGATGAAAAAGGGGTCCCTAAGGATCTCCATCAGGCTTGTTTACTTGTTTAATTTATTATTTCTGATGAACCATAACTTAATTAAAGGGGTTAAATAAGCAAATACTAGGGGTGTAAATCACATCCATCATGGCGACTCGATTCAGTATCGATTTCCTGACCCAACGATTCGTTTATTTCCGATACTCAGGAATACACCACGATATGATTCGATTAATTGGTTCTATTTTTTTTACACCTTACAGGCTAGACAATGTTTCAAATTTGAAATAAATCAATGAAAGCTGTAATATTGTTATGCATTTTATTTGAGAAACAACAGCAAATAACAGAAGTAGAAAAGTTTTACTCCACCTATTCCTATAAAAACCTCATTCACTGAAATATAATAATCCCCCTGCGTTATAGATTCTGAAAGGCCTTGCATCAGAAATACTGCATAAAATCAGTGCAATCAGTTCAATGCAATACCTCGGCTCCAGATGCCCCGCCCCCTCCACAGACGCTCCGCTGCTCCTCTCCCAAATTGTAGCTGAACGCTAACAGGAGGCCGGCTTGGTTTGTTTTTATGAAATTGCAGAAAACAACTCGTGAAGTTTGACCCGCCAGAAGAGCGAGGTGCGCATAACGCTGGGACCCTTTTTCCACCTGGATCTCCGCTCTTTTTGGCCCTCATGTCCCTCCGTCGTCGGACTAAACTCGCCCCCACTTCCTCGCCGCCTCGGCCGTATCTAGACCCACAGCGTGTAGCACAGACCACGCTTCAATATTGAGCATAATTTAAAAATGTCTGCGTCAAGCTCACTGCAACAAACTGCTGTAAGAGTATAACCAGGAAGCGCGGTAGGAGGGCAAAATAGGTCTAGCGCCACCGCAGTACGGGAGGGAGAATTACGCCCAGGAGCAAATGGATAAAAATAGACCGGAAGAAAAAAAAACATGAATCGATTTTCTTGCGGACGTATCAATGCATCGATACAAGACGATTATTATTTACACCCCTAGCAAATACTGTATCCTTTTCACAATGTCAATTTTTTTTTGTTATTGAGAAAAGCACAACCGTATTAAAAAAACCAACCCGTATTCTAAGAGTGCTTTGGTTCAAATTAGTGTTACTTCAGAGCCCCAAAAATAGGCTAAAAACTCCGGTCATCCATCCCAGGTTCTGGGTTCTGATGAGGATCTTCTGGTTTTTAAAGTTTTCCTGACAGCGAGTGTTTCGGGTTACTGAAGGAAGTTCTACGCTTTGACCCGGAACCACTCGCTAGCAGGCACTAAGGGTTCTGGCCCGATTGGAGTTGATCGATGTGTTTCCTCTGCCCCCCCAGCGCCCCCCCACCTCTCAAGAAGGACCTGCTGCTGGTAACCATGGCGACCAGGGAGGAAACGGATGCGAGGGAGAGGATGTCAGCGGTTTGATCAACTCCGACGGGGAGGAGGAGCGTTTGGAGCCGGAGCGCTCCGGTACTGCTTTGGTTCCGGCTCGGTCCGGTCTTCGTTCCGACCCGTTTCCCTGCCTCTGGTCCAGATCCGACTAAATGGAGGTCTTTAACTTTCCTCCGACCCACCAGGCAGGACAGGGGCAAGGAACCGAGGGAACGAGGACTGGATCGGACCTCGGGTCTCTGAAAGCAGATCTTTATCTTTCAGATGTTTTGAGTCTAGATCAGTTTCACTTTTCACAAAAACACACATGTGAATCATGCATGCATAGAACAAGATTCGCCAAAGTATTTCTGCTCCATTAACAATTATAAATTCAATTACAAAGTACCAGCGGTTTGTAAACTTTGCAACCAATCAGAGTTCCACTGTATGACCAATCAGAAGAAAGACTAACCCCCAGATTCCACATCCTTCACTCCAGCTTACGGCCAGAGGAGCGAAACATGCAGACATTAAAGCTTAATTTAATGTGACATAATTTAATCTGACAATCAGCATCTATCTCACACGTTTCTGACCAAACATCATTTTTTTTCGTGGTGAGTCTTTAATAGTAATTATGCCGCCCATTCAAAACACAGATGGTTTCTTTATTGATGCACTTCAACAACTAGTTTAGCAACAAGCAAACATCGACCACCGTAGAAATACAGAGAATAAAATCAAAACAATGACTTAAATTGAAAATAAAGCTTTAAAATTCTATTCTACTGATCGCTTTGGCCGCTGGCAGCTCTGAATGGGAGGGAGATCACTTAATAGAAGCATCCTGCCTTTTCACCAACAACTGTAACGGTTTCAGGTATATCAAGGGAAAAAAAGGAAGTGGAAACAAAATTGTCAAACAAAACGAGACTGACCTCTGGTGGTCAAACTAGGTGCAGCAGGAATAATCATCCAACATCGGTTTGTTCTCTACCTCCAAACTCGCCGTCTCTTCATCCAGTCCGCCGGAGATAAAACGTTCCTTTTAAAGTTTTATGATGCGCTCTTGGAAGTTTTTGTGACTTGGTTTGATTAAACGTTTAAGCCTCTTGGTAAAAAAAATGATTTAAATCTGCTTCCTGGTTGTTGGAAGTAATAGTTTGCATCCAATCATTTAATTAAACGCTCTTAGTTTTTGCGAATATAGAAGAATTATGCTCTAATTAGTAGTTAATTCTATTCAGTTTATTTCTATTTCTCCAATTCACATCATGTCATCTCAGGTCACTTTCCAGTTCACCAGATCATCCAGTCAGATTGATTCAAAGTTTTCTATCCAAGGAAAACCAGCTGATTGCATCGACTCATTGACTCTTCAGCAATCCCTCACACTAAGCATGCTTGTAGCGACAGTGGAGAGGAAAAACTCCCTTTGAACAGGAAGAAACCTTTGGCTTTCATGTCAGAGGATGAAGAGAACACATCCAGTTAGTCACAGTCAGAGAAACAGGACTACACTGGAAAACAGGCCAAGCTCCAACATCTAGAAACAAAGGTGTTGATGGCAGCAGCACAGCTGATATTTCTCTCCAGGATGGAGTCACAGCCAAACAGGAACAGACCAGATGAAGCTACTATGAGAAAAAGCAGAGAGAGCAGAACGTTAGAGATTGAACTAACAGATTCTGCAGAGTGGGAGAATAGAGATAGAATGAAGCAGAATGATGAAAAAGGGGTCCCTATGTCCTCCAGCAGTCTAAAAGTTAGCGATCTCTCGTTACTATATTTTAATATGACAAACCGAATCTTCTCTCCATTCTTTTTCCTGTTTGGTGTGATTGCAATCACGGATGTGGACCTGGCCGGACCGGAGCTAAAAATAGCTCAGCTCCGTATTTTGACTGACGGACGGAGAAAACGTAGATGGACGGTGACGTGTGGAGGAGGAGCGGTGGATGTGGAACAGCTTTCATTGGTTAACATGACTGCACAGGTGCTGTCATCCCACATGGATTACTTTCTTGTGATTGGCTTATACAAGAGAGCTCTGTGATTGGTTTCAACTGTAATGAAACGTCAGGAGAGTCTCAAAAATCCACACATGCAGTGAAGTTTAAAGTCGCAGGGAAGCGGCCGTTCCAACCGTTGCATTTCCGAATTCTCCAGAGTGGTGGCCGACTTTACACGAGTGAATAAAGTGAATGTGATTGGTCGATTATCAAGGGGGTGGGATTGTTGTGGCGGAAGGTTCGCAAGCATGTTTGGTTGTGGCTGGTTTGTGGGAAGCATCCTGCTAACCAGTTAGCATCTTAGTGCTAGCAGGTTCCCAATGGGAAATTCCATTGGGACCAAGTAGCACTAAATTGGTGACTTAGAAACGACGCTGTCAAGGAACGCTATGGACAGAGGAAACATGCAAGAGGAGGAGAGTTTAGTGTCGGAGGTCGTGGATGAGTCTCCTCCGTCATCCATTTTTTATTTAGAGGAGGAAAGCGGGGGACGAAGATGTTGTGGAAGAGGACGCCAGGGCGGCAGAAGCTTGGTTTGGTGTAGAAGGCTTCTAGCCGTACATGTTTGAGCCCTTGCCTCGCAACGCTGCCAGTTCTGGTAGCTCTACGCCTGCCGAAGACACAGACGTCCATCCCCGTGAACACTGGGACGCAACTCAATGGGAAAGGAAAGGATTCTGGTTTCAACCGTTGCGTATATTAGCTGCGACACATGAATCAAGATGCTATGACCGAAAACATTTGATTGACAGATGACCGTTGATATATTATTGGCCGAATTTAGGTGTTCAGGCTGACGTAGAACTAACTGGCCTGCAGAAGATAACGGAGAAAAATGGGACAATATTGTCTAATAAACAGGACATTTATATACTTGTTTAAGCCAGAATGATTTGAGATTTATATATGATTTACGTACGACTTTAAAGGCCACAGTTACTCTGTAATTTAATTTATAATTGTTTAAGGACTAGAAATACTTTGGCGGTGAATCTTGTTCTGTTTATTTATGGATCTTGTGTGTTTGCATCAATCGGTGTGTAGATTATTTTTTGTGCTTATATGAATCACGTGTATTTGTGAAATTTGAGGCAGATCTAGCTCCGTATTTTCCTGCTTCGTCACGCCGCGCTCAAAGCGGAACCGGTCTGAGTGCGGCGTATCGGAGCCGAGGTCCGACGATCAGCTCACCAAGCCTCCATGTTCCCAGCAGGTCCAGAGAGCCGCTCCGACCCGCCGGCCGCCGGCAAAACCAAGCACTGCTGCCCGGTGTGTGGCCGCAACTGCTTCAAGGCCTCGGCGCTGCAGAAACACCTGCGGATCCACTCCGGCGAGCGGCCCTTCCAGTGTCCCGTCTGCAACAAGAGCTTCATCCAGCAGGTCCACATGACGGAGCACCAAAGGATCCACACCGGGGAGAAGCCCTTCACCTGCAGCGTCTGCGGCAGGAGCTTCACCTTCTCCAGCGCCATGCGCCGCCACCAGCGCGTGCACACCGACGCCCGGCCCTTCCAGTGCCCCGACTGCCCCAAGGCCTTCAAGCAGCTCTGCGCCCTGAAGAGCCACCGGCTGACCCACACGGGCGTCCGCTACCAGTGCCCGCTGTGCAGCAAGAGCTTCAGCCGCGCCCTGGAGCTCACCTACCACATCGACGTGCACTCCGACGCCCATCCCTACTTCTGCAGCATCTGCAAGAAGAACCTGGGCGGAGCCAAGATGTACCGCAAACACATGAGGTGGCACGAATCGGACAAGCTGCAGACGGAGCCCGCCGCAGCGCCGGCGGGGCTGGAGGAGGCCGTCTGAGGACCAGCGAAGAAGGATCGGTTCAGAGACGCTTCGGTCATGTTCACGTTGGCTGTCAGGCCTTCTACAGGAGCTCAGAGGGGACAAAACCAGCAGATTTCCAGTTTTTAGATCATGATCAGACTCCTGTTCGCGTGACGTTTGAGGACAACTTTCAAGCTCAGAAAAACCAAACAAATAAATATTCAACAAAAATAAAAACGTATTTAAAGGAATTTTCAGCTGCAGATGATTAGATCATCACGGCGCCTCAGTTCCTGCAGCCAATCAAATGTGTCCGTCTTCTTCCACATGTGAAGGAGGGGTCTGATGTGGCCCGCCGTTTCCCATGATTCATTGCTGCTCCAAGCGAATCGGTCCAGCTCAGTCAGCAGTGGTGGATGACGGTGGCAAAAACTGACGCTTTAATTTGGAGACCTGGAAGTTTTCTGAGTTTATGGAGAGAAATTTGGTTCGACATTTTTGGAAAGCAAGATAAACTGATTATGAGTCATTTATAATGTGACCCATTAATAATCGCAAGATTAATTTAACTGATTTTTTATTTTTTTGTTAAAGATTATTCATATTTTTTTATTTCTGTTCCAGAAAAGTCGAGCTAATTTCTTTAAAACGGGATTTGAAATTAATACGATTTTTAAAAGTCAAGTTTCCAAAGAAATTTTAAAAATAATTAAAAGTAAATTAAAAACATCTTTGGGAAAAACTAAAATTTGGAAGGAAAAAAATGAAAGATATTACCGATAGATGTTGGATTTCAGAGGTTGTGGATCCAAACAGCTCCGCCCTTCCTAGGCTTTCACCGCCGGAACACTCTGTTGCCTAGCAACAGTGACAGTTGACTCCTCTGATCTCTATTTATTCCCTGGATTGCTGATCGCCCGCTGGTGGTACGGGGTTAAAGTGAAGCCACCGGCCGCCATATTGGTACTCCCTAGTTAGACCGGTATCCATGTAAACAATCGATGCGCTGCAGCATCGAACAACCATGATGTTCTCATTTTCAGGGACTGAAGACTTTAAAAATAAAGATAAATTCATCACTTTGACACAAACTGTCTGTTTCATAGCATCAGTAGATTAACTTTAACTTATAATAAATAAATCGGCCAATCACATTACAGATTCATGAAGTCAATGAAGTCTATAAATCATGTAATATAACATATTAGGAGATGAGATAAAAGTGCTAAATTGATGATGTACATGAAATATACATGGATTTATTATTTTTTAGGGCAATTACATATAATGTCTGGTAATTTTTCATTATATATATGTATATAGGGGTCAGAGAGACATAACCGCTTCAGTCAGTGACGTTACGCTACATGATTGGGTGAAAGCTGCCACATGACGTAAAACATCGTGGTTACCCAGACAGCGATAATTATATAATGATTAGCGTGTCTAATGATGAAGTTTTACCTGATTGATTAAAAAACTGAAAAAAATTCTGTTTTAGGTGAATAAAGTAACTTTTAAGGGCAATTTATGCTTCTGACGCACCGCCTCTGCAACCATCAAATCTGTCTGTGCAAAAAAAAAAAAAAGTCCTGATGGTTGAAAACACGCTCAGATCTCAAGCGGAAGTGTGCAGATAGAAAGTATTTCTTTCCGGCGGTCTGCGTGCTACAACGGACGACTACGACGAATGGTTCATCCGTCTTTTTGCCAACTCCATTAACAGAACCTGTTCCTCTACAATGTCCAGCAACTCTAGATCCATCTCCGCGCCATTGTTGTTTTTGAAGATAACATTCTCCCGCCGGCGTACAAAGTTCTCGTGACCATCCACCGTAGTTCTCACGAGTTCTCGAATAGGCTCCCCCTTGTGCTTTGGTGGGAAACTGCTGTGCGTCCCTAGATATTCCAGACCGACGGTGCAGAAGCAAACCAGCAAAACTGGTTCGCGACCAGACCCCAGCGACATTTGATGTGTGCGGCTGCACAAGTCTAATCTGCCCTTTAGATCGCGATATAAAGGGGGAGAGCCGGGTAGCGCTGTGGCTAGCTGTGCTCAGTAGCTAACAGGTTAGCCTCTTTTAGCTCGGTCAGTTAGCCATATTAAGCTGCAATCATTTTAACTTCATGTCAACAACAACCATTAATTAAAGTAGAATAACTTATTTTTCTAAAATCTCTATGAAAGTTACTTTTTAAGATGCTTCTTTTTTCCCCCTTAAGGCTGATTTATGCTCAGGAATCAGGTCGTCTGCGTGCGTCGTAGTAAACGCAGATATGCCCCGCCCCCTCCGCAGACACTCTGCTGCACCTCTCCAAAGTTGTAGGTGAGCGCAGACAGGAGGCCTCTGATTGGTCAAATCTCCATCCGCTCTACTCCATGCGTATTTCTTGTTTGGTTCCATACCGGCTTGCTTTGTTTGTCTGACCGCCATTGTGGAAATCGACTGGTGAAGATGGAGCAGCTAGAAGAGGGAGGTGCGCAAGAACACTGGGACCCTTTTCCCACCTGGATCCCCGCTCTTTTTGGCCCTCATGTCCCTCCGTTGTCACACAAACTTGCCTCCACTTCCTCACCGCCTCGGCCGTATCTAGACCCACAGCTAGTTCCTGATTTGCCCTCTGGCATTGTGGCGTGGAATAACATCGCAGACCACGCTTCAATACTGGGCAGAAATCAAAAATAAGTGAGACACACTGCTGGGGGAGGATAACCAGCGCTTCTGCCCTCAGATCTTGATATAAAAAAAAAGAAATAAGCTGAGATGTTTTTTGTCACCTTGTTAAATGGCAGAGCTCAGCCTTAGAACACTGGACTTTCCTTCCAGACTGACAATGATGGTTTTCTGCTTTCAGCTACTTTAGATCGCAGATGAAATGTAAAATAATAGCAAATATAGGTAATAATATGTTGAGATTCTAGAAGAGATTCGATCCTTAAGAAACGGGTGCAATACAGTTTGTCCGAGTGGAGTTGCCGTATGTTGACGTCATGAGAAGGGGCGGGGCCACGAGCAGATCTGGTGCCTACACCGGCTTGCTTGGATTTACAATGAATCCTGGGATATCCAAGGCTACAGAGGATACAGCGGACCTGTCCTTCAAAACACTCAAAAAGAAGGTTGCATTCGTCTGCCGCATAACGAGGAGTCTTCTAATCTGAACAGACCGCGGTGCTGTGATGTAATCAGCCGATGGCCTTCAGAGGACGAAGCCCCTTAATTCGAACCCAGCAAGGGATTATTCTAAACTTTTTAAAGAAATGTTTCTTTTTTCATTTCTTGAAATTTTTGCTTTGTTTTCAATAATATTGGAAAGGTTTTCTCCCCATACTGTCAGAGGATCTAAACTGTAATCCTGGTTCCCTCATCACTCAGGCCTTAGCTGCTGCCTTGCTCAAGGACACAGTGTTTGTGTATCTGGATCCATGTGTTGAATTCCACTGATTGATTCTCCATTAATGCATCAATAAAAAATAGGAGGAAATCTGCTGCTTTTTCTGTTTTAAAGACACAGAGAAGGTTTAAAACACAGAGATCAGACCTGAGGTCGTTTCACCAACAGGTTTACTGAAAACTGAGTTTTCTAAACCTGAAATCAGGGATACTGACTTTTCCGGTCACAAGAAGATGCCTAAGGAGATACACGCCTGTTAAGGTAGTTTAAAGTCTATTTTTCATACAAAACTAAAGGGATAAACACAAATGTGACGTCTTGCGCATGTGTACTGACTATAAGTATGCTGGTCTGACAGAACACCGTCCTCCGTGCTCGTCCCACCTAGCTGCTATATGTTTACTTTATTAATTTGCTGCATCTAAAAATATCAAAGATATTTTCATTTTAAACATAGATATGAAATAATAAAATATAACCTACAATAACTTAAATGATATCAGTGTACTAGGTCATCAATTCAGTTTAGTCTGTCCAATCAGCTGCCTGTAGTGTATTATAATGTCCAGCAGGTGTCAGTATTCTGTGAGACAGAATCAATGCAGCATCAATCCATTTAGGCTTCAGATGCCTCATTAAGCCCAGAATGAAGCCAATATTTTCTTCCTGAGAACATGAGATAATTTTTTATCTGCCTGCAGGTGTTTATTTACCTGTTTGTCAGAGGATTACAAAAATCCACCTGAGGGGGTTTATTATTTTCCTAAAGTCCCTCTGGATCTGGACTCTTCTGGTACCAGTGGCTTCCAGGTTCTGTTCTGGACCCAGAGGGGGGTTCTACATATAGAAGACCAAGCTGAATGCTTCTGGCTTGGTGTCTGTCCAGGAGGATATTTCATCCATGCAGGGGGCGGGGCTAACATCTTCAGGCCACGCCCCCTGCAGGATAAAAGCTGCAGCTTCAGGTCTGATTGTGATTCTTCACAGATCAGTCAACATGTTGCCTTTGCTGAACTTCTCCCTCAGCCCAGAGACAAACACCACCGGAGCCGTGGACTGGACCCAGGTAAGGGAGGGGGGTTGATTAAATCAGATTAAACTCCTGATTAAATCATCATCATGATCTGTTTTCACTCTGCTTTAAACTCTACTTTAAAGTATTTTGACAGAAGCATTTTTTCCTTGCAGCTGAGATTCATTTTAATCCATTAAACTCTTAAAGTTTGAAACATAAAATGCAGAAAAATCTGATTTGTGCTGAAATGGCAGCAAGAATAAGATCATTTTATTTACTGATGTTTCAGAGTAAATCTCTCTCATCTTCAATGATTAACTTTTTTAGAAACCCTTTTTAGCCCTTAGTTTAAACTCAAGGATGCTTTATCTGGTTTATCTGATTTATTTTTAATATTGTTTTATTACTGTTAAAGTTTGAACCTTTCTGCTGTAGGTACCTGTGGGTTTTTAAACCCTCTGCACAGACTTACAGGGAACTTCCTTCTATCTCAGCCCTCCATGAACTGATCCTAAATGGCTCCCAGGAAGCTCATATTTCTCTTATGTTTACGCTCAGAGAATCAGAACCAGTTTGCTCTAAATCAGGGGTCACCAATTAAAAATCAGCGGGATCCGAATAAATAAACCTATCAACCAGTAAAGATCCGGAGACATTTTTAATTATAATCTGTTACTTTAGATAGAATTTAACACTGAAATAAACTGAGGTTTTTATGCATCAGTGTTATACATTATAATTTAAAATATGTCCGTACCTTTACTGGTTGATGATTTGCTTTATTTGGACTCCACTGATTTTTAATTGGTTACTCCCAGTATAAAACCTGGAACTAAACGCTATTTCTGACATTCTGAATTGAAAAAGGTTTCAACAAAGTCCAGTGGATTGTTGTTGTTGTTGTTTTTGTTTTTTTTTGGAATGAGTTTCTATGGATGTGGATCTATGCTGGGATCAGAACCAGATGTTTTGGTCCAGATCTATGATCTCAGAACAACAGAGTGAAGCTAAATTTCATCTGAGAGAATAAAATAAATGTTTCTGCTCTGGATAAATTGACTTTTCTTTATCACTGGAAAAAATGGAAATCTAAATTACCGGTATTATTTTTTTTCTTAAAACCAGTGCCTTTGTTCTTTAATTGAGGAGGTAAATGAGACACTTTGCCAATGGAAATATATATAAATAAGAAAATTATTTGTTAATCTAATTTTAAGAGTAAAAATCCTCATTCCGTTGGCAAATCATTTTATTTATCTACTCAAATTAAGGGTAAATACACTTAATTTACTAATTTTGTACTTATTTCTTGGTAATTTTTGCAGAGTTGTTTATTAGAGCGGAGTTCTTGGGGTCGGTGCTTCTTGCTCTGGATGGGGGAAGGAGACGGGTTCTGCAGGAGTTCCTCTGCAGCAGTAGGTTGACCTCGTGTTTCTCTCTCTGCAGGTCTATGAGGCGGTCAGATGGATCCAGCTGATCATGGCGCTGTTCAGGTTGGTCCCTGCTTGATCCTTAACAGAATCAGGTCCGATCAGCAAGATGCTGCTCATGTTGCTGGTTCTGAATCCAACAGCTTCAGTTTGGCTCCTTTTAGGATGATTGGTTTCATTCCTACGTCCAAAGGTTCAGAACATTGAAGCACCAGCAGCAAGTTATTGTTATCACACAGGTGGTTCTGGTTCTGAGGAACGGATCGTTTCCATGGCGCCATCCCGCTCAGCTCGTTCAAGCAAACATGCTTACTGCAGACACAGGGCCGCGTGAAGTTCCCTCCACAGAGAAGCTGCAGAGGAGGCATCTCAGAGGTTCTGGGTGGACCAACATGGACCACATGCAAAGGTTCAGTTTGGTGGAAGAGCAGCAGATGGTAACGGCTGCGATCAGAAGTCCAGCAGGGGCTTTGGAGCGGCTGATCATGGGCCGGGATATTGATGATGGTCTGCTTCCAGGAGAAATGGGAACATCTGGAATCAGGAAACGCTGACCTGGAACCACCTGAGTTCTATTCCGTTTATTTCTATAGCTCCAATTCACATCAGGTCACTAAGGAAAACCAGCTGATTGCATCGACTCATTGACTCTTCAGCAATCCCTCACACTAAGCATGCTTGTAGCGACAGTGGAGAGGAAAAACTCCCTTTGAACAGGAAGAAACCTCCAGCAGAACCAGGCTCAGTGTGAGCGGCCATCTGCTGAGGCCCACTGGGGTTCAAGGAGACAGAAGCAGACATAGAAAAAGAAGCATAGATACAAAAGGCAACTGTCAACCAGCTCCACAGGCGGCCCCGTCCAGGAAACACACAGCCAGGCAGACGAGCTCCGAGCCAGCTCCCATGTCGTAATGGAGGAGAATAAGAATAATCCTAGATTTCTTTTTAATCCGGTTGCCAAACTCACCCAGAGCCATAGCTCTGTTGAACCGTCCATTCCATCTGATCTTAGCAGCAATGATTTTATGGGATTCTTTTTAAATAAGATTAATCTTATTAAAAATAAGATCATAAGCACTCCTCTGTCCGCGATTGTATCTGAGGTAGTCATGGAATCTGAACTGGGTTTAGACCGCTTTGATCCAGTTGAACTTTCAGAGTTAGCAAAATTATTGTCTTCATCTAAGCCTTCAACTTGGATGTTAGATCCAGTTCCAACCAGGTTATTTAAGGAGGTATTCCCTTTGATCTCCTCCATTTTAGATGTGATTAATCTATCTCTGTTACAGGGATATGTACCAAAGGCTGTTAAGGTTCATCTGGTCTGTTCCTGTTTGGCTGTGACTCCATCCTGGAGAGAAATATCAGCTGTGCTGCTGCCATCAACACCTTTGTTTCTAGATGTTGGAGCTTGGCCTGTTTTCCAGTGTAGTCCTGTTTCTCTGACTGCGTCTAACTGGATGTGCTTTGATTTTCCTTCCTTTATCTGAAAGCTAATTTTTCTGATCATTAACGGCAGATTGTTTCCTTTTTCCCAGCATCCTTGGTTCGGGCTCCATCATCTGTCTGATTATTCCCAGACTCAGCCATACGCCGGAGGTCAGTCACTCCAGCCGGTTCAGGCTAACATCTGGGCCGGGCTCTGGTGTCGCAGCGCATCTTTAAAGCTGCTGTCCTGTTGTTGGTTTTGCAGCTGCAGCCTCTGTTCCAGCTCAGCGTTGCCGACCTGCTGCTGGCCGCCTGCTGGCTGATCGGAGCCGTCCTCTACTCGCAGCGCTGCAACCAGCTCAGCCTGCTCTGCTACAACCTGCACACAGTGGAGCAGGTAGCCATCCCTCTGCTGCTTCTGGGGTTTTTAGGGGAAAGTTTTTTAGAAATTTCAGTGAAAATGTGAGGAATTTCCATGAGTTGTATTTAGAGCCGGGTCCCGTTTCCTCCTAATGCACAAAACCTTCACTGTTAGGAAATAACAGCTTCCTTAAAAACCCATCTGAGGCTAAAACCGCAGGCAGGGAACCAACGTATACAAAACAAGCTGTAGTCTGTCCTAATGCTTTGATCCGGTTTCTAACTAAACACAGAACTGGTGTGAGTACCAGGACGTCCACGACCAAGACATGCCAACGTAGGGGAAGTAGTTTATTACCATTAGTGAAAATAAACAAGAAAAAAGTCAGTAGGAAGGATGAAGGCTGTTCTGCCAAATGCATATTATGCATTAACCCAGTTTAGCTTGAATAATCAATGATATTAATACTTTCAGGGTTAGGAAACATGTCAATTCAGTTCTATTCAGTTTATTTCTATAGCTCCAATTCACATCATGTCATCTCAGGTCACTTTCCAGTTCACCCAGATCATCCAGTCAGATTGATTCAAAGTTTTCTATCTAAGGAAAACTAGCTGATTGCATCGACTCATCGGCTACATTCACACTGCAGGCCTTAATGCTCAATTTCGGTGTTTTTTTTTTGCGAAATCCATTTTTTTTTGCGTTGCGTTGCCGTTCATATTTCCAAATATATGCGACTCCTATGTGATCTCCTGTGTGAACTGCAGTCATACAACGCAAGTGTCCCGCATGCGATGACATCACAGGCTAGCGTGTTTACGGAAGAAAACATGGATGGTAGCAATCTTTCCCAACCATAAAAACGCAATCTTTTCAACATGGTTAAACATAAATACTGCTCTCTGCATCGTCATCCGCCATGGTTGTTGTTTTTCTTGCCGCTTCTGCGTAGCAAGACGCAGAATCGTGACCTTTGTCGGGTATTAATAACGTTCGTTCAGGTCGGATGAATGCGACCTGCCCGTTCAGACACATGTCGCATTTGAAAAGATCCGATTCGTATCGTTTTCAGGACCACAGAGCCAAGTGGCCTGGCATTGACTCTTCAGCAATCCCTCGCACTAGGCATGCTTGTAGCGACAGTTGAGAGGAAAAACTCCCTTTTAAGAAGACGAAAACCTCCAGCAGAACCAGGCTCAGTGTGAGCAGCCAGCACCGTGGGGTTAAAGGAATAGTACACCCAAAACATGATTAGCCTTCATTTTCTACTCACCCCCATGCTGAACAACACTCTGGAGTACTTTTTTGATATCTCAAATGCATCTGGAGATCTGGGAGGCTTCTTGTTGTCTGCTGACATTCAAATAATGGAGGTCTATGGCGCCCGAGACAGAAATGTCCATAAAAGTCCACAAAAAACGTGTCAATATTCCTCCATACTGCTCGTCCAATGTATTCCAAGTGTCCTGAGTGGGTAGCGTCCATGATTTACTCGAAACGAAGTCATTTAGAATGTTTTAGAGCATAAACAGTAGTGTATAGGATTTCCTGAAAGCGCGTTCACGAGTCTACGGAAGCCGGCAGACCAAACCAGCGCATTCAGCTCGGCAAAGAACTCATGCTCTTCCTCAACACTGAAGTCCTCAGACATTTTTCTTTCGTTGTTTCTTTCTTTGCACAGGTAAACGGCACATTTCTTCTTCTACGCTTGCATTATCGGCAGAGCAGACGCTGAATGCGCACTTTCATCTGGTTTGGTCTGCCGCGGTTTCCGTAGACTCGTGAACGCGCTTTTAGGAAATCCTATACACTACTGTTTATGCTCTAAAAACATTCTAAATGACTTTGTTTTGAGTAAATTCTGGACGCTACCCACTCAGGACACTTGGAATACATTGGACGAGCAGTATGGAGGAATATTGACACGTTTTTTGTGGACTTTTATGGACCTTTCTGCCTCGGGCGCCATAGACCTCCATTATTTGAATGTCAGCAGACAGCAAGAAGCCTCCCAGATCTCCAGATGCATTTGAGATATCAAAAAAGTACTCCAGAGTGTTGTTCAGCATGGGGGTGAGTAGAAAATGAAGGCTAATCATGTTTTGGGTGTACTATTCCTTTAAGGGTCTTACTCAAGGACCCAGAGGGGCAGTTTATGGGAGTTGGCTTCGAACTCACAACCTCAGGATCTCTATGCAGTAGCCACTAGGCCGCTAAAAAAATATATTTTTTTTAAGGCTGTCCCTAATGTGCAGCATCAGAGGAGCAGTCTGGGGTTTAACTCACCCTGGATTACAGGTTCTATGCACCAATCTCTAGGACACCACCTCCGCTACTTTCATGAGATTTGATACCTTGAGGTAGTATAAGTCAATTGAATATGGATTCAATTCTGGCACGCAACACTTTTTGTTCCTCTCTGTAAGCTGATAAAGCAGAAGTGCAAATGACATGTATATTTTAATAAAAATAACAGAACCCGAGGATGCAGCTTTGAGGAACGCCTCTTCACTTGTTTTTCTTTTTAACTCGTACATAAACCTAAAAAAAACCTTAATCAGATGACATGCCTTCTAAAAGGGTTTTTCTGAAAGTAACTTTTAATGTCATGAGTTTTTATTTTTAAATGGGGCTGTACTAACCTGGAGCTGAACCCAGAACATCTGTTTTCTCTTCACTATCTGGATTTTCCCTCCAGATCAGCAAAGCCACCGTCATGGTCAACATCTGGCGTAAAAAGCAGCAGCTAAACCGTCTGAGGTTTCTCCCACACATCTGGCCTTGATGTGTTTGGAACAATTAGGGCTGAAAATATTTATTGGATAAATTGATAAATAGTTTAGTGATGGATGTTAACTGGAGTATAAACAGTCTGGAAGATGATCTTTGCTAAAAGAATAACTCAGTCAGAGAATTCAATTCTATTCAGTGTATTTCTATAGCTCCAATTCACATCATGTAATCTCAGGTCACTTTCCAGTTCACCAGATCATCCAGTCAGATTTATTAAAAGTTTTCTATCTAAGGAAAACCAGCTGATTGCATCGACTCATTGACTCTTCAGCAATCCCTCACACTAAGCATGCTTGTAGCGACAGTGGAGAGGAAAAACTCCCTTTGAACAGGAAGAAACCTCCAGCAGAACCAGGCTCAGTGTGAGCGGCCATCTGCTGAGGCCCACTGGGGTTCAAGGAGACAGAAGCAGACGTAGAAAAAGAAGGATACAAAAGGCAACTGTCAACCAGCTCCACAGGCGGCCCCGTCCAGGAAACACACAGCCAGGCAGAGGAGAGAAGCCACTAAACTAAAACCTGACAATAATAAAAGCTTTTTATTAACTGTGAACAAACCTTCCTGGTCTAAAAGAACAAATTTAAACTAACTTGGATCTTTTGTTTGAGCGTTTTCTCTCCAGAAGCTTCTGGACCTGAACTGATGTTGGTGTCTGAAATGTTGATGTTTAATACAGGAAACTTTTTTTTAGCATCCTTTGCTACACATGCTAAAGTTAACCCTAAAGATATGCTGGGTTATGAAACGTTGATTTCAGTTATAGAGAAGAACATTCATTTCCGTGCATTTTTTTGTGTTTTTATCATGAAATAATCATAAGTACATTAAAAAAATTATTTTTTGATGACTTTTTTTTTTTTTTTACCCAATTTCTCGATGAATTTTCAGAATGTTCAATTGATAAAATGATCGCTAGCCGGAGACCTTATCATAAACCGCTAACGTCTGTTTCCAAACTCCCAGTCAGATGGATGGTTCTTCATGAACCGCCGCCTGGATGTCTGGATGCTGATGAAACCTTAAGCTGTAGTTCTGTCAGATCAGCGTACCCATAGTCAGTACACATGATCAAGACGTCCCATTGCTGCTTATCTCATTAGTTTTGTATGAAAAATAGACTTTAAACTACCTCAACAGACGTCATTTTATCCCCAGAGGGTCTTAGGAGCAAATTCTGGCCAAAATTCCACGTGTGAATTAAGGCAAGTCCAGCTCCCAAACTATAAATAGGAAATACAATTGTTTATATTTGTATAACAGAAAAGCATTGAGGAATATTTTTCAATTTTTTTTTTGTCACCATGTCTGATTTATAGGTGATTAAACAAAGAAAAAAAATGAAAAATATTTAGCCTCGCCACGTTTGTTTTCCAAAATAAACACTGCAAAACACCATAAAAACCCATCTGAAGCTCAGACTTTATAGATCCACATCTGAACTCAAGCTAATTTGGACTGAATAAGTTGAAGCATGTTTGTTTGTTCCACAAAGGTTTTAGTGGGCAGTGTGATTTTGGCACAATGCATTAAGTGCAAAAATGCATTTTTTTCAACTCATAATAGGGAATCTGGTCAGAAAAATACGCTGATTTCCATTATTGGAGACCTTCTGCATAAGACAAATCCTTTACTCCTAAGATTTATTTGTTGTTTCATTGAAATATATCAATAAACTGAATAGAAAATAAGAATAACAGAGTAAGCTTATGTAACGCATGCCGGTTACATCACCAAAAATGGTCGCACGATGACCTCCTTGGAAAGGTCTGAGCCTCTAGTTTCCAATGATGCCGGCCATAAGGGGGCGGGGCTAAAAATGAAGACCTGCTGATGCATTGCTCCCGCACAGTCACACTTTTCAGCTGGAATTTTACATCTTATTGTATGTGTTTACACAGATGTAAAACAAAAAGTATTTGTGAAAAAATAATTTTTAAACCTGTTTAAAATTTTAAAAGCCCCATTTGAGAGGCGGGTGGATGAAACACCATGTGACTGTTTTGGCCATTTCTATAAATGGATAAACATCAGCTGGAGTCAGCTGGGCCCTGTACCAGGCCCACCATACGCTTAAAAAACAAACAAACCCAAAACTATGCAATTAAATAGTTTTTTTGTACATGACTAAAGGGATAAATGGGTTTTAACTATTAGTATGCTCATCTGACAGAACAGTCATTAATTTTGTTACTGATGCTCAGATTTCCAGGGTAGAAATGTGGTCTGTGAAGCTATCAGCTGCTGAGAGGAACCATGAGGATGTGGAAGTTCCTGTAGCTCCAGGAACAAACATCCTTATCTGTGTTTAAATCAAAGTTGATTCATCCAGAACTGGGTCAGTAATGGGAGGAAATGGAGCGGCAGAACCAGGCCAGAGTTCTGACCGGGCAGAACACATTCCTGACCTATATCTATTGTGCGGATTTCAGCTGCTGCTGTAACCCTCTTCCGCTGGAGGGTGTAAAAAACGGTCCGAACCAAGTGGATCTGAGGTTCTGGAAGGAAAAGGAGTAAACTGAAACCCATTTCAAACTCTGTTTCAGATTCTGTACATGGCCTCCTTCTTCTTCACCCTGAACTATGTGTGGAACCTCTACACGGTAACCAGGGAGAAGTTCAACAGCTGCTTCAGCGGATACTCCGTACAGGTACATCCACACCTCAGAACCTCTGGACTTCAGAGCATCTCCTACAAAGCCTGAAGTTATTCTTATTATGAACAATATTGACTCAAAGAATCGATCAGTTTTACCCACCAGCTCTGCTTATCCCTAAATAAAACGATTCTGGAAGATCCAAACAGCTTTTCCAAAACTTTTATTGTCTTTATATTGGACCAAATTTTAGTTTTCTTCTCCAAATGTTTTGCTTCTGGTGAATGATCCAAATAAGTTAAATAATATAAAACAGGAATTTATTTTCTAAAAAAGATTTTTTTTTTTTTAAATTATATAAAAAAATTTATAAAATGAGATTCCATACTTAGTTTAGTTCAGTTTATCTCAGTTTAGCTTAGCTTAGCTTAGCTTAGTTTAGTTTATCTTAGCTTAGTTTAGCTTATCTTAGCTTAGCTTAGTTTAGCTTATCTTAGTTTAGCTTATCTTAGCTTATCTTAGCTTATCTTAGCTTAGTTTAGCTTATCTTAGCTTATCTTAGCTTAGTTTAGCTTAGCTTAGCTTAGTTTAGTTTAGTTTAGCTTATCTTAGCTTAGTTTAGTTTAGCTTATCTTAGCTTAGCTTAGTTGATCCAGAGATCAGTAGGTCAGCTCAGTTTACGAAAACTTATCTTAGCACCTGCCTCTTATTTTTTTATTAACCTCCTTTAACTTAGTTTGGAAAAAAAAATAGTCCCTTCTAATGTCTTTATTTTGGTGTTGTATACGTTGCTTAGCTTAGCAGCTATTAGGAAAAAGGGGTGTTGTTAAATAAAGCTGTTTAGCCTAATTTAACCTGATTTAGCCATTTTAGCTGAAGTTATTTGAACTTATTTTATTCTACTCTGACATACCTAATTTAGCTTAGCTTAGTTTAGTTTAGCTTAGCTTAGTTTAGTTTAGCTTATCTTATCTTAGCTTAGCTTAGTTCATCCAGGGAACAGTAGGTCAGCTCAGTTTACGAAAACTTATCTTAGCACCTGCCTCTTATTTTTTATTAACCTCCTTTAACTTAGTTTGGAAAATATTTTAATAAATAGTCCCTTCTAATGTCTTTATTTTGGTGTTGTATACGTTGTTTAGCTTAGCAGCTATTAGGAAAAAGGGGTGTTGTTAAATAAAGCTGTTTAGCCTAATTTAACCTGATTTGGCTATTTTAGTTAAAGTTATTTGAACTTATTTTATTCTACTCTGACATACCTAATTTAGCTTAGCTTAGTTTAGTTTAGCTTAGCTTATCTTAGCTTAGCTTAGTTGATCCAGAGAACAGTAGGTCAGCTCAGTTTACGAAAACTTATCTTAGCACCTGCCTCTTATTTTTTATTAACCTCCTTTAACTTAGTTTGGAAAATATTTTAATAAATAGTCCCTTCTAATGTCTTTATTTTGGTGTTGTATACGTTGTTTAGCTTAGCAGCTATTAGGAAAAAGGGGTGTTGTTAAATAAAGCTGTTTAGCCTAATTTAACCTGATTTGGCTATTTTAGTTAAAGTTATTTGAACTTATTTTATTCTACTCTGACATACCTAATTTAGCTTAGCTTAGTTTAGTTTAGCTTAGCTTATCTTAGCTTAGCTTAGTTGATCCAGAGAACAGTAGGTCAGCTCAGTTTACGAAAACTTATCTTAGCACCTGCCTCTTATTTTTTATTAACCTCCTTTAACTTAGTTTGGAAAAAAAAAAAGTCCCTTCTAATGTCTTTATTTTGGTGTTGTATACGTTGCTTAGCTTAGCAGCTATTAGGAAAAAGGGGTGTTGTTAAATAAAGCTGTTTAGCCTAATTTAACCTGATTTAGCCATTTTAGCTGAAGTTATTTTAACTTATTTTATTCTACTCTGACATACCTAATTTAGCTTAGCTTAGTTTAGTTTAGCTTAGCTTAGTTTAGTTTAGCTTATCTTAGCTTAGCTTAGTTCATCCAGGGAACAGTAGGTCAGCTCAGTTTACGAAAACTTATCTTAGCACCTCCCTCTTATTTTTTATTAACCTCCTTTAACTTAGTTTGGAAAATATTTAAAAAAATAGTCCCTTCTAATGTCTTTATTTTGGTGTTGTATACGTTGTTTAGCTTAGCAGCTATTAGGAAAAAGGGGTGTTGTTAAATAAAGCTGTTTAGCCTAATTTAACCTGATTTAGCCATTTTAGCTGAAGTTATTTGAACTTATTTTATTCTGCCCTGACATACCTAATTTAGCTTAGCTTAGTTTGGTCTAGCTTAGTAAAGCTTAGCTAAGCAGCATGTATCTCAGCTAAATTTAGCTTAGCTCATCCAGGGAGCCCAGATTAGGTCGGCTTGCTTTAATTAAATTGACATTAGCCTTATTATTTTCAACTTACATCAAATCCCGCCTGTTTATCCCCCCCCAACTTAATTCAACTTAATTTAGAAAAAGAAACAAAGAGTTGAAATCTTCAATTTGCTAAGTTTTAATCAATTTTTTCTGTCTTAACTTGTTTAGCTTAACAGCCCTTAGGAAATGCTGGAGGGCTGTGACAGAAATCAGTTTATCTTGATTTAGCTATTGTAGCTGAAGTTAACCTTATTCTATTGGTTTTTCATTTTGTGCCTAATTAGGGGGGCCACATGCCGAAGGCATGGCCCACCTACTACTATCTCACATATTTATTCCGCGTATTATACTAGCTTATAGTTCTCCTCGCCACCAAAACTTCGGCACCTAACTAGTCCCGCACGGTTTGGCGGATCGGGCCCAAAGTTGGCACACGCGTCGGGACCAATGGGGTGATGTGTGCTTGTATATAACTTTCTCATTAGTCCGAAGGTTTGCGAATTATTAGCGAAAACGTCGCAAAAAAAATCCCATAGGAAATGAATGGGGAGAGCAAAAAAAAGCATAAAAAACAGCACTTCACTGTGTCACCATACATTCACCTAGAAAAACAGTTTAAAGCTCAGTTTGTAGATAAATCCTTCGTCTATTTAAAACTGAAGACGGTATGTTGATAACTGCTACGGTTTTTGTATAATCAGACCTCAAGCGCCACAAAGTTTTAGCAAAATCCTGCCTGCTAGAGTGGAGCAACTGAAAATTTAGAGTGTGAGGCAGCCGTTTTTTTAAGACCAAAAAACATTTTAAACTCGCCCTCACGGCCACATATTTATAGCTAGAGTCACCATTTTTGGTCAGTTTGTAGACTGAAATCTCTGGACCCACACAATGTCTTCGTAATTACGGTAGGATTAATACTTTTCCTTAAAAACCCTCCAGACCGACCTAAAGTCGATCAAAATCAGAGCCGTTTTTCATTGGTTTTGGAGCTGAAGAGAGGAGAAAAACGATTGACAGTATGTGTTTTAAACTCGTCATAAATATTGTTCTGAAAGACACACATACACCAAAGTTGGCATAGTTGGAGTCAAAGGATGGCTGACGCTCACGGTGAAAATTTTTTTTCAATAACTCATACGGTTTTTGCTCAGCAGTCGTTTGTTCGGAGGACATTTTAAGCACCAGAAAGCTAGGTGAGAGGGATCTGCTGCAGCTAGCTCAATTAGAAGATCAGGTGTGAGAAAACGTTTTGTCTTTTTCTTTCTCTTCCCATTCAGGTTGTAGATGACCTACAGCCATGAAAGTTACTCCAATTGAAGACAAGATATAGCTGTTGCTTAGATAAAAATAATTTTTCAGATACCTTTTACGGTTTTTACTCAGCAGTCGTTTGTTCGGAGGGGTGCTTTAGCAGCTTAAAGGTGAGTGAGAGGAGCTGCTGCAGTTAAAACAAAGGGAGGAGCAGGTGGGATCAGCCATTTTGTTTGTGCTTCGTTTTGGGTTGTGAAAGACCTACAGACATGAAGGTTACCCCAGTCTGAGACAAAGGATAGATGTTGCTTTCACTGAAAGAATTTTTCAAATACCTTTTACGGTTTTTGCTCAGCAGTCGTTTGTTCGGAGCTGTTCCTCCCATTCAAAAAAGCCTGAGAGCTAAGGAACGATAGTGCTGCGCTTTTCTCTCTGTCACTGACAGGCTCGTTAAGCGTTGTCAAGGTAACCGTGCTTCAAACAGATTTTACCTCTGCTGTTTTAAACAGCACATATTAATCTAATGGAGGGTGAAAGCACAGATTTAACATTGGGAAATGGATACTATATGACTGCTGTCCATGACACTTCCCTTGCCACTCAACACTGATAGACTTTCAAAATAAGACTCCAGGGACCCTTTCAAAATAAAAGCCTCTATATTTTTTACATATATTTATTGCCCTATATGGCTCAACATTATGACCCAAACTCAACCCCATTTTAGAGAATAGACTCTAGGAGACTGTTTAAAACACACCCTATGGCAAATTTCAAAATAAAAGCCTCCCATTTCATCTTCATCTACTGCCCTAATAACATGGAAAAAAGAGTGATTTAACGATTGGAAAGTAATCAACTATCATTGCTGGGTCTGAACATTTTCTCTAAACACAACTCTGTTGGACTTTCAAAATAAGACTCCAGGGACCCTACAAAATAAAAGCCTCTAGATTATACTAATGCAGTAATTGATGCAAATGGCTCAACATTATGACCCAAACATTTCCAGGTTGTTTTTATTAGACTCTAGTGACCTTTTCAAAACACACCCCAGAGCAAATTTCACAATAAAAGTCTCCCATTTACTCTGTAATACAGCAGCTATTCACCTAATAACATGGAAAACCAGTGATTTAACATTTGGAAATGGATTCTATATCACTGCTGGGCATGACCCATCTTTTGATGCACATCCATGATAGACTTTCAAAATAACACTACAGGGACTCTACAGAATAAAAGCCTCTTCCTTATACACACTCATACATTCTGGCATATTGCTCATAGCCATTTGTAATTTCATCACTGCAATGGCTCTGAGCATGCGGGCGGAGCCCGCCATTGGTGATTTCATCACTGCAATGGCTCTTAGAAGGCGGGCGAAGCCCGCCAATGGTGATTTCATCACTGCAATGGCTCTTAGCAGGCGGGCAGAGCCCGCCAACTGCGCTTTACCCACTGCGGTTCAATATGGACAACCCATATTACCCTTGTGCATCATATGCTGTGCATGTCTATTTCCCAGATTTCAGCACAAGTGGCACACAGCTCTCTTTGCCCATGACCTAGCCCTCTTTCCTTCCCTCAGCAGCCCTCAAAGGCGTAAGCAGTTGGTCTGGGGAGCCCCAATGTCACTTGCCAGGGCCGTATTGGCCCAGTTACCCAGACGGGCAGTAGGTGGCCCCCCTCAAAATTTCTTTAGAAATTTTCTAGTTTATCTTAGCTCTCCTAAGTGTTGATTGAAAACCGTTATTATACCTTTTATTTTTACAGGCAAGTCATTAAGAACAAGTTCTTATTTCCAATGGTGGCCTGACAAGTGGAGTAACCAAGATGGAATGAAGCAGAATGATGAAAAAGGGGTCCCTATGTCCTCCAGCAGTCTAAGCCTATAGCAGCGGAACTATAGAGATAGCTCAGGATAACCTGAGCCACTCTAACTAGAAGCTTTATCAAAAAGGAAAGTTTTAAGCCTAGCCTTAAAAGTAGACAGGGTGTCTAAAACTGGTAGTTGTTCCACAGGGAAGCAGTGCTGTTTGTTTTGGAATAAGTAATTGTAGATGAAGTGAGGAGCGGGTGTTGTAAGTGAAAGGTTTTGGCTGCAGCAGGTGACCTAAATAAGGAGGTGAGCGGCTGGGAAAGGTCTCATAAATGAAGATGAACCAGAGTTTTGTCGATTGTGAAGGGAGGGCCAGTTATCAGATGAACACAGAGCGCAGTGGTGCGTATTGAAAGGAGCATTTATGGCAAACCTGATGGCGGAATGGTAAAGATTGTCAACTTTTGATTGAGTGGATTTGCAAGCAACCCTATATATTGTCTCCATAGTCTAAAATGGGTAGAATGGTCATTTGGGTAAGAGTTAGTTTCCCAGAAGTGGTGAAGGAAGTGCGGTTTCTGTAAAGGAAACTAAGCTTAGCCTTGACTTTAGATTGTAGCTTGGCCTGTTTTCCAGTGTAGTCCTGTTTCTCTGACTGTGACTAACTGGATGTGCTCTCTTCATCCTCTGACATGGGAGCTGGCTCGGAGCTCGTCTGCCTGGCTGTGTGTTTCCTGGACGGGGCCGCCTGTGGAGCTGGTTGACAGTTGCCTTTTGTATCTATGCTTCTTTTTCTATGTCTGCTTCTGTGTCCTTGATCCCCAGTGGGGCTCAGCAGATGGCCGCTCACACTGAGCCTGGTTCTGCTGAAGGTTTCTTCCTGTTCAAAGGGAGTTTTTCCTCTCCACTGTCGCTACAAGCATGCTTAGTGTGAGGGATTGCTGAAGAGTCAATGAGTCGATGCAATCAGCTGGTTTTCCTTAGATAGAAGATCTAGTGAACTGTACAGTTCGTTGAGGTGACGTGTTGTGAATTGGAGCTATAGAAATAAACTGAATAGAATAGATTTGAAGGCCTGCAGGGGCGATCTTTTATCTCTTTCTTTCATCATACATAAATGTTTGCTTTCTGAGTATTTTTCTCCTCTTTTCCCACAGTTTTCCAACAGAGTGTCTCTGACGGCGAAACTGATTGCTCTGTTTTCAAGGTGAGTAGAACCAGCAGTAGTCGATCTACCTGGAAAACACCTGGAAACCACCTGGAGTCTCCTGGAGGCTGATCCTTCTCTCCTGTTTGCTCTTCAGCCTGGTTCCTGCGCTGCTGATGGTTCCTGTCTTCGTCCAAGGGAACGCGGGCCACTGTCAGACCAACTTCAGCGAGCCCTACAGGTGAGCGCACGCCTGAATCGAGGCGTTCTGACTGTTAGCGTTTCTGTGAGGTCTCCTCGGACCCTGACGGCGTCCGGTTCTGACACCAGGTGTCTGCTGATGCACACCGGAGCTCTGTTTCTGCGCCCGGGTCACCAGCAGCTGAGCAGTACCTGCAGCATTCTGCACCGCTACCAGATCGTAGTCTTCCTCAGCACCTTCCTCTTCACTCTGCTGGGCATCACGGTGAGTTCAGGAGGTTCGGATCAGGTGTAACCTGACCCCGACCCCATCGGCCCGTGTTTGATTAAGAAAAACAATCCTGTCCCCCAGATCCTTGTGGTCAAAGCTCGATGCATCCAGAGGCGCGCTGTGACTGCAAACGGTTACCTAGGCAACGAGCAGCGAGCCTTGTTCCGGGTGATGGACCTGCGGATGCTGCTGTACCCTCTGGTCTTCGTCTTCTGCTGGGGACCAGGTGCGTTTCTGTCCGATCAGGCGGCGGCTCGGTTGCAGGGTCCGTCTGACGCCGTGTCTGTTTGTTTCTGGGCTTTTTCAGCCGTTACTCTGGCCTTCCTTCGGGTGGCGAAGCCGTCATCGGGTCACGGCGTGCTGGGAGTCTGCCTCTACATATCCGAGGTCAGTTTGGTTCTGAGTGGAGATGCACCGATCCGGTCGTATCGGGCCGATACTTTGAGGTCTGACCTGTAGAGCAGAGGTCGCCGCTGAGGGGGGGGGAATCAACAAGTTTAATCCCATCATGTGATTTTTATTTTTGTTTTTACAAATTTTAAAACATTTTCTGTTTAAAGCGTAAAATCACAACTTGGTGCAATCTGAGTGTCTGGACTTACTAAACCGTACTAGATATTTCCACAGTCCTAAATCTATTTTCTTTCCGTTTGTACATAGATACAGCAATATTTGAGCTTTAAGCTGTTATTATTTTGAGATGATTGTTAATGTAAGGTTTTAAATTTAACGTATATTTAACTTTTTGTTACGGTAATTTTTTTGGTACAAATTTAACAATACAAGTTACATTAAAGCGTTCATAATACTCTTCATTGCATCTTCATAGCAATTTTAAAGCTTGAATCAATTTTTTTTCGGGGGGGGCAACATCAATGTCTTTCATTGGGCCCGTTTCCTGGCGGCGCCCCTGCTCACAAGGCGCTGCTTCAGCTGCTGCTCCAGACGCGCTGCAGGACCTTCTGATGCATTTAAAACGGCGGCTTCTGCTGCTCAAAGCGCCTGCTGTGTGCATGGGCGGTTCTAGACAGGGGCCAATGGGGGCCAGTGCCCCTGTAGATCATGTCCTGGTCCCTGTGATGGCCGCTGTACTGAAGACATAATGCTGAAATAAATTCTAATGATGATGCGCTGGAACAGACATGGTGACTCATAGGTCATTTGGATCTATTTCATACAAATTCTGTTTTAATAATTATTTAAAAGAATAAAATGATAGCTTTGGCGGTATTGATACAGGATCCCAGTTTTCATTTGCTAAAAGTAAAAAAAAAATAAATAAATAGAAAAAACTCAAATTTTTATGCTTTAATTTATCAGTTTTTCTTGAACTCTAATTCAGATTTTATAGAAAACAGTAAAATATGTAAAATTCCTAAATTCTGAATGTATATTGATGTAATAAGACATAGCTAAGACAATTTAATTAGACTTAATTGAATAGAAATTTCACTTCATGCAGCTCTCTTAATGTATTTAAATCCCTTTGCCTGCTTTTATTTCATGCTTTTCTGTTACCCCCTGAAAACACGCTGGCCCCCCTCCTGGCCCCCTGCTACATTTGGTCTAGAACCGCCTCTGGCGATGTGAACGTAGCATCAGAGATGATTCAGCTGTTCTAGAAAAGTTTTCCTCAGTCTTCCAGTTCAGAAGAAAATATCCAGTTTGCTTGGATTTAAGGAGGAAAGGGAATGGACAGCATCTCTACATCTGCAGAGCGGAAGGTGTCCCTGCAGAGCGGAAGGTGTCCCTGTAGAGCGGAAGGTGTCCCTGTAGAGCAGAAGGTGTCCCTGCAGAGCAGAAGGTGCCCTGCAGAGCAGAAGGTGCCCTGCAGAGTGGAAGGTGTCCCTGCAGAGCGGAAGGTGTCCCTGCAGAGCGGAAGGTGTCCCTGCAGAGCGGAAGGTGTCCCTGCAGAGTAGAAGGTGTCCCTGCAGAGCGGAAGGTGTCCCTGCAGAGCAGAAGGTGCCCTGCAGAGCGGAAGGTGTCCCTGCAGAGTAGAAGGTGTCCCCGCAGAGCGGAAGGTGTCCCCGCAGAGCGGAAGGTGTCCCTGCAGAGCGGAAGGTGCCCTGCAGAGCAGAAGGTGCCCTGCAGAGTAGAAGGTGTCCCCGCAGAGCGGAAGGTGTCCCCGCAGAGCAGAAGGTGTCCCTGCAGAGTAGAAGGTGTCCCTGCAGAGTAGAAGGTGTCCCTGCAGAGTAGAAGGTGTCTCTGCAGAGTAGAAGGTGTCCCTGCAGAGTAGAAGGTGTCTCTGCAGAGTAGAAGGTGTCCCTGCAGAGTAGAAGGTGTCCCTGCAGAGTAGAAGGTGTCCCTGCAGAGCGACCTGGAGCTCACGTCTTCGCTCTGTTTGCTCCTCAGGCTTTCACTTCGGCCTCTCAGGGTTTCCTCAACTGCCTGGTCTACGGTTGGACCCGCCTGCACCTCCGACGCGCCGGCTTGATGTTTTTCTCTCGAGACGTGGACACCCAGACCCCCCTGCTGCGCTCCCAGCAGAGCAGGAGCTACCACACCCCTCGCACCATTGGCTGAGGGGAGCAGATGAAGTGAAACTGGGGGGGGGGGGGGGGGGGGGGGGGGGGTTGCTTTCTGCCACACACTCCAAAGGGAGTTGGGTTTTTGACTTTCACTTTCCACTGGAGGAGAAAAACCCAGCCGTTGTTGTTCTGCACAGGACTGAGACCCCCCCCCCCGATCCTGAACCGCTGAGGTGAGAAAAGAGGAAGAGGAAGAGCGGGGGGGAGTTTACCTGGAGAGGAAGAGGAACGAAAAAAAAAACAGGATTTGAGAAAGTTTGATTCGGTCGAAGCTCCAAAAACCTGACAGCTGCCAATCTGACAGGAAGTGACATCATCAGTCTGAGCCGAAGTACGTAGAAGATGCTGCTGTTCAGAAGGAGAACGTTTTCTGTTTGGGATGGACTAATAAAAATGCCAAACTTTCGTATCTCAACTTAACCTTTAAATGAAAAAATGAAGCAAAACAAGATATAAAATAAAACAAATTAAAAATAAATAAAAAATCCCGACAATAATCTGAGGCTGATCCAAAGGCGGCAACTTGTAAATATTTATTGATCTTTGATTATTACTGTTATAATCTGTGATGCTTTGTAATTAAACCGTCTTAAAAAATTTTTGGAAGCGTTTTGGTTTCTGATTTAAAGAATCCAGCCTGAAACGATGCAGGGGGGATTTACCATTAAGCAATACCAGGCAGTTGCCTAGAGCCCCGAGTTACTGGGGGACCAATAAAACTCTGTTTACATGTATGATTAATACAACTAGTCAAACACAGACTTACGCAGAAAATGTTATTTTCACCAAGAACATACAAAAAAAGAAGATTTCAGATGATGGAAACAAGAAAAAACACGCTATCCAGCCTATAAATATGGGCAATAAATATAACTTTACAATCCAGCTGTTGCTCTAAGGTTGCATTTTTCAGGGGCAGATATAATTTAATCAACTTTGGTGTTCGTACTTGATTGTTAAGACTATATACACTCACCGGCCCCTTTATTAGGTACCCCATGCTAGTAACGGGTTGGACCCCCTTTTACCTGCAGAACTGCCTCAGTTCTTGGTGGCATAGATTCAACAAGGTGCTGGAAGCATTCCTCAGGGAGTTTGGTCCATATTGACATGATGGCATCACACAGTTGCCGCAGATTTGTCGGCTGCACATCCATGATGCGAATCTCCCGTTCCACCACATCCCAAAGATGCTCTATTGGATTGAGATCTGGTGACTGTGGAGGCCATTTGAGTACAGTGAACTCATTGTCATGTTCAAGAAACCAGTCTGAGATGATTCCAGCTTTATGACATGGCGCATTATCCTGCTGAAAGTAGCCATCAGAAGTTGGGTACATTGTGGTCATAAAGGGATGGACATGGTCAGCAACAATACTCAGGTAGGCTGTGGCGTTGCAACGATGCTCAATTGGTACCAAGGGGCCCAAAGAGTGCCAAGAAAATATTCCCCACTCCATGACACCACCACCACCAGCCTGAACCATTGATACAAGGCAGGATGGATCCATGCTTTCATGTTGTAGACGCCAAATTCTGACCCTACCATCCGAATGTCGCAGCAGAAATCGAGACTCATCAGACCAGGCAACGTTTTTCCAATCTTCTATTGTCCAATTTCCATGAGCTTGTGCAAATTGTAGCCTCAGTTTCCTGTTCTTAGCTGAAAGGAGTGGCACCCGGTATGGTCTTCTGCTGCTGTAGCCCATCTGCCTCAAAGTTCCACGTACTGTGCGTTCAGAGATGCTCTTCTGCCCACCTTGGTTGTAACGGGTGGTTATTTGAGTCACTGTTGCCCTTCTATCAGCTCCAACCAGTCTGGCCATTCTCCTCTGACCTCTGGCATCAACAAGGCATTTCCGCCCACAGAACTGCCGCTCGCTGGATGTTTTTTCTTTTTCGGACCATTCTCTGTAAACCCTAGAGATGGTTGTGCGTGAAAATCCCAGTAGATCAGCAGTTTCTGAAATACTCAGACCTGCCCTTCTGGCACCAACAATCATGCCACGTTCAAAGTCACTCAAATCACCTTTCTTCCCCATACTGATGCTCGCTTTGAACTGCAGGAGATTGTCTTGACCATGTCTACATGCCTAAATGCACTGAGTTGCCGCCATGTGATTGGCTGCTTAGAAATTAAGTGTTAACGAGCAGTTGGACAGGTGTACCTAATAAAGTGGCCGGTGAGTGTATAGATGTTAGTTGTAGATGATAAAATGAGGATATTTGGCTTAATACAAAAATTAAGGACTTATTCATCATAAAATATGTTATTCATAAAAGTAATGCTAAAGGTGAAGTTTGTCAGAAGAGAAAGGCTGGAAGGATGGAGAAGAAGAGATGTTCCTGCAGTGAAAAGCAACTTTTAAACAATAGCAGGTAAATAGAGTTCAGTAGCTTCTGTTTGAAGGCTTGAACAGGTTAATATTAGCTTAAATTATTACAAGTGAAAGTAGTCCTGCAACTGTGTAGGAGTATTTTCAATATAACACATCTTGTAAAAAAAAAAAAATTTAATTTATTTTACAAGCAGTTAATTAACAGGAAGGTTAACAATTAAATAGGTCAAATTTAGTACTGATAGATGACTTTCAGGGGGGAAAAAAATAGCAAATAGATTTTCTGATATGGAAATAGCATCATTTATACAATTATTTCATTCAAGATTCTTATTTCATTTGTTATTTTTATTTTTTAATCATTGACACACGTTAAAGATAATGTTTTAGTTTCAATACAGCACATTTAATAACTTCTGAGAAGTCTAAGGCGATTTTATTTTTTCTCTAACTTAATTCTATAATAATACGGAGGACGCTTTAAGTTTAGGTGCAGTTCGCCGGGGATGCCGAGTGGCCTCAGATCGCCCATGATTTTAATATTTTAAAGGAAAATAACCAAACGATTGTTAATATGCATCAGGTGCTTTCAATAGTTTCTAACCAAATGATTTGCAGGATGTTTCGGAATAAAACTATTTACTTAATACTATGATGAAAAACACTTTACTATGTAAAGTTATTTTTTTCTTTTGAGGAATAGTAAATTAAAACGTCTGCTTCAGAACGGCTCCGTGTGACGCAGGAGGCCCGCATCAGCTGATGTCCTGATCACGCATCCGGCTGTGGGCGTTCAGCCGCAACCAGAACAATTAAATTCCTCCCTAATTGGACCTGAAACCATCTGAAAAGCTGAAGTTCAGGACGTCACTGCAGACAAATGAAAACTGAAAACCCAAATGTTCATTCTGAACGTCACCAAGAGAAGATCAAAGGACAATCCAGAACTGAAACCCGAATCAGAATCAAGTTCATTGCCAAGTAGGTTTGCACTTAAAAGGTGTTGATGGTGCAGACAAATTAGATATATATAAAAAATACAAAATCTATAGTTATATATTGATTGATTTTATTACAGACTCAAAGTCCAATATACATTAAAAGAAACAGATACACTAAGAATAATAAAAAAGAAAAGTACAACAGAGAAGGAGAAAAGAACAGATGAATATTTAACTGCACTATATTTGACATTGGTCATCAGTAAAATAATTCTATTAATAAATAAATTTATATATAAGCTTTCTCAAAACAGCCATAAAAGTCCTGACACTAACAGATACAAACCATTCACCGGCACTGGTCCATCTGGGCTTATTTAATAAAAGTCATTTTGTTAATCATCATTATATGCCACCAGGATTTTTTAAAGTTGCACCACAAATGTGTCGTATACAGTGATGCGCAAAAGTTCAGTTTCACTTCGTCAGAACAGAATCCAAACTTCTGGACAAGTAAGTAAGTAAACTTTATTTCTATAGCACTTTTCACAGACCAGGGTCACAAAGTGCTGCACAAATTTATAAAAAGTTTATATAAATTAAAACAACATACAGAAACAGTAAACACAGTATTAAACTAAAAAACAAGTTTTAAAAAGTGGGTCTTTAGTTGTTTCTTAAAAGTGTCTATACAAACAAGAGAACGAAGGGTACAAGGTAGCTCATATACGCCTGAGCGTATATCATACGGACCCGACGGCAAATGTCCTCATCATCAGACAGACGGTCTGTCAACACATGACAAAGATATTTGACTTCATTTGAGACGTTCTATAAAATACCAGATAGTTTAAAATTTGGAAATATTATGTTTTTGCCCTCTTTAGTGCGACAGATCATAATAATACTTTTAGAAGGACCAGCTGAACTTGGACTAAAGATTGCTAGGTCATCAGCACACATTAAATGATTTATAATTACATCTCCAACCATGCAGCCAGTTCTACACAAGTTTAGCTGCTTAGAGAGGTCATTCATATAGAAATTAAACAGTATAGGGGACAAAATGCTTCCTTGTCTGACTCCATTACTGATACAAAAGGACGCAGACACACAGTTATCCCATTTCACCTGCATATACAATATAAAACATACTGTATACAATAGGGGAGAAAACCAGGGGAGAAGTTTGAGGAGTTTTGCTGGAGGTTTCTTCCTGTTCAAAGGGAGTTTTTCCTCTCCACTGTCGCTCCAAGCATGCTTAGTGTGAGGGATTGCTGAAGAGTCAATGAGTCGATGCAATCAGCTGGTTTTCCTTAGATAGAAAACTTTGAATCAATCTGACTGGATGATCTGGTGAACTGGAAAGTGACCTGAGATGACATGATGTGAATTGGAGCTATAGAAATAAACTGAATAGATTATTTCAGGTGACACAAAAAGAACCAAAAGGAAAATATGGAAGAAGGGAAAAGTTTCTGTAGATTAAATACTTTCCATAGAGATAAACCTTGACTGTGACGTAATGAATCAGACTTTAAAACCAAACAGAGAGATTAAAGCTCAGACCCAAAGTCCAAAAGATAAAAGAACCGCTGAGATGAACCCGGTCCATCGCCTGCATGCTTTTAAAGTCACATATTCAGACATTTGCATTTATCTATAAGGAGAGAAAACATTTGAATGAACACCACTTAACTCATTTCTATCTCTAGTCTCTTAGAACTGAAGGCAGAGCTACCTTTAACAGAACAATACTACATTAAACTCACCTTTACTCCACAATGTTTAGATCAGAGGGAACCAATTAAAAACCAGCAGGGTCCGAATAAAGAAAATCATCAACCAGTAAAGTTCTGGAGACATTTTTAATTATAATCCGTTACTTTAAACAGCATTTAACATTGAAATAAATCAAAAAATATTTACAACAAAAAAAAATAGAATTTATTTTTTTACATTTTAAAATCTAAATTGTTTTTAAAGTAGAGAACAACAATCATTCAGTTTGGTATATAGACAATTTCCTGTTTCACATATTTTATTAAACGTGTGTCTGCATAAGAATGCGCCTGGAATTAGATTTACATCCGATTGGATCATCAAAAAATTAAAAAAATAATAATCAAACATTTAAATCTGAGCAATAATGTGTGTCTGATGATCAGCCTCTGTCCTGCACTGCCCTCTAGTGGAACAAAGATGAGGCAGCATATTCAGGTTTTGTCTTCTGAAAGCTCTGCTTCACTGGTTCATCATCCTGTCAGCTGCTTGGTGGCAGTTATCCCACAGCACGTGGTAGTTGGAGCCTCCGACCCTCACAAAGTCCGCCACCGTCTTGGTTCCCTGGAAGTCTCTGGGTTGACCTTTTGGCTGCAGACAGGAAAAGGGTTCAGGACCATTTGATCATCGGATACATCCTTCAAAGAGGTTCAGCCTTAGACTTTTAAAGGCTTAAAAAGCAAAAACTGGGATGTTCTCTAATCTGCACAGGATCAAAATCACCTTCAAACTTGGTTCAGTCCCAGAAAATCAACCAGTAGCCCAGCAGAGCGGGTGCCAGTCAGCCAGAACGATATGGGAAGGTGTGCGGTTTCAGTAGAACCTGTGGATATATAAAAGGCTGCATCCTCCAAGGATTCGGTGTTCTGTCAGATCAGCACACCTCGTGCACAAGACGTGAGATTTGCCTTAATCCCTTTACCTTTTCTTTTTAGTTTATCCATTTAGTTTTGTATGAAAAATAAACTTTAGACTACCTCGACGGGCCTGTATGCCTTTATTCATACACAAAAAAACAATTTAAGGTCAGATTGCCATACGCTTCAAAAAACACCAAAGTAATTAAATAGTTTTTTGTACACGACTAAAGGGATACATGCGCATGGAGGTCGATTAAAGTCTATTTCCTGTACAAAACTAAAGGGATAAATGGGTATTGACTATGGGTATGCTGGTCTGACAGAAAACCGGTCTACTTTAACTGGGTCTTTGAAGGTCCGTGAAAATTAGGAGAGTTTTGGCTGTGGATTCAAACAGGTCCAGCCTTCTCCAGCTTTCACTGCCCATACGCTCTGTCGCTTAGCAACTGTGACAGTTGACACACAAAGCAGGCAAAGAATGGATGCCAAACTTATCACTGCTGTTCTGGGAGCTAATAACATTTTCGCGGAGCTTCAGCAGCAGAACCGTCGTCTCAGATATCAGATTTAGAGTCTGATATTGGAATCTGAGCTTGATTATCAGCCAAACCCATTTCCACAGATAAAACTTTTGAATAAACCAAACATTACCGCCACATAACAGACTCAATAACCATTAAAACAACTTATTTTTTATTAATTTCAGACGGAACTATTCACATATTTTTTGATTATATTAAACCGCACTTCCAATTTTCACCACAGTTAGACGCCATTTTCGTTTTTCTTCTGTGATCCGAGCAGCTGGGTTGCTAGGTCCTGCAATGAATCATGGGATACCCAAGGCTTTAAAGGTTATTCTGTTTCAAAACGATCTGTGTATTGTGAGTGTGAATTTGAACTTGTAGAGAGAGTTACATTTAAGATTTGTATTTGTAGAATAAAATTACCCCACTTGTGAATAAAATTCAGAAGTACAAATTTTAACACCTGTTCAAATTTTAAGTATAAGAACACAAATTCTGTTCTACAAGTTGCGCATAATAAACCACTCTCAGTTTTGCTCCAAATTGTCCAGAACTATTGTTACAAATTAACTTTGGTGTTTTGTAATTGTAGATTTTCTTTTATCTTTACAGAAAAAAGTTAGACCTCTTTAAATTCTTGCGTACAAGTACACAGATTGTATTCTTGAGTTACACATCCAAAATGTCTTCCATTCCAGTCAAAAGTGAAAATGAAGGCGTACCTTGTAAAGCTGAATTTGTGACTCACAGAAGCAGATTCGTACAGTTGCATTCATTGATTTGTATTTGTGTTAAGGAAAAAAAGAATATATATATTTTTTAAGATTTTGTTTAGTTGTAATTTGTTATGCATCATTTGTTTTAGATCAACTGTAGCAAAACCAAAACAAGACATTTTTGATGTGCAACTCACAGAACACAATTTGTGTACTTGTACTCAATAATTTTAAGATGTGTAACTTTATTTTGTAATTGTGATATATTAAAAAAACACCAACGTTACAATGCAGAATGTAAGAAGAATGTGGAACTTGTAGAACAGAATTTGTGTACTTGTACTTTGTACTTCAGATTTTTTTTAATTCTACAAATACAAAACTTAGAATGTAACTCTCTCTACAACTTCAAATTCACACTTGCAATGCACAAATACTTTTGAAACGAAATAACCTTCATAGAAGTGCTTCAGGTTTTCCAAAGTTCTATCTGAATACTGAGGGAGGTGTTTGGCCATGGAGCGCTTTGCTTCCTACACTGGAAAAAAATCTAAATCTAGATAATTCCTTTTTTCTTAAAATAAGTGCATTTGTTCTTGAATTGAGAAGGTAAAAGATACATTTTGCCAATGGAACAAGATAAGTTACATTTAAAATAAGAAAACACATTTGCATTGTCTTATTTCAAGTGTATTTTATCTAAATATCTTTTTGTAAGAGTAAAATACTCATTCCATTGGCAAATAATCTAATTTAACTACTCAAAATAAAGGTAAATACACTTAAGTTAAGAAATTTGTACTTATTTCTAGATTGCTTTTCCAGTGCAGCACCCAATCATTTTACATAGGAACCTCCAGACATTGCTAGCTGCTGCAAGGAGCTGTTCACTCGCCTCTGCGTGACGAGACCAATAAGCACACCTTACAAAAATACACAAGTTCTTCATGTTCACCCTGTGAAGAGGTTATACAGGCTAATACACACCCTTATACTAGAATGTTTTGGGTTTTATAACGGCGCGCTTCAGGCGTTCTCTACTTTTGGGTAACTTTGTTTTTTGTAGTTCTTTTCTTGAAGGTTGTAGTCCCAATAGGACCAGCGTTATTCATGTGCCTGTCTGTCGTGTGATGGCCTCTGTGAGTCTTGGGCTTGTTGGGATTCACAAAAGCAGTCGGTAGCTCCTTTTTTACCCTGGATAGAGTTTAGCTACTGACCCAGCCAAAGGTGAAGGGAAAGGAGCTAAGAACAGGAGCTAGAAGCTACAACTTGAGATATCTGGATTGAGTTCCTTGACATGTTTTATGTGTTTGAGGCTCACCTTCCAGTCTGAGCTCATGTGTCTAACATCCGTCGCCACCGTCTGAGAAGTGATTCCATAATTGTCTCCTTTATGCACCAACCACTGAGAGCCGTCATCCAGAGTCACTCTGCAAAGAAAACACAGGAGCTCTGAGAATTATCTGACCTCAATATTCCGACCTTCTAATGACTAAAGTGTCTGATAAGATCCACTCAGAGGTGCAATCGTCTCTGGGTTTAATCCTCTTAACACCCACCTTATTTAAAGTAATTCTCACCTATTTTGCACACCCAAATGGAAAAGCAAATAACTGATGAACCTTGAGCCCAAATTACTTGTGATACATTATTTGAAAGCTAAAAATATGGTGAGTAAACAACAGCCTAAGCTGCATCCGTTTTTTTTTATTCTCGAAAATAATAGGTCTTTTTTGAACAGCAGTAATAGAGAACTTGCTTGAGAAAAAGCATGTCTCCTTGTATTACATTTGTTCTACATCATGTCAACCACTAATGCAGAACATCTCAGACCTCTAGCTACAACAGTTCCAGAACTGTGGGGCTTTGAACTTTTATCGTCACCAGCGTCTCCAAATCTCTCCAAACAAGATTGTGCTAAATGCTTTTAATAAACTATTTGACTCATAGAATAACACTGAAGCATTTTGATGGAAGTATTGACCAACTCTCAGCTGTGTGTTTCACAGTCTAGCCTTGTCTGAAACCTTATTTCATTGGCTACAAAGCCCAACAGCCTATGTGGTCTTAAAAACAGCAGAGATGGGAAATGCGGAGTCAACAAGTCATCTCCATGTCATGTATTTAGTCCAATCTGCACAGGTCGATTCACGGTGAAGATTGGACTCACCTGCTTCAGTTGGTGGGTAGAACAAATACATGACATGGAGATGACTTGTTGACTCCGCATTTCCCATCTCTGTCCGGGGGGTTTTACCGTATTAACAGGAGAAGCGGCACAAGTGAAATTGGACACTGTCGTTGGACAACATGCGGTAATTTATAAATGTTTTAAATCAGGTTGGGTCGTGATTAGCCAGCAGGTGGGTCTGGATCTGGACCGAGGTTGGCTAATCCGTGACCTTTGCTGTAAGTGTTTGAAGGTTTTACTGACCGAACCCCAGTGTGACTGAAAGGCCAGAATGGAGATGAACTGCTTCCTAATCTCCTCTCAACCTTCTCAGCTTGGTAGACTCGCTTGTTGTAGAGGTCCATCAGATCCTGACCTGACAGGTCATAGCTGTGGGTCCCGGTTGATCCTGTCAAGGAATAAACACACAATCAGTAACTTGGCTCCCTTAAAGCACAGAGCGGCTCTGATAGCTCCTCACCTCCAGACGAGGACTCCACAGAAACAGCCAGCAGAGCGAGAGCTGCTGAACACAGCAGAACTTTACAGAACCTCATGATGGATCGGTTTGTGCTCCGGGGTCCGGTTGAAGTTTTAAAGAGTCCAGAATCTCCTCCCACTGAGTTGGCAGAGCAGGAAACATGTTGGATTTTTCCACAGCAGATTTCACCTGATTGGCTCCTGGTTTAAAGTCCAAACAGAACTTTAAACCAGCTCCACGGATGTTTACCTTCTGTAAACTGATCTGGTTTCAGTTATAGTTCCCCTCATGTCCACTAGAGGCTGGAACACGTTTAGAGACACATGGCTCACATCTCTACTTCGAAACCAAAAGAAACATGAATTTTGATGAATTTTCAATCGGCTGAATGCAGATTTTTTTTCAGCTCTGAGTTTTGGAGCCATTTGCAGAGGAAATGTTTTCCTCGGTGCTGCAGGTTCAGTCTCTGAGCTGCTGCCAAAGCAAAGAGACTAAATGTTCAGTCAGAACTTCAACCTTTCACTCTTGCCAAGTCCATTTTCTTTCCAAGTCAAAGTTTATATAAACAGGTTAAAACTGTTCATATTTTCTGATTTGCCTTCATCATCAGAATACATGATGGGAGGTCTGGAGTGTCATTTGTTAGATTGCATAGGATCTAAACTAAAAGTATTCCCACCTCCAAAAGGCAGTATGCCAAAAGCCCTGTCCCCGAATCTGCCCACATTACATCCTCAATGGCAGCCTCCATCTATGGTTACCAACGGCAACCACAGCCAAAAGAGAAGAAAAAGCTGTTCGACAGAGGCGTTGGTTTGTACGGAAGAGGATTAGGGCCACTGAAAAAAAAAAAGGTTAACTGATGTTCCCCTGTTAGGCGGGGCTTTAACTCCCATCTCCGGCAGAACTTCGAACCTATCCCGGGGGAGGCGGGGGACATTGAGTCCGAGTGGACCATGTTCCGTTCCTCCATTGTCGAGGCGGCTTATCTGAGCTGCGGCCCTATGGTTGTCGGTGCCTGTCGTGGGGGCAACCCTCAAACCCGTTGGTGGACACCTCCGGTGAGGGATGCTATCAGGTTGAAGAAGGAGGCCTATCGGGCCTTTTTGGCCTGTGGGACTCCGGAATGAGCTGATGGGTACCGGCGGGCAAAGCGGCATGCGGCTCGGGTGGTTGCTGAGGCAAAAACTCGGGTCCTCCATCCGGCGTCTCAGGAGGGGGAAGCGGTGCAGCACCAACACTGTTTAGAGTGGGCATGGTGTGCTGCTGACCTCGACTCGGGACGTTGTGGGTCGGTGGGCGGAATACTTCGAAGACCTCCTCAATCCCACCAACATGCCTTCCATTGAGGAAGCTGGGCCTGGGGACTCTGGACTGGGCTCTCCAATCTCTGTGGGCGAGGTCGCCGGGGTGGTTAAAAAGCTCCTCAGTGGCTGGGCCCCGGGGGTGGATGAGATCCGCCCGGAGTTCCTCAAGGTCCTGAATGTTGTAGGGTTGTGTTGGCTGACGCGACTCTGCAACATTGCATGGACATTGGGGGCAGTCCCCCTGGATTGGCAGACTGGGGTGGTGGTCCCCCTATTTAAAAAGGGGGACTGGAGGGTGTCCTCCAATTGCAGGGGAGTCACACTCTTAAGCCTCCCAGGCAAGGTCTATTCGGGGGTGCTGGAGAGGAGGGTCCGTCGGATAGTCGAACCTCGGATTCAGGAGGAGCAGTGTGGTTTTCGTCCTGGTCGTGGAACGCTGGACCAGCTCTACACCCTCAGCAGGGTCCTGGAGGGTGCATGGGAGTTCGCCCAACCAGTCTACATGTGCTTTGTGGACTTGGAGAAGGCGTTCGACCGTGTCCCTCTGGGAGCCCTGTGGGGGGTTCTCCGGGAGTACGGGGTGCCGGGCCCTTTGATACGGGCTGTCAGGTCCCTGTATGACCGGTGTCAGAGTCTGGTCCGCATTGCCGGCAGTAAGTTGGGCTCGTTTCCGGTGAGAGTTGGACTCCGCCAGGGCTGCCCTCGGAGTAGAGCCGCTGCTCCTCCACGTCGAGAGGAACCAGTTGAGGTGGCTCGGGCATCTGGTTATGATGCCTCCTGGACGCCTCCCTGGTGAGGTGTTCCAGGCACGTCCCACCGGGGGGAGGCCCCAGGGGAGACCCAGGACACACTGGAGGGACTATGTTTCTCAGCTGGCCTGGGAGCGCCTTGGGATTCCCCTGGAGGAGCTGGATCAAGAAGATGGATGGATGGATGGGTTAACTGATTTTTAAATTTTATTTCAGTTTAACATGGGAAAAAAGTCAGAATTCTGACTTTTTTCTCAGAATTCTGACTTTTTTCTCAGAATTCTGACAGCTAACAAACATGTTAGCATCAAGCCATAGCCATGTCTGTTTTAGAGACTAGCTCTCTTGTTTTAATGACCTTCTGCTCCTCCATTAATGAGGGGACCCCTCGGGCACGTAAAAAGTTGCCTAATTCCGTCACTGGCCCTCTCAACAACTCACATCTTTGTCAGTGAAGCTGAGTGCTATGTGAATTTATTACAACATAATAATACCTGCCTGTTTTGTGTGAGAGTTAATGTTTTCCTCAATAGTTTATCTAATTAGGACAGTTCCTCTGCCCTGATATGCAGCTATAATCTTCATTCTGCACGTGGCAAAGATTCTGGAATGGAGTGAGAGCGCCGTCCTTCAGCTAAGAACAAAGTGGACTTTTTTTTTTAGGCTGGAGCCATGGATGTCTCCTCATCTGTAAACATGTATGATGCAATGATGTCATTACGTCTTTCTCTTTTGCAAACACTTTCCACATGAGAGGAGCCTTTCCAGATGGATACAGAGAAGAATTCAGGTTGAACTAAAGCAGGAATGTCCAAAGTGGGTCCTGGAGGGCCGCTCTCCTGCAGGTTTTAGAGGATTTCTGGATTTTCATTGATAGCTGATGATCAGGCTTTTGCTGAACTGGAATAATCAGACTCAGCTTTGCTGAAGCAGGAAACTATCTAAACCCGCAGGACAGCGTCCTTCAAGGACCGACTTTGGTCATGTCTTGTGTTTATATGTGCTTTTTTGTGCGAAGGTGTTCTTTTGATATCTCAAACTGTATCCTGATAAAGTGTGAAATATGCTTGGTAGCCCCGATTTGGTAACCTGACTCCGCCAGATGGATTTGCTCCGCATATCCATCTGAAAACCTTCCGTTGAAGTAATTTTGGGAAGGAGCGAAAATACTGGTTAGCTGATTGGCCTATGTTGGTGATAGACGGGCCAAATAAACCAATCAGATCAACGAAGCATATGACGTACTAACAGAGCGACGACGAAGAGGAGCCAATTGATAGATCAAACTCTTGCCGAAACCAGTCGGGAGGAGAGCAAAAACATGTTTTCCTCTGAGAAAAGCCTCCAGAGCAGTGTTTTGCTCTTCTTTCAGTGAAGAAATACTCTGTAATTCCGATAAAACTTGCTCGATAGCCACGCTAACGCTAGTTTCATCGGCTGAAGCCGCCATGTTCTTTAGACGGAACTGTCGCGCTTCTCGTTGCGTCACACCTCAACCCGCCTCAAAGCCAACGCTGATTGGACGTTCGTTTGGTGAACGGCTCCAAATTTTCTTTAACGGAGAGTCTCCAGACTGATTAGCATGTCCAGGGGTGATGCTGAGAAACTAGTCCATGCATTTGTTACTTCAAGGCTGGACTATTGTAATTCTTTACTATCAGGAAGTCCACAAACTGTAGTTAAAAGCCTTCAGCTGATCCAAAATGCTGCAGCCAGAGTTCTAATGAAAATGAAAAAGAGAGATCATATCTCTCCTATCCTGGCTTCTCTTCATTGGCTTCCTGTTAAATCCAGAATAGAATTTAAAATCCTCCTTCTCACATATAAAGCCTTAAATGGCCAAGCTCCATCTGATATCAGAGATCTGATTGTTCCTTATGTTCCTAACAGAGCACTTCGCTCTCAATCTGCAGGTTTACTAGTGGTTCCTAGAACTTCTAAAAGTAGAATGGGAGGCAGATCTTTTAGTTCTCAGGCTCCTCTCCTGTGGAACCAACTACCAGTTTTAGTCCGTGAGGCAGACACCCTGTCTACTTTAAGGCTAGGCTTAAAACTTTCCTTTTTGATAAAGCTTCTAGTTAGAGTGGCTCAGGTTATCCTGAGCTATCTCTATAGTTCTGCTGCTATAGGCTTAGACTGCTGGAGGACATAGGGACCCCTTTTTCATCATTCTGCTTCATTCTCTCTCTGTTCTCCTATTCTGCAGAATCTGATAATTCAATCTCTAACCTTCTGCTCTCTCTGCTTTTCCTCATAGTAGCTTCATCTGGTCTGTTCCTGTTTGGCTGTGACTCCATCCTGGAAAGAAACATCAGCTGTGCTGCTGCCATCAACACCTTTGTTTATAGATGTTGGAGCTTGGCCTGTTTTCCAGTGTGGTCCTGTTTCTCTGACCGTGACTGAGTGGATGTGCTCTCTTCGTCCTCTGGCATGGGAGCTGCCTTGGAGCTCGTCTGCCTGGCTGTGTGTTTCCTGGACGGGGCCGCCTTTTACAGCTGCTTTTTGTATCTCTGCTTCTGTCTCCTTGAACCCCGGTCGGCCTCGGCAGATGGCCGCTCACACTGAGCCTGGTTCTGCTGGAGGTTTCTTCCTGTTCAAAGGGAGTTTTTCCTCTCCACTGTCGCTACAAGCATGCTTAGTGTGGGGGATTGTATTTGAGTCAATGAGTCAATGCAATCAACTGGTTTTCCTTAGATAGAAAACTTTGTATCAATTTGACTGTATGATCTGGTTGAACTGTAAAGTGCCTTGAGATGACATGTGTTGTGAATTTGGCGCTATATAAATAAACTGAATTGAAATTGAAAATTGAATTAGCGAGTGAAACCTTGAAAGCTCTACAGATCAGGATGGTCTCACCAGGCTACCAATGTGGCTCCTATATTTCTAGAGATAAAGGCAGCGCTATAAGGGAACCACCTCCCAGTGAGGACCTGGGAAACCATAAGAACACTCCAAAGGCGGCGTTCAGCGGCACGCAGGGTAAACCCTGCCAGCTCCCCCCCACCTCAATGTATGCGATGAACGATTGGTACTGAAACTGAAATCTTGATTAACATGCAAATTATAGTTGACAATAAAGAAACCGATTGATTTATTTAACAGAACAGAAACAACCAAGAGCTGACAGAACCTCAAGCTTAATGAGGTTGATTCATTGAATTATGGCGACATGGAGGCTTCAAAGGTTTGTTTGAACATTTTATTCGTTTACATTCATTGGAATATTTTCCCACCAAGGAGATCCTGATTAACTCTCAGTCTGCAGCTTCCTGTCCACAGCTTTGCAGGAAGTGGTCATGATGCAGGTAAACAACAGCGCCATGGCTGCCGAACAGGCTGGAGCTGCTGGAGCTGATTCCTCCGACGATGGGAAGGTAGGAGTGATGGAGGATGGGCAGCTGCAGGGACAGACGGCGACGCACGCTAGGAGGGACGACAGAGAGAACACCTCAGAGCTGCAGGAACAATAAACATCCTGAGATAGCAGCTGATCTGCTGGTTTCACTTCAGGACGTCGCTTGTAAGCAAACTTCATGGCAGTCGGTCAGGAAACCCCCAGAAATCCGATTTTCCTGAGCCTGGAGCACAGACTGGCTCAGTGGGAGGATTTCTGGAGGAAAAACCTGCTGCTTTCAGGGTGGAAACAAACCGCAGGGAAACTACTGAGTGTCCAGAAGGCCCAGATACTGCTGCCAAAAACATTTATTCCTACTTCTAAGACGGACTGCAAAATGATTCCAGTGTTAACATCTATCAGAGCCTCAGTTAGCCGAGAATATAAGAAGATCCTGGTTCATTTAATTAGTTTTAAGGCTGTTGATCCATTTTTAAAACCTTTAAAATAAACCATATTAAGAACAAGAAAAGGTTTGCTCAGTGGTGCAGTGGGTCGCATTGCTAGCTTGCAGCAAGAAGGGTGAGGGTTTGATTCCCTGCCCGGGTTCTTTCTTCCCTTGCCTTCGTGGGTTCCTCCAAAAACATGACTGTTAGATTAATTGGCTTCTCTGAATTCTCCTCAGGTGTGAGTGTGTGTGTTAATGGTTGGTTGTCTATGGAAGTAAACAGGCTCATTGGAATCTACCTTTTTTTTTTACACCGAATTTTAAACACTGAATTTTTTTTAGACATTGAATTCGTTACAATCAATTTTTATCTGGAAAAAATTTCAGCTGCAAAAAAAAAAAATTCAGCTGCAGAAGTGTTGACCTTCTGGTGAACTCAAGCCAAAGCAATCTACACTCGATAGAGTCGAGCAGCTTCTAGCCAATGAAATTAGCTCATTTGGTCACGTGACACAATGGCTGAGTTCCCGGCTGAATGAGGAATTTTCTTTGTCAAACAGATAGAATTATAAAACGTCAGTTAGCTACTAACAGACAGCTAGTAGAGTGAGTTTCATTTAGCATTACTTTTCATGATAAAAATGTGGAATTTTGATGTAATATTATTTTCATTATGGGAAAATTCTTTATCCACAAGTGCAGATTGTTTAAAGTTTCTCCAAATTTTCAAGCATTCCAAAATGATATTAAAAGTTTTCATTCATCAATTAAGTTACTGGAGAACAAAAAGGCCTTAAAGTTTTCAGACTTGATAGCAATAAACTTTAGCTAAACTCCTGTGGTTTTATTATTTTAATTTTCTTTCTAATTCTTTTATATTGTTTCTTTTTCTGAAAGAAAACTGTTATGGATTGCATATGTTCAATTGTACGTTTCTGCTTTTCTGAAAGTGTTTTTTGGATTTATGAAAATAAAAGTAAAAAAACAAAAAAAAGACAGCTATTAGAGTTTTTCCTCTTATCAGACTGGGTGAAACGACTGAGCCGATCACAGCTGGTACGGCTCCTCTGTCTGCCGAGGCTTTTGGTTTGATCCGGAAGAAGCGGCCGGCGGCAAACTTTTTTTCTTCTTCATTTCGGCCAGAGGCAACATGGCGGCGGCAAACAGACAGGGGAGTTGTACTCGCTGTGATCGGGTTTTGCATCTAAAGGCTAACGTTTCCCATCTTACATGCATTGTTGCCAGGTTGGGATCTTTCCTAATCTGGCAGTTTAGGACGGCCGTCTATGGGTAAACAATGTTTTTCTATAGGTTTATGGCCTCTGAGTCGGTGACGTCTGGCAACCCTGCTGATGTGGTGAGAGGCGCTGGTCCACGGATGCTGCGGATGTTGATTCGGTTATATTAACATTTCAGTCACATTTGAGACGCCCATGTTTGACTGTACCCCAGCTGGAATAAAGCGTGACGGAAAATGGATTTAAGATTTAAGTTTGACTCGTCCAGATTTATATATATTTAAATTCAATCTATATCTCCAAAGACAATGAACACCAAGCCTAAACAGGTGGAGCAGAGATGGAGCAAACTAAAGATAAATCTTTGATGTTTCTCATGAGAAAAGAAAGGTTTTTGGAGGATGTGAAGAAGGGAAGTCCAAGCACCACACCCTGTGGAACGCCGCTTTAAAGTACACTGGAAAAACGATTTAGAAGTAAGTAAAAATTTCTTAAATTAAGTGTGTTTACCCTTAATATGAGAAGGTAAATGAGATAGTTTGCCAATGGAATCAGTATTTTTACTCTTCAAATAAGATAATTAGATAAAATGCACTTGAAATAAGACAATGCAATTGTGTTTTCCTATTTTAAGAGTAAACTGTCTTGTTCCATTGGCAAAATGTCACTTTTATCTACTCAAAGAACATTTTAAGAATATTTTAAGAAAAAATGACTAATCAAGATTTGTTTTTTTTCCAGTGTAGCTGCCTTTCTGTTTTAAATCAACCAGGATGGAGCTCATTTAAAGGCACACTATGCAACTTGCTTTACGGCGAGAACTGCTACACGCCCCCAGTTAAAAGCATGCTCGTTGCTAGCACAGTGGCGATTAATAAATCCAAAAAGACAGTACTTAAAATCATGTCATCTTATCTTCAACAAACTGGACTAAACCTAAGGATTTAAGGAAACAAAAATAAGATCAAGTAGGTGGCGATAATGCTCCATTTGGTTGCAAGTCGCCAGTGAAACAAGAAGAAGAAGAAGACAGTGGCGATCTTTGTGCAGTGCTACGTTCACACCGGACGCAGCAAAAGCAGCAAAATTGCGTCTGCTGCTTCATTTTTGCTGCTTGTACCAGTTAGTTCTGACGTGCGGCTGAAGCAGCTTTGCTGCTCTGGCTGCGCGGTGCAAAAGTGTGTCTGACGCGCGTTGGGCGGAGCTTCACTATCCTTTCTCTGCCTTGCAGCTATATTTGCTGTGATCAGTGGGAATAAAGTAGTTTTAATATGTGTTTAAGTGAGAAAATCCACCTGAAAACGTAATCAGTGCAGTCAGTTCATCCAGATTATCATCCTGCCTTACAATATTTTTTCTGTCGGAGCCGCTCAGACCCCCACATACCAGCGGTGCGCTGTCAGTAGGAATCCCGTCATCAGCAGCCTCTGGCCGGGTCGCCTCCTCGCGGTTCACCGGGGCGGCTGGTAGGTGTTTTTCATCTAAATAATCCAAACTGCATATTCTGCCGGCAGATTTCTGCATTTTAAGTTAATTTAGGCGTCAATAAACTGTTTAAGAGGAGAGATCATCAGCGCTGTCTCTCTCTCCCTGCCAGCTCCCAGATCAGCTTCTCTGATTGGTTGACGCGGCGCGTCGAGCAGCAAAAATTCAACTTTTCCATCTGGAGCAGCAGCGCGTTTGCGGCGCGTCAGATGCTTAGTCATTCGTTGCGTTCGCCTGTCTGCTAAGCTCAAAACAACCGCGCCTGGCTTGACGGAGAAACCAGGAGAACAGCTGAGCATATTTACGATAGTGCACTTTTACTTTCGCCCTCCGGGGGGAGCCTCGCTGGAAAATCAACACCAGTTGCATAGTGTACCTTTAATGTGACATAAACTCCATACGTTTCCTGTCTGTAGACTGAAAGCTTGGTTTCATCGTGGGCCTGTCAGACTCTGACTTACTGCTCAGGGGAGTTGATGTTGTCCAGACCTGAAGGTCTCTGCTGACAGACCTGAGCTTCATGAGTCGTGAGGGAAGAGAATCCGGCTGCTGGAGGAAAAGTTAAACAGAAAAAAGTGAAACCGAAGCCAGCTTTGTGTTTTCCTGCTGTGGCTGAGTGCTGCGGATGCTACCGTCTCCTGTTTCATCCTGGAGCCGCTCAGAAAGCTCCATGGTGATGGTTTCAATCTGAGCGTCAAGCTGCAGAGATCAGAGAAGATCCACATTTTAGACTTTATACACACTGGAAAAAATCTAAATCTAGATCAGTCAATTTGTCTTAAAATAAGTGGATTTGTTCTTGAATGGAGGAGATAAAAGAGACATTTTGCTGATGGAACAAGACTATTTAGATTTAAAATAATGTCTTATTTCAAAAAGGGGTAAAAAACACTTGATTTAAGACATTTCTACTTATTTCTAGATCATTTTTTCAGTGCAGAAAATGAAGCATGTTCCAACTGCAAAAACGATTTAGAAATAAGTAAACATTTCTTTAAATAAGTGTATTTACCCTTAATCTGAGCAGGTATATACGATGATCTGCCAATGGAATTCAGATTTTTACTCTTAAAATAAGATAATTAGATATTATTCTCTTGAAATAAGACAATGCAATTGATTTTTTCTGATTTTAAATGCAAATAGTCTCGTTCTATTGGCAAAGTGTCTCACTTCCTCAATTGAAGAAAAAAAGCGCTTATTTTAGGAAAAAATGACTCATTTTTTCCCCTCCCTCTGTGGCGGGTTCCTTACTTGAGCACTTTGACTCCTGAGGTCCTGATTGATCCTCCTCAGCCGGTCCAATTCCTCTCCCTGCAGCTCGGACGTCTGCTGCAGCTCGCCGCCGCCGCCGCTGCCGCACAGCATGCAAAGAATCTGAAAACGAGTCAAGAAGGAAAGCTGTGAAAATCTGATCAGGTTGTGCACTGCAAAAAATGGAAATCTAAAGAAGTAATTTTTGCTCAAATTAAGTGCATTTTCTTGAATTGAGGAGGTAAATGAGACACTTTGCCAATGCAACAAGACAATTTACATTAAAAAATAAGAAAATAACAATTGCTTTGTCTTATTTCAAGTGTATATTATCTAATTATCTTATTTCAGGAGTAAAAATACTATGTCTGCTTCTGTCTCCTTGAACCCCAGTGGGCCTCAGCAGATGGCCGCTCACACTGAGCCTGGTTCTGCTGGAGGTTTCTTCCTGTTAAAAGGGAGGTTTTCCTCTCCACTGTCGCTACAAGCATGCTTAGTGTGAGGGATTGCTGAAGAGTCAATGAGTCGATGCAATCAGCTGGTTTTCCTTAGATAGAAAACTTTGAATCAGTCTGACTGGATGATCTGGTGAACTGGAAAGTGACCTGAGATGACATGATGTGAATTGGAGCTATAGAAATAGACTGAATAGAATTGAAACCAGAACCACAGGTTTACCTGAGGTCTAATCAGGACAGTCAGGATGAAGAGGTTCCAGCTGAGGATGAGGATGCTGAGCAGACAGAAGTCAACAGCTGGATCTCTGGATGTCAGCAGCGTTCCTGAAGCTCCAGCCAGGCTGAACGCTGTCATGGAAAACATACTGAGAGCCAGACGTTTACAGCTGCCTGCAGCGGGACCAACATCTGCAGTCCTGATGTTCCAGGCCAGGAAGCAGCCCAGACCCTAAGGGGACACAGCAGAGGATGCGTTACCAGGGCAACCGGGACCAGCTTCTGGAGGGCAACCAGTTGCAGCTTTTTCACTGGACTAAAGCATCAGAAACGGGAAAAGATGGTGATATGAATGAAGCTCTGACTTGGTCTGATCCAGGAAGAGCCCTGAAGAGGCTGAACTGTTTCTAACTCCATCTAATCGGGTCAGAAATGACAGGAGGCGCGTCCAGCTGGAGGTCAGACCCTCCTGCTGCAGAACCTGATCGGCTGAAGAAGGTTTTCATCTAAACATGTCACAAAAGCAGAAGCCTTTAAACATGTACGGAAAGCCAAAAGGGCCAAAAATCTCACAGATTAAAAAAAAAGTCCATCAGAGTGACGAGCAGCCGATAAAACTAGGGCTACAACTAATAGTTATTTAGCAAATCAGTTAATCTGTTGATTTTTTTTTATTAATTAATCGATTAATAATCAGATTCTTTAAAGAACATTAAAGGAATAGTACACCCAAAACATGATTAGCCTTCATTTTCTACTCACCCCCATGCTGAACAACACTCTGGAGTACTTTTTTGATATCTCAAATGCATCTGGAGATCTGGGAGGCTTCTTGCTGTCTGCTGACATTCAAATAATGGAGGTCTATGGCGCCCGAGGCAGAAAGGTCCATAAAAGTCCACAAAAAACGTGTCAATATTCCTCCATACTGCTCGTCCAATGTATTCCAAGTGTCCTGAGTGGGTAGCATCCAGAATTTACTAGAAACAAAGTCATTTAGAATGTTTTTAGAGCATAAACAGTAGTGTATAGGATTTCCTAAAACCGCGTTTACGACGCTACGGAAGCCGGCAGACCAAACCAGATGAAAGTGCGCATTCAGCGTCTGCTCTGCCGATAATGCAAGCGTAGAAGAAGAAATGTGCTGTTTACCTGTGCAAAGAAAGAAACAACGAAAGAAAAATGTCTGAGGACTTCAGTGTTGAGGAAGAGCATGAGTTCTTTGCCGAGCTGAATGCGCACTTTCATCTGGTTTGGTCTGCCGCGGTTTCCGTAGACTCGTGAACGCGCTTTCAGGAAATCCTATATTGACAAGTTTTTTGTGGACTTTTATGGACCTTTCTGCCTCGGGCGCCATAGACCTCCATTATTTGAATGTCAGCAGACAGCAAGAAGCCTCCCAGATCTCCAGATGCATTTGAGATATCAAAAAAGTACTCCAGAGTGTTGCTCAGCATGGGGGTGAGTAGAAAATGAAGGCTAATCATGTTTTGGGTGTACTATTCCTTTAATAAAGGAAAAGTCCGGTCAGCGAGGATTAATCAATGGATCAATATTTATATCTAAAACTAAAACGTTTGTGGTGATTTAATGAATTTAGTGTTAATCAGTAAAAAAATAAAAACAACAATTTTCGTTGCGATCACTGAGTCCGGGAGCGGCCATTTTTGCCCAAATATAGTAGCCCCTCCCTCCTGCCATCTTCCAGCAGTGACGTCACGGTGCGGTAAGCCTAGCGCCATTCTCCCCGCTTTACAAGCTAAATCAACGGGAACCACCTATAATTTCAGATTTTAAGGAAAAGTCGTTCATATTCTGACTCCAAACTTCTGAAAGTTCTTTAAATATGAAATATTTCCACACTGTTCAATAAATGATCAGTCAGTCACTTCGGGCAACTGACTTTCACATTTAATTTGCCCAGAAACAATTTTTACAGTATAATGTTTGATAAATATAGTTAGGAGCCAATTATCCTTTGATGTTTGTCGCCACCAGGGGGCGTATTTACTTTTTGAGTTCTGAGTGTCTGATGAGGGGATGGGTTATTCAAGGTCAACCATCAATTTTGTTCAGGTGCGGTTAATAGGCTGAGGCAAACAGGTTTCTACTGTGCTTGGTTGGATTTAAGTCGAATTTTTGTGGATCTTGAAGGAAACAGTAAGATAATGGACTTTATGCTGAAAATAAATGACTTTGTTTTATGTCAAACGGAACATCGGTATTCTAAATCTTAATTGAACGCACGTAAAACCAATGCCTTCAGACAACAACCACCAGTAGCCTAAAATATAGGATTTTAGCCGCTACAATAGTTCCTAATATTCATTTTTGTATATATATCAATGAAACATGTTTGTTTTTTTTAATGTTTTTTGTAATTCAGTATTTCTTAAGTTTCCAGGTTCCTGGTGTGTATCTGCATGCGTCAGATAATGAACTCAAGCCTACATTACCGTGTTAACATGCTTTTCAATCCTTCCTGCTCATTCTTTTCAAACTAAACTTTGCTTTGAACTGTTGTGTGCTTGGAAAAATATAAATTGTAATGTTAAAAATCTAAAAAAAAACTTACACTACTACTACTCACCAATCTAACATGTTTAGCTCTATAACATTTAAATGCACCACTCCAATGTCTGAGAGAAAAAAATTTAATGAACATTTTTTAATGTATGACCTGCATCACTGTGCAGAAGACTGCCATATGATAGAAATATTTACACTGTGTGCACAGTTATTATTATTATTTTCGTAATCCCTGACTGATCATTTTTAATCTAGCGTGTATTATAGTATAGATTAAATTCATCATCCAGCTGCTGCTCTGCAGAATTCTCTCCCCAAGAGCTGAATTACTTAGCCTGACGTAGTCCTACTCAATTCTAGTCAGAATGAGTCTGATGCTGCTCCATAGAGCTGTGATTATGGGGCGTGTTTCGAACGAACCAGGAAAAAAAATGCCTCTGCACTCAATTGGATAGACCTACAACCAATAAGAGCAACGGAGTGCATGACGTATGTTAAGCCACGCATAGTTGTTGTCAACAAAAATCAAAGCGTGCAGTTGCACGCCTAGAATAAGAAGATGAGCCTTGATCGCGTTTCTCTGTTCCTCTTTTAAAATTAATTTGCTGTCGATATCTTCTAGAACAGACCTAATAGCAGAATCTACTCACCTCAACTCTCCAGCTGCAGCCATTGTTGTTGTCACCCAAGCGCGCTTTGGTCACGTGGTTGATTACGTTACTGTTGATCATCTGTCCATCATCGTATAAAGCCCGCCCTGACAATTTGATTGGCCCGCCAGATATTGGGCGAGCATACTCTGCCTACTATTGAGCAATGCCAGACCGAACTTCCCGACCTCAAACGTTGTGGGCGGGACTAAGTTCGGAATGGCACCCAGGCTATGAATCACTAGCCTGGTGAGACCATCCTGATCTCGCGAGCTTTCAAGGTTTCACTCGCAGATCAGTCTGGAGACTCTCCGATAAAGAAAATTTGGAGCCGTTCACCAAACGAACGTCCAATCAGCGTTGGCTTTGAGGCGGGTTGAGGTGTGACGCAACGAGAAGCGCGACAGTTCAGTCTAAAGAACATGGCGGCTTCAGCCGATGAAACTAGCGTTAGCGTGGCTATCGAGCAAGTTTTATCGGAATTACAGAGTATTTCTTCACTGAAAGAAGAGCAAAACACTGCTCTGGAGGCTTTTCTCAGAGGAAAAGATGTTTTTGCTCTTCTCCAGACTGGTTTCAGCAAGAGTTTGATCTATCAATTGGCTCCTCTTCGTCGTCGCTCTGTTAGTACGTCATATGCTTCGTTGATCTGATTGGTTTATTTGCCCGTCTATCACCAATATATAGGCTAATCAGCTAACCAGTATTTTCACCCCTTCCCAAAATAACTTCAACAGAAGGTTTAGTCAGGTTACTGAATCTTGCCATCTAGCGTAAAATCACGCAGCTTTTCCAAATCACGCGAAAATGTGTACAAAACAACAAAGATGGCGCCGGCAACGCTTGTGGGTCGTTTTCAGCGAATGTCGGTGATTTTAAAGTAATTCTGAGTGATAAATAATTTTTTTTTGCGATCATTGCACTTGCCCGTACTCTCCCGACAATAAAAACTACTTGCCCCGGGCGATCAGGCGATGGTTACCATTGAGTCCTGACAGTGTTTTTAATTCAGAGTAATTTTCATGTGAATGTGCTTTACTGGAGGCATCCATGTTTGTCAAAGAACACTACTGCCACCTACTGGTTTGTGACGTCACAGTGCGGTATCGGCTGTTGATCAAGTCCCAGTGTTCCAAATTCATTAAATCACAGCAAACGTTTTAGTTTTAGGTATAAATAATGATCCATTGATTATTCTTTGCTGACCGGACTTTTCATTTAACCAAATGAAAGCAGGTCAAATTAAAACTTTTCCACCTAAACAGTTCTGGCTAGAGCACATTGAAGGAGAAGGTTTTTTTTATTTTAAATGTAAAATGTTCATATATTTTCACAACTTTGATATAATTCCTGCTTTAAGTCGGTCACTCTGTCAGCTAAAGGCACCCTTTACAGTCTTTACACTCCAGTTAATGAGTTTTAAATTATTTGATGATTAATAAAATATTCGATTAATCTCATTAACTGTTTCAGCCCCTCATGAAACCAATTAATATTTAATCTATCTCTCATCTGCTTTGGTCCTGTGAACTCCAGGCGTTTTTGGCAAAGTATCTGTCGCTTCATTCTGGACAATATTTATGATAAATTTTAACTTTATTTTCAAGATGTTTTATTTGGAATCACAAAATATAAAAAATAACTTTCTGAACATTTCTTCTTATGTAATCTTTTGTAAATGTAAAGTTATTGTGACTAAACCCTCCTGTATTTCTTTTCTTAAGGAAGCAACTACTTATTTTTCTACATTGTCCAATAATAAAAAAGCTGCTAAAACTATAACCTTATGCTCTAAATTTAAAGTATTTATATTACTTTTTTTACTTTTAATAACTTTTTATTTTATTTATTTATTTTCTTTTGCTCAAACCCTGGTGATTGTTCACTGTAAATTGTATTTTTTCTCTGTATTATAACATTTTTCTAATAAACTTTATTTAAAAAAAAAGAATATTTAAATTATTAGTAGTTATCAAACACACATTTGAACTTAATGGCCAAAGGATCATTTTATCTTTACAAATAAAAATCATGGGAAAGTCCCAAACTTGGACTGATTGATTTTCATTTGCAGGAATGAATTTTAGAAATGAAATGAAGAAATGAAAGTTTAAGGAGGAGCAGGTTTCTGGCCACGCTCCTCCCTCCTGTTCCCGGGCTTAAAGCAGCCGAGGCGGTTCTGATTCCTGACCAGCAGCGGCGCCTTGAACCCGAAGATGGCGGTGAGCCACAGCTCCATGTTGGTGCTGCTGCACTGTTCAGAACAGGAACGGACCAGAACGTCCTCCTCCTCCAGGCGCTCCTGGAAAACACGGAAACACACAGATAAAGGTCCACACCGGCGGTTCTGATGCGACTGACCGATCCGGACTGGTCCAAAGCCCGGTTGCAGTTTTTCTGGACTCTTTGGCTTCCATCAAAGACCCGGTTCTTCACAGGTTCTGCTAAGGTTCTGGGTTCTATCACTGTTTTTTGTTGGAGTCACCGGTCAGAATCTGGATGGTTACTGGGTGAATCAGAGGGGGGGGGGGGGGGGGGGGGGAGATTTACCATCAGGCAACACTACGCAGGTGCCTAGGGCCCCAAGTTCCTGGGGGCCCCATAAAACTCTGTTTCCATGTATAGTTAATACAACTATTCCTTATTTCTGCTCATTAATTATGTTTTTGATGAAAATCCTTTTGCTAAAATGCCATCAGAACGCTGATAATATTAAGTGTGTCTCAGCCACCATATTGGATCAGTCCATTTGCTGCACATGTTCAGAAAGGTCCAAACAGACAGCAGCAAACCATTTGGAAACAAACCATGCAAAGAGCAGTGTTGCCAACTTAGCGCTTTTTAGGGTTTATAAAGGAATGAGTAACTTTAATTTAATGCTCTTTTAATACTCTTAGAAATAATTTTAATGCCACCAACATGTACCCATGACTCTTATATTTATATATAAAACTAAACTAAAACTTGATCATCTTTACCGTCGACAGGCTGCAGCCATTTCTCGCATTCCTCTTTTCCAGACACTTTAGCTGAAATTTGCATTTTCCTCATTCTCTACATTTTTCTCAGCCTTCAGCTTCTTTTCCGAACGCGGATTTACGATCAACCGGAAGCAGTTTCGCGCAAACACGCGGAGACAGTTATATCTGATATATCGGACGAAATTGTTTTTAATAAAGCATTTTAAATAGAACAATAATCACATTTGTATTTTAATGCCAATTAAACCTTTAATTATGCTTTAATTAAAAAAAATAATAATTTCATGACTTTTAATGATTTTTAATTACCCACAGAAACCCTTGCTTTAGTCGCCATGTTTTCTAAAAAGCTCCTAGCGCCAAATCTAGAGACTTTTTTCTGCTACTGGAGACTTTGGAGACAACATCTAAAAGCAGCGAACTCTGCTCTCCAGAGCGAGTAGATTGGTAACCCCGCCTCCTGCTCTCCTCTATCTTGTCTGCTGTCATGATTCATGCAGCTATTATTTCATCCAAATGAAAAATGGAGAACAGATAAGCAGATCATGGCTTGTCTACAGTGAAAAGAAGGACTGGGTTATTTACTTTGGCCTTTTTGGAAACACAGGAAGGAGCAATCAGCTAAGTGAGCTTAGTGCTTGGAAAAAATCTTTCATTCCTTTAGAGACAGCATGAAAAGTCAGCTGAGTACAAAACATAGAGAGGAAAACAAGAAGAAAAGGGACAAGAAGAGAGGGACACAACCTAGAACAGATAATGGATGTCTATTCTATTAACATTTCTCTATCTAGAGAATGGGCCCCGTGCCTGTCTTTGCCTAGGGCCCCACATTTCCTAATTAAGCCCCTGGGGTGAAGAATTAGCCAGAACTTCTGGATGTCAGGAGGGACGGAGATGAAGACCGGGTCAGGCGGTTCTCTCACCTCCACGCCGCTCTGAAGAACCGCCCATCTGAGCGGGTCCAGGATCTGCCAGAAGGTCAGAACCAACACATCCAGCAGGAGGATCCAGCGCAAGATGAAGCCAGTTCCCTTCAGATGGGTCCGATGCTGAAATCACAGAACCATCAACATTCCATCCTGGGATGTTCTTTCCGGGACCTTCTGAGCACCGGCGTGAAGTTAGTTTGAAGTCATAGTGAATAAAGGAATGTGATTGGTCGATTATCAAGAGGGCGGGATTGTTTTGCTAGAAGGTTCGCAATTATGTTTGGTTGTAGCCGGTTTGTGGGAAGCATGTTGCTAACCAGTTAGCAACTTAGCGCTAGTAGGTTCCCCATGGGAAATTCCATTGGGACCAAGTAGCACTAAATTGTTGACTTAGAAACGACGCTGTCAAGGAACGCTATGGACAGCGGAAACATGCAAGAGGAGGAGAGTTTAGTGTCGGAGGTCGTGGATGAGTCTCCTCCGTCATCCATTTGTTATTTAGAGGAGGAAAGCGGGGACGAAGATGTTGTGGAAGAGGACGCCAGGGCGGCAGAAGCTTGGTTTGGTGTAGAAGGCTTCCAGCCGTACATGTTTGAGCCCTTGCCTCGCAACGCTGCCAGTTCTGTTAGCTCTACGCCTGCCGAAGACACAGACGTCCATCCCCGTGAACACTGGGACGCAACTCAATGGGAAAGGAAAGGATTCTGGTTTCAACCGTTGCGTATATTAGCTGCGACACATGAATCAAGATGCTATGACCGAAAATATTTGATTGACAGATGACCGTTGATATATGATTGGCTGAATTTAGGTGTTCAGGCTGACGTAGAACTAACTGGCCTGCAGAAGATAACGGAAAAAAAACCTGATTTTAAGACTTTTCTAAATTTTGGGATATTATTGTCTGATAAAGAGTACATTTATATGCATGTTTAAGCCAGAATGATTTGACATTTAAATATGATTTCCCTACGACGTCCCTACGTATCGGTGCCCTATTTGTCGGTGTATTCTTAATTCGATTTTGTCGTTGACGTGAACATTACTTTAGGATTTGTTCTATAGTTGATTTTGAGTCGGTGGCTGACCTGGCCTATAAGCTCTTGAAGAAAAACACAAAATTTAAACAATTCCTAAAAAATATGACAATGACTTCAAATGGAATTATTATGTATTTGGCTCATTTGTATAATTTGTTAGCACAACTTGACATTGGTTTTGCTTCAGTGGACCGCAATACAAGGACATTTTTAAATTTTTTTGGTTTCTCAAGAGTTTTTGGTTCGGAAATTTGTTGACGGTCCCTAAAAGAAAGAGGGCTGCCTGCCAAACTCTGAGCTCCTGAATCGGATCGACGGTGAGCTAAGTGCCTCTAACTCTGCGGAGCTTGAATATATAAAATATCGAGCTTCAAACTAACTTCACAGCCGTACCTTCAGCCTGGTTCTGGTTTTACCTTCTGCTGGACCCTGCAGAGAGAGTAGACCCTCCAGGTTCTGGTGAACAGCGCAGAGAAGCTCACGGTGTGACCCACTGACAGAGTCCACAGACGGACCTGCAGCACGGAACATCTCACACTCAGCCGACCGGTTCAGCCCAGAAGCTCCGTGCTCCTGGTGCTGGACTCACCGAGCAGAGGATCTCCAACGTCTGGTCCGGCAGCGAGGTTCTGTCCAGCCCGGAGCACAGGACCGACGAGGAAGTCAGCAGGAGGCCCAGCAGAACCAGCTGGTCCTGGGACGGACTTCCGGACCTCAGCAGCCTGGAAGCAGAAGGACACCTGAGCGTTCTGGAGGTTCTGCCTTCACTTGGATCCGAGGTGGACCTACCGGCGCCTGTGGCCGACGAGGATGAGGCAGAGGAAGATGAGGGAGATGAAGATGGTTCCAGCAGCAGCCGACGAGATGACGGCGTAGAGAAGGAGGCTGACACGGCGCTGCTGCAGGCGGACCGCGGTCTGATCCTTGGCCGGTCCAGAACCTGCAGGATCAGTTTGGACCACCTGAATAATGTCGACTTTCATGCACAAAATAGACGTTTATTCAGACGCATGATGGAAACCCAAAAGGTCCAACTCCGATAGGATCGGCCTAATGCCAGAATGGGATCCATCAGTAATGAGCGGCCTGCTTTCAGACCTTTAAACTTCAGCCGCTGGGTGGTGATTCGGAGCTGCTGGGTGGTCGTGTTGAACTCTCCCACCAGAACTCCTCCATCCCCTGAAGACAAACAGACGCAGCTCAACGTCTAGAAAGGGGTCAAACTCAGCAGATGGAGTCGCTCCTCACCCTGGAACTGGATCAGCTCCATCACCGTCATCCTCTCCCCGTTCCGGAAGGAAACCGGACCCTGAAATAAGACAGCACCCCTGACGCTGATTGACCTTTTGACCTTTCAGAAACTTCAAAACGAAAGCGGCACAAACAAAGACGAGAGCATCCGTTCTCCTCACTGTGACTCCTTCGAAGTGGGTGTTCTTCACCGCCTCCAGAAGCAGCTTCGCCTTCTCCTCCTCATTAACCGAGACGTTCCTCGGCGAACCGTACTTCGCTCTGAGTTTCACCGCCTCCGCCACCTGAACCAGGGCCCTGGCAGCCACCCAAACAGCGTCGTAGGCGAAGGCATGCAGGGGGCTGACCCCTGACCCGTCCAGCACCAGCTGCTCCAGGTAAGACTCCAGGTAGCCCTGAGGAGTCTGCGGACAGAACCCAGAGAGAAAAGGGTTCTTTAAGGTCCCTCCGACATTATAGACGGACTCAGGGCCGTTTCTCAATTTAAAAGAATGCGAATACGGACTCGTGTTCTAACCAAGTCTGTTCTTGAGAAGAACACAGGAAAGTCTGGACTCGGGGAGAACGGGAGCACGCATCATAAATCTGGGTCAATTGAACGGAAGCATACTGATGACATCACCATATTTAAGCTAGTCTGGAGCTGCATTTCACCTCCTGTTATTGTCAGGACTCCTGTCTTTGTGTTTGTGTTCTGTGTTTGTCTCCCTTCTTCCACCAGGAGGCGCCTGGTTCTGGTCCGCCTCCTCACACACCTGCTGATGGTTTCCTCGTTAACTGAGTGTTCTTAAGCTGCTGACTGTCACTACCTGACGCCAGAGTGTTTGCCAGTTTAGGGTACTCTAGCCAAGCTGAGTTTGCTGAGTCAACCTGAGTTTTAACATTGTTTATGTCTTTGCTTCTCGGCAGGAAGTCATCCTGCAAACTGGATTTTTCTGACCTTCTCTCCCTGGAAGGATGAACAGAGCTTCAAGCTGAGCTGGGGTTCAAACAGGAGGTTTGGATCCACTTTCCCCCAGAGATTGTTTGAGCTTTACACTGAGGAAGGGATTATTCTCCACTACGACCCGTTCAAGTACCGCAGGAAATCTGAGTGGCAGTCAGCTTCTCCGTTCACCTACAAACACCCGCATTCTGGGTAAACCCTGTTCCGCCCTCCATCGAATCAGACAAACACTGGAACTACAGTTTTTAGACTAGAGTCAAGGATTCAACAACATCTCTGGAAATGTGAGTCAGCAAACAAAACCTCTTCTCCAAGTTTCACGAGTCCAATTTCCCACGTAGCCTGAACTAACCGCTGTGTCTTTCCCTCACTTTACAGTTCCGGTTGAGCAGCGTTCAGAGCAACACTTCTCTCAGCATCATCTCTTCAATAAAACCTGTTAAACCTTTTCTCCTGGTCTCCTTGTTTGGTCTTCAGCATTTGGTCTGAACTTTAAGTAAATTCATGACAGTTATTAATAGTCTCTACATAATAATTAATGATTTTTTTTCTTTTAGTGGAGGAATAATGATGAACACAGTCAGATAAACACAAATCAAAAGAATGTTTTGCAAAAATGAAAACAATGAAACCTCCATCAGAGCCAGCGTTGCTTCCCACACGGGCTAACGTTAGCCCTGGCCGCTGCAGACGGGCTAACGTTAGCCCTGGCCGCTGCAGACGGGCTAACGTTAGCCCTGGCCGCTGCAGACGGACTACCGTTAGCCCTGGCCGCTGCAGACGGACTAACGTTAGCCCTGGCCGCTGCAGACGGGCTAACCTTAGCCCTGGCCGCTGCAGACGGGCTAACCTTAGCCCTGGCCGGTGCAGACGGACTAACGTTAGCCCTGGCTGCTGCAGATGGGCTAACATTAGCCCTGGCCGGTGCAGACGGACTAACGTTAGCCCTGGCCGCTGCAGACGGGCTAACGTTAGCCCTGGCCGCTGCAGACGGGCTAACGTTAGCCCTGGCCGCTGCAGACGGGCTAACGTTAGCCCTGGCTGGTGCCAGGGCTAATAGAAAAGAGAACGTTTAACTAAATACTCTGAGCTCTGTAAGTGCTAACCTGGAAGCTGCTGCTGCCGCACTGCATGCTGGGACAGCTGTCAGTCTGGAGAACTGACAGGCCTGCTCTGATGCATGCTGGGTAAAGAGGGAGGGGCCAGAACAACATCCGGGGATGTTTTTTTAACCCATAACAAGGGTTTTGTTTGGGCTGCTGGATAAAACCTGGAACTAAACGCTATTTCTGACATTTTGAATTGAAAAATCTTCCTGGATGGAAGAGAAACGTCTTCAAACCTGGAAACAAAGTCCAGTGGATTGATTTTTAACGCTTTTGGAGTGACATCTAGGGTTTGTCTGATGATGTTTCACTAGTACACAAGAACGCACAAGTTCCTACATTGAGAAACGGCCTTAGCGTTGGAGCAGAGAAGGTTCTGACCCGTCCAGAGACTCCAGGGGTGTTGGCGTTTCCTAACTGTCGGACCTGCAGCCTGAAGGATCCGTCTGAAGCCATCATCAGACTGTCGGCAGAACAAGCCGAGGGCTTCCATCCCAGCATCCATCCAGAGGCTCCTCCAGCCGCTAGAATCCACTGGTACCGAGGTCCGAACAGGTTTAGCCTGTACGCCTGAGCGTCACACAGAAACACACAGTTTATGTTCTGATGTTCGGAAGCAACCAGAGTCGGACAGAGAGGAGAAAGCGGCTGAAGCTGGAACCCGGAGTCAGACTCACACAGCAGAACACCTCCGTCACAGAACCGGCCTCAAACTGTCCGACGATGATGCGCACGTCTTCATCCTGTGGAGCCAAAAACAAAAACAAAGTGAAGCAAGGAGACGTTTCCAGAGGAAGGCTCTGCCCGAGACTCAAACACCAGCCGAGTGTCTTCAGTCAGAGGCCAGAAACAGACCACTACAGGAAACCCTTCCTGCTTCAGCATCAACACCTACAAAAGCTACGCGTTACCATTTCCCTTGAGGATCAGTAAAGATGTTTGAACTGAACTGGAAGAGACCCGATGGTCCTCAGCATAGGCGACAACTTCTATCGTCATTTTCTATACACAGAGTGTATAGGGGCAGGTGGGCTCTCCTCATCCTCCGCAGGAAGTCCAAGCGCTTCTGGGCCCTTTGGACCAGTGAGGTGGTGTTTCCAGTCCAGGTGAGGGTGTCTGTGATGAATGTGGTGCTGCTGACCACCTCTACAGCTGAGCTGTTGATGAGCAGTGGAGCGTGGTCAGGCCGCTTCTTCCTGAAGTCCACCATGATCTCCTTGGTCTTCTCCACCTTCAGGATCAGGCTGTTATCTCTGCTCCACCAGCTGCTCCACCTCCTCTCTGTAGTCCAGGTCGTTGTCGTCTCTGATGAGGCCCACCACCGTGGTGTCGTCTGCAAACTTCACCATGTGATTGGTGGTGAACCTGGGGACGCAGTCGTGCGTCATCAGGGTGAACAGCAAGGGGCTCAAGACGCAGCCCTGAGGGGAGGGGCTTAGACTGAGGACATCAGAGGCGTTCTGTCTGACCCGGACTGACTGAGGTCTGTTGGTGAGGAAGTCTAGCAGCCAATAGCAGAGGGGTGTATTGAAGCCCAGCTGTTCCAGTTTGCCCATCAGATGCTGTGGGATGATGGTGCTGAAAGCTGAACTGAAGTCCAGGAACAGCATCCATCGTGGGTGTTCTTCTCCTCCAGGAGTGCCAGGCTCAGGTGGAGAGCAGCAGAGATGTCAGTGGAGCGGTTCCGTCGGTAGGCGAACTGGAACGGGTGGAATGTTGGCGGCAGACTGGAGACGATGTGTTCTTTAACCAGCCTTTGGAAGCACTTCATCATGATGGGAGTCAGAGCGACAGGCCGCTAATCATTGAGGGAGGCGACCTGAGGCTTCTTTGGGACTGGAATAATGGAGGCAGGCCATGATAATGATGATCATGATGATTTACAGCTTTATTTTAGCAATGAAACAAACATTTAGCAGCCGCACCTTCATCTTCAACTGACAGGACCACAGTCTTCCTCGGCTAGATTAGTGCGTCCAGAGCCACAAGTGGCTTTTTGGATCTGCATATATGAAATGGCTTTCGGGACGTACCTTCAGCTTCCTTAAGGCGCTGCAGGCGTCTTCAGAGAAGCTCTCTGAGGCGGCGAGCTGAATGTCAGTCCTCACAAGCTGTCGGATCAGATCTTTTCTCATCTGCAGAAACAAGAGCGTGAGTTGAGTCAGGGTTTGGAGACGAGGAACCACATGAGGGGAAGGTTCAGCACCCGGGGGACTCTAAGCAGAGGGAAGATGTCAATCAATTCAGCTACACTCCTGCTTTAAAGTCCAAAAGGTTTGAATTTCTGTCAACAGCTTTAAACAACAACAACAAAAAGCAAAAAAATTTGACACCATTTTCGTTTGTTTGAAGAAGGTGTTGGTGGGCAGTCTTCATCTACATTTTGTCCCTTTTCTTCTTGTTTTCCTCTCTATGTTTTGTACTCAGCTGACTTTTCATGCTGTCTCTAAAGGAATGAAAGATTTTTTCCAAGCACTAAGCTCACTTAGCTGATTGCTCCTTCCTGTGTTTCCAAAAAGGCCAAAGTAAATAACCCAGTCCTTCTTTTCACTGTAGACAAGCCATGATCTGCTTATCTGTTCTCCATTTTTCATTTGGATGAAATAATAGCTGCATGAATCATGACAGCAGACAAGATAGAGGAGAGCAGGAGGCGGGGTTACCAATCTACTCGCTCTGGAGAGCAGAGTTCGCTGCTTTTAGATGTTGTCTCCAAAGTCTCCGGTAGCAGAAAAAAGTCTCTAGATTTGGCGCTAGGAGCTTTTTAGAAATCAAAGTGCTAGAGGGGTCTGAAAAGTGGCTAAATATAGCGACTAAAGCGCTAAGTTGGCAACACTGCTCTTTGCATGGTTTGTTTTCAAATGGTTTGCTGCTGTCTGTTTGGACCTTTCTGAACATGTGCAGCAAATGGACTGATCCAATATGGTGGACACTGAAGGGGGGGCTGAGAAACACTTAATATTATCAGCGTTCTGATGGCATTTTAGTGAAACGCTTTTTTATCAAAAACATAATGTGCACAAATAAGGAATAGTTGTATTAACCATACATGGAAACAGAGTTTTATGGGGCCCCCAGGAACTTGGGGCCTAGTTTTGCCTAATGGTAAAATGGCAAAGTAGTATGGGGAAAGGGCAGGTGCTCTAGCACCATCTAGTGTTTATCTGTGCACATCCAGCAGAAGAACATCTAGATTCTTCAGTCAGAGGCGAGGAGGAAGATGTTCCTGCAAGATGTTCAGACATGGTTGGCTGAGAGCAGAGTAGGCGGTGGGCAACTGCCTAGTATTGCCAAATGTTAAATCCCCCCTGGGTTATACTCCTGGTTCAAAAGACAAAAGTTCCAACCTTTAAAGGCCTAGATGATCTGTTGGGTTTTCCAGGTTGGGTGAAGTTCTGTGTTAGTTTTCCCCTTTTACCTCCCTGATTCATTTTAGTTTCAGTTTGATCCTAAAAGTTTTCAAAAGACTCTACCCTTCCTGGACTTTTTTTTACCTTTAGCTTTGAATGAAGTTTGTCCACAAACATCTGGCGAACGTCTCTCCTGATTATCTGTTACCGTTTACAGATCAGTATTTCACATGTTTCAACAGAAATAAGGTTACACTCTTAAACAGACCAACAACCAGCAGAATGTGGGCAGCTATTCTACTGACCCACTTCTATGATTCAGAACAATTTGTTTGTGGTAATTTGTCTCAACCGAAGGTTGTAAGTTCATTAATTCCCTTCAGCCTCCATTATTTGTCAGACCTGCAAAAACATCAGAGATCTTGGCTGTGAACTGGCGTCCCTGGGTGGGTTCGCAGGGAGTCAGACATGATGGAGGCCGATGGGAAGAAGAATGGCTGACAGGATGTAAAAACAGAAAGCAGCTGACCACCGTGTGCTCCTGCTCTGGTTTGATGTCAGCAGCTCATGTGATCAGTCTCACCTCAGCCGGACGCGGTCGGTCCTGCACCAGCAACCCTATCCTCCTCCACCTGTAGCGCTGCAGAAGCTTCACCGCAGCCAGGTTTACAGCGCGGAGCGATGGAACCGTGCTGAACAGGTGCCCGTACCACTTCCTGTTGGACAGGTTGGGGGGTGGAGCCCTGAAGGACACCTACGGTGACGGAGGAGCAGGAGATCAGTGGTGATACAGAAAGGCGACGGAAGGAGGAAGAGGAGGCTGAATGACACACCTGCAACAGGTTGAGAGCCTGCAGAGAACGAGCGACCAGCGACGTCACAGGTAGACACACCCCTCCCAACATCAGCGGGTACCTGGGCCCCGCCCACAGGGCGTCAAATAAGACTTTAAGAGCTTCAGCAGGATCACACTGGAAACACGAGGATGAAGATCTTAAGATGAAGAACATCTGGAGCTGGAGAGGCGGGTCTGATCAGGGCCGAGGGGTCCCTACGCGACGGGAGGATTCACAATAGGATGAAAGGGCGTGGGGGGCGGGGCTTTAAGGACCACTTAACGCAAATACTTCTATGTGTGACATCAAAAATAACAACGCCGACATTAAAGCCCCAAATAATACACATCAAAATATACCTTTTATATGTACTTATGAATACTTTGTATTTATTTAGTAAGTGAAGTAAATATTTGTAGTTTTAAATAAATGTATTATTTGAAAATTAATTATTAATAATACTTTTAAATCCATTTGAACTATTTAACTTCACCAGTTAATGGTTTGTTTTGAATTAGAATTAAGTATTAGATAAATGAATAAATAAATGCTACATCTACTTATTTTATGGAACATCAACATGTTTTTATTTCATTTTGGCGTCCATGTTACTCAACGATCATGTCATAGATTATGAAAGCCATCTAGTAATTCCTGGCTCCTGAACCCCCCACCGGTTCATGACCCTCTGCTGGTTACTGATCCGTGGCTAGTTTCTGACCCTCAGCTGTCATTTAAATCCCATATCAAAGAGGTTTGAATAATTTCCTTCTTTCATCTGAGGAACATTGCAAAAATTAGAAATCTCCTGTCCAGGGGTGATGCTGAGAAACTAGTCCATGCATTTGTTACTTCAAGGCTGGACTATTGTAATTCTTTACTATCAGGAAGTCCACAAACTGTAGTTAAAAGCCTTCAGCTGATCCAAAATGCTGCAGCCAGAGTCCTGATGAAAATGAAAAAGAGAGATCATATCTCTCCTATCCTGGCTTCTCTTCATTGGCTTCCTGTTAAATCCAGAATAGAATTTAAAATCCTCCTTCTCACATATAAAGCCTTAAATGGCCAAGCTCCATCTGATATCAGAGATCTGATTGTTCCTTATGTTCCTAACAGAGCACTTCGCTCTCAATCTGCAGGTTTACTAGTGGTTCCTAGAATTTCTAAAAGTAGAATGGGAGGCAGATCTTTTAGTTCTCAGGCTCCTCTCCTGTGGAACCAACTACCAGTTTTAGTCCCTGAGGCAGACACCCTGTCTACTTTTAAGGCTAGGCTTAAAACTTTCCTTTTTGATAAAGCTTCTAGTTAGAGTGGCTCAGGTTATCCTGATCTATCTCTATAGTTCTGCTGCTATAGGCTTAGACTGCTGGAGGACATAGGGACCCCTTTTTCATCATTCTGCTTCATTCTATCTCTATTCTCCCACTCTGCAGAATCTGTTAGTTCAATCTCTAACGTTCTGCTCTCTCTGCTTTTTCTCATAGTAGCTTCATCTGGTCTGTTCCTGTTTGGCTGTGACTCCATCCTGGAGAGAAATATCAGCTGTGCTGCTGCCATCAGGACCACAGACCCTCTGCTGGTTCCTGACCATCGACTCGCTCCTGAACCTAAAGGTCAGATAGTTAAACTAAAACAATAAACCTCAGATATCTCTACAAACCATCTCATCAGGACTCTCTGCAGCTCTCGGTACCAACCTGTGAGCTCAGCAGCTGCAGTTGGACCTCATAGCTCCCCAGCGGTCCCGCCTGCTTCTCCAGGTCCTGCAGAGCCAATCTGACGGCGGGAACCACGGCGGCCGTCAGGTTGTCCCGACCAAACTCGAAGCTGACCGGCATCATCCATAGCAAGGGCAGCGGATCCCGGACCCTAGCCAGAACCAGTCCTGGCCCAACCACCAGCAGCAGCTTCAGCGCCGGTCCGAACCGAGCCATGCCTGCTCCTCTGCAGACCTCTGATCCTCTCAGGGAGGATTAATCCTCTCGGCCTGTAAGAGGCTGGCAGGTGGATTGAAGAGATAAAAGGATCAGCTGCAGCACAAGATGGCACCAAGAAACCCAGCTGAGCCCCAGAACCCACCAGTTTCATATCACTACACTCCTTCTTTTGTCATAAACAAAATACGATTTTTTTTCCCCCAAATTCAAGACCTAGGTATATGTTTTTTACTGGCGTACAAAAAGAGCCGTACATGAATATCAAAGGTATTTATTCTGGCCCCCAAAACATATTTTGGCCCAATAAAAGAATTTCAGCCCCATATATATATATTTTTACAATTTTAGTAATTAAAAATATATTTTTTTAAAGGAATTTAAAATTTTTAATAAGTTAATTTTCTTTATTCTAAATTTAATTATTATTTTTCTATGTCTGCTTCTGTCTCCTTGAACCCCAGTGGGCCTCAGCAGATGGCCGCTCACACTGAGCCTGGTTCTGCTGGAGGTTTCTTCCTGTTCAATGGGAGTTTTTCCTCTCCACTGTCGCTACAAGCATGCTTAGTGTGAGGGATTGCTGAAGAGTCAATGAGTCGATGCAATCAGCTGGTTTTCCTTAGATAGAAAACTTTGAATCAATCTGACTGGATGATCTGGTGAACTGGAAAGTGACCTGAGATGACATGATGTGAATTGGAGCTATAGAAATAAACTGAATAGAATTTAATTAATTTGTTTTTTGTCGTTTTGAATCCACATCATACTTTTTTGGGGCCAAAATAAATCATTGCCCAGATTACATAACTGCAAATCAATGTGACTTCTGTTGTTATTTTTGGGAGACAAGTTCAGGCAAAAATCTGGTTTTGATTTCCTTTTTTATTTTGTAACTGAAACACACAGAAGAAAAAACTAATCACTGACTAATATTGGGATCTGAACATCCTCAGCACATTCTACACTTAGTTAGCTTAAGTTTAACACAAATTTATCTGAGACATTTCTCATACTCTACAAAAAACTATTTCAACACATATTCAAGTGTTTTCTGAGCAGAACAATACTCACAAAGACCAATATTTTCCATAGCAGAGGCGTGTAGAACATTTAACAGTTTCTGTAGCTTATTTGCTGAAACGGGATTTTCCAGAGAAAAAAATACGTCAAAGATATGTTCAATGTATAATTATAATAATATAATATAATTATAATTTTTATTTTTTCTGACACTTTTTATGTTTTTGTACGGTGACCTTGAGTGTCCAGAAAGGCGCCTTTTTAAATAAAATGTATTATTATTATTATTATTATGTGAGAGCACTCACTACCTAACGTATTTAACTTAAAGCTCGAACAAAAACGAGACGTCTCACTGTGATTATTTATAAACCCGAACTGTTTTTAGCTGCTTTTTTAACAAAAGGCACAAGTGCTGCTCTCATGTCATCATCGCAGCAAAGTCGCTTCCTTTTCTTCATTTTTACGTCCAGCATAAGGGCCACTGGAAAAAAAAAAAAAACGTTTACTGATTTTAAAATTTTATTTCAATTTAGTATTGGAAAAAAGTCAGAATTCTGACTTTTTTCTCAGAATTCTGACTGAATTCTGACAGCTAACAAACATGTTAGCATCAAGCCATAGCCATGTCTGTTTTAGAGACTAGCTCTCTTGTTTTAATGACCTTCTGCTCCTCCATTAATGAGGCGACCCCTCGGGCACGTAAAAAGTTGCCTAATTCCGTCATTTTCCACCAATGTGTCACTGGCCACCTCAAACAACTCACATCTTTGTCAGTGAAGCTGAGAGCTCCACAGCTCTTCCTTCATGGTGCCCATCTACATTAAGATCCACAATTCTGAGATTAGAGTCAGAATTCTGAGGAAAAAAAGTCAATTTTTTTTTTCTCCAGTGGCCCTAATCCTCTTCCGTAGAATAGGATTACTTGCAAGTTTTGTAACAAATGGTATAAAAAATTCCAGAGCTTTTTTTTAGCAATTATTGGGAACTGTTGCAAGTGATGGCCAAGCAGGGCAGAGGTGCCGGCGAACACCTGAGACCAAATCATTAAACATAGGTTAACCCTTTATAGGGCACTCATTGAAAAACTTTGAAATGTTAAATTTCCATCTCAGGGTGTCATTGTGGTATATACACTATATTGCCAAAAGTATTTGCTCACCTGCCTTGACTCACATATGAGCTTAAGTGACATCCCGTTCCTAATCCATAGGGTTCAATATGACGTCGGTCCACCCTTTGCAGCTAGAACAGCTTCAACTCTTCTGGGAAGGCTGTCCACAAGGTTTAGGAGTGTGTTTATGGGAATTTTGGACCATTCTTCCAGAAGCGCATTTGTGAGGTCGCACACTGATGTTGGACGAGAAGGCCTGGCTCTCAGTCTCCGCTCTAATTCATCCCAAAGGTGTTCTATCGGGTTGAGGTCAGGACTCTGTGCAGGCCAGTCAAGTTCATCCACACCAGACTCTGTCATCCATGTCTTTATGGACCTTGCTTTGTGCACTGGTGCACAGTCATGTTGGAAGAGGAAGGGGCCAGCTCCAAACTGTTCCCACAAAGTTGGGAGCATGGAATTGTCCAAAATGTCTTGGTATGCTGAAGCATTCAGAGTTCCTTTCACTGGAACTAAGGGGCCAAGCCCAGCTCCTGAAAAACAACCCCACACCATAATCCCCCCTCCACCAAACTTTACACTTGGCACAATGCAGTCAGACAAGTACCGTTCTCCTGGCAACCGCCAAACCCAGACCCGTCCATCAGATTGCCAGATGGAGAAGCGCGATTCGTCACTCCAGAGAACGCGTCTCCACTGCTCTAGAGTCCAGTGGCGGCGTGCTTTACACCACCGCATCCGACGCTTTGCATTGCACTTGGTGATGTATGGCTTGGATGCAGCTGCTCGACCATGGAAACCCATTCCATGAAGCTCTCTGCGCACTGTTCTTGAGCTAATCTGAAGGCTACATGAAGTTTGGAGGTCTGTAGTGATTGACTCTGCAGAAAGTTGGCGACCTCTTCGCACTATGCGCGTCAGCATCCGCTGACCCCGCTCCGTCAGTTTACGTGGCCTACCACTTCGTGGCTGAGTTGCTGTCGTTCCCAAACACTTCCATTTTCTTATAATACAGCTGACAGTTGACTGTGGAATATTTAGGAGCGAGGAAATTTCACGACTGGATTTGTTGCAAAGGTGGCATCCTATCACAGTTCCACGCTGGAATTCACTGAGCTCCTGAGAGCGACCCATTCTTTCACAAATGTTTGTAAAAACAGTCTGCATGCCTAGGTGCTTGAATTTATACACCTGTGGCTATGGAAGTGATTGGAACACCTGATTCCAATAATTTGGATGGGTGAGCAAATACTTTTGGCAATATAGTGTATCAATAATAATAATCTGTAATTACATTATTAAAAAAATTTCATTTTCATGCTGAAAATCACAGGAAACGAAGTGATCATATATGGTAACTTGCCCCGTTCTGGTAAAAAAAAATCTAAAAAGAACACAAGATAGAATTTGTTGAAAAAACATGAAATAGTTTAATAAACATTTGTTTAGACCATTTAATAACATTATGAAACCACTTTAACAAGATAATACTTCATAGAAAACATCTAAAATCATGACAGAATATTTTAAATATAGAGTATAATGTAACATTTCATAACAATACAATATAATAATAGGAAAATAGAACAATGGATGGATGTTGCAGTGCCTTACTGCTTTCTCATCATAAATAGAACTTTATCATTTTGCAGTATTTTAGAACCTTCAGTGTCTTAGTGCTTTTTCAACATAAATAAAACTTTAAAATTTTACAGTATTTTAGAACATTCAGTGGCTTAGTGCCTTTTCAACATAAATAAAACTTTATTATTTCACAGTATTTTAGAACATTCGGTGGCTTAGTGCCTTTTCAACATAGATAAAACTTTATTATTTCACAGTATTTTAGAACATTCAGTGTCTTAGTGCCTTCTCAACATAAATAGAACTTTGATTATTTCACAGCATTTTAGAACATAAATTTATGTTGAGAAGGCAGTAAGGCACTGAATGTTCCAAAATACTGTGAAATAAAGTTCTTTCACAGTATTTTAGAACGTTCAGTGCCTTACTGCCTTCTAAATATCTATTGACTATCTTTATTTAGGGTTGTGGTACTCAGCAAAGCAGTTGCGTGTTGCATTTAGGCAGAGATGGACCTTGCAAACCCCGCAGAAAACATTGGACCTTGCAATGTTGTCTTTCCTGCTGCAGTACTTGCATGTTTGGCGATGAGTGTAGACAGGAACGTGGAACACGGAGTGGTCGAAACGCACAGCCTCAGTGGGGTTGGAGCAGCGATGTCCTCGGACTGGCTTGGGAACATCAAAGGCAGCTCTCAGACTGTCAGAGCTTCTTCCTAAGCGAACTACAGACAGCCTTTGGTTAGAGGCATGCTTGAACACCTCGATCCGGAAGCTTTTCAGAGACTGGCTGTCCAGTTTCAGTTCCTTGCAGTCCCGCCTGTACATCAGCCAGGCATTTGAGATGGCCAGATCAATAGTGTATGCAAACAGACGCATATACCACCTCTTGGACTTCATGGGGGTGCGGTACAGGTGCACCAACATGTCGCTCTTGTCAACCCCCCCCATGTTGGAATTGTAGCTTTTGATGACTGCAGGACAGCTCACAGGTTCCTTCTTTTTGGATTCACTGGAGAACCTAAAACACGATTTTGTTTTATTGATCACCATTAGTGAAATTTGGTGTTGTAACAGCTCCATAAAAAGTGTAAAAATATAAATGAATGGAGGAAAATAAATGGCTAAGTAAAAAAAAAAATATAAAGGCAGCACTGACATCTACAGGAACAACACAATCAGACAAAACTAAAATAAACAATACCTGTAGACAGATGACAGAGGTTCCACTCCCATGTCTGTCGAAAGCAGAGTGACAACTTTATTGTCCTTCCACCTGAGGACCAGGATCCCATCATCACTGACAACGGAGTGACAGGTCCCACGAGGGACACCTTTTTTCTCCATCTCTGTGATGGACTTTAGGGGAGGATGTCCAATTCTGTTGTCCCTTGCAGTTCCTGTGTATCTGAACACATAAATATGGAATGGATGAATAATGGATCCAATGTAAGTGGGTTACATATCCAGCAGTAAAGTGCAACAAAAATGTAATCATTCATTCACTCACTCACAGAAAGTAATTGTTACCTGCAGTTCTGAGTTTTGAGGTACCGGACTAGCTCCAAGCTGGTGAAAAAGTTGTCAGCGAAGATGGCTGTTGTGGTGGAGGATGACATGGTACTGGCCAGGACAGAGACAATCTGGCTGGTGGCGCCCAAGGCTCTTTGTTCAGGTGTCAGGGGGACACCATGGGCCTCCAGCGTAGTCTTGCCCTGGTATAGGACCATGTCATGGATAAATCCATCCTCGGAGGCCCTGGCAAACAACTTAAACCCCCACTTGTCAGGCTTGTTTTTAATATACTGCCTCAAGTTCCCAGCTGTCTTCCCTTTGAAGGCAACCATCACCTCATCCACTGACTGCTTCGGGGTCTGCTCCTCACTTCTGAAGGCACTGCAGAGGAAGGTGAACAATGGCCGGACCTTGAAGAAGCGGTCAGTGGTGCCAGGGATAAGGGTGTTGTCATTGAAGTGGATCATCCTTCTGAGCAGCCTGAACCTCTTTGATGACATGATGTTGGCAATCTGAGGAACCCTGGTGTCCATGGCCCAGTAGTCATCTATAGATGGCAGTTCTACCATGCCCATGTAGATGAGAATTCCTACAAATTTCATCATCTCATCCTCATTGGTGGTGAAGGTGGTGTTAATGTCCTTTTGACTGGCGTACAGGTTGGTGTGATAAGTTATGTGGCTAATGAATTGTGGGGTAAAGTATCTTAAAAAGTACACAAAAGGTTTCCCAATAAAGTTGGGAGCAGAGTGCTGGTACTCAGGCAGAGGTGAATTTCTTAATTTGGTTTTCCTCCAGGTGGTGGGTCTGGGTTTGGGTTTAGTGGGACCCTTAGCTTGCGGTATAACCTGCTCATCTTGATCTTCATTTTCATCCTCATCTTCCCCATCCTGAAGCACCTCCACTGCAGGCTGCACATGTCTCCTCTTGGCAGGAGGACTCATCTCACTTGTGGTGGGAGTGTCCAGGTTGTGGCTGACTGGAATGTAATCAGGATCGACCTCCACATCATCTTCCTCATCCTCTTCGTCATCGCTGATGGCAGGGTTGGCTGGAACAATCACAACCGCCTTCCTCTTTCCATAAAACATGTTTGTTGAAATCTGCAACAGAAAAATATTATAATTATTGTATATTTTTATTACTGCTACTGTCATTATGTGGATAATAATATGCCATATACTTGAAAAGCACTAAAACTAGTCATAATATCACTTATTCAATATAAACAATTAATAATATAAATAATAATACTATTAAGACATAAAATAACAGTTAAGTGATACAAAATATAATACAAAAACATCCAAAATCACTTATTTTCACCATTTTTAGCTATATAATCTTTAGAAGTGAGATATATATGTGAATAAATCATTATAAAAGCTTCTAAAAGCATCAGATAAGATTCTAATGTATTATTTGTTGGTTATAATGCGTGTTTGGTAAACAGAAACTCAAAAATGTGGCTCAGAAACAAAGAACATATGAGTTAAAGTAGGCGAAACTGATGCAGGTCTGTTTTTACTTGTTTTGGGCATATGCACATATATGTGCTCCCTGTTTTTCATGCTATGATTTCGCCAATTTCCAAAAGTCTCACGAAAAAAACATGTCTGTCATCATTTAGTACAACTTCTCAACCGTGTAATGTGAAAGTTTAATAAACTTACCATGGTTAGTTTTGGAGAGCCGAGTGAAAACGCTAGAGAAATCAAGCCGCGAAGTGGTGATTTCCTGCTCCCGGGAAAACACTGACGTTTCGCGCGTCACAGACACGCGCTGATTGGTCGAACGGCGCAATGGCGCGAACCGTAACAAGCTTAGTCCCTGCTGATTGGCTGGGCCAAATCACGTGACTCGACAAGTATGCGCGAGGCCGCAGTGACGTCATTTAGAAGGTCTCCGGAAGTGCTCAAATATGGTAACTTGCCCGATAAAGGGTTAAGAACCACTTTACTAGATGACAGGTGGGGGGGGGGGGGGGGGGGGGGGGGGGGGGGTCGGGATTTTTCATGCCGACAGCACGAAAAGTCAGTTGAGTACAAAACATAGAGGATAACAATATGAAAAGGGACAAGAAGAGAGGGACACAACCTAGAACAGATAATGGATGTCTATTCTATTAGAATTTCTATATCTGTAGAATGGGTCTGTTTTATGTGTTGTCTTCTCTATTCAGAGGGCCCCCTGCCTCTCTTTGCCTAGGGCCCTACATTTCCTAAATCCGCCCCTGCTAGATGAATAAAACCCGAACATTTGGATCAGATCCAACAGATTGAGCCTTAATGTGGTTTATCTCCTGATTCTGGATTAATTCTCTGAGTCAGGACTTTATAGAACCTCCTCCTCAGCATGATGCTGCCTCCACCATGTCTTCTTGTGGACGTGGAAAAGAAACTTTCCTTCAAAGAACTTGTGTTCTTTGGAAAAACTGAACTTCCTCACCATGTTCTTCATGGCTTCTTCTCATTCCAGTTGGGTGCGCAGTCCATAGACACGGACCAGAACCTCCTCCCTGACTCGTCTTCTCCATTCTTTAAAACATGGATTCCCTGAGTGGGTGTCAGGAGGGGGGTTTGATGATTTTAACATCAGTGTGATGTGAATCCTGAGGCACATAAAGAGCCAAAATATATCTTGGAATAAATCTATTTATTAATCTAATACGTGATTCAAACACCATTCATGTAAAATGTAACATTAAATTATTTTAATTGACACATTTAAATCTTTTCTTTATTTAAATAAATTCTATTCAGTTTATTTCTATAGCTCCAATTCACATCATGTCATCTCAGGTCACTTTCCAGTTCACCAGATCATCCAGTCAGATTGATTCAAAGGTTTCTATCTAAGGAAAACCAGCTGATTGCATCGACTCATTGACTCTTCAGCAATCCCTCACACTAAGCATGCTTGTAGCGACAGTGGAGAGGAAAAACTCCCTTTGAACAGGAAGAAACCTCCAGCAGAACCAGGCTCAGTGTGAGCGGCCATCTGCTGAGGCCCACTGGGATTCAAGGAGACAGAAGCAGACATAGAAAAAGAAGCATAGATACAAAAGGCAACTGTCAACCAGCTCCACAGGCAGAGGAGCTGGATAACTAAAACAAATCTAAACAATCAAACTCTCCTCAAACATGTATTCATTTAAAGTTTTGTTTCTTCCTTTCTTTTAATCAACTTTTATTTTGTTAAATCAGAAACATAAAGGTTTGACTTTATGATCTGAGACACTGTTTCTCGCTAAACATTAATTCAATTTAAATTCAGTTTATTTATATAGCGCCAAATTCACAACACATTCTTCAAGGCATTTTACAGTTCAACCAGATAAAATTTGATACAAAGTTTCTATCAAAGGGAAAAACCCAGTTGATTGCATTGCTCATTGCTCAAATAAAAATCCCCCAAAAAAGATGCTTGTAGCGACAGGGGGGGAAAAAAACTCCCCTTTAACAGGAAGAAACCTCAGCAAAACCGGGCTCAGTGTGAGCGGCCTGTGAGGCCCACGGGGTTCAAGGAGACAGAAGCAAGATAAAAAAAGCAGCTGTAAAAAAGGCGGCCCCGCCCGGGGAAAACACACCCAGGCAAGAGCTCCAACGCCCCCATGCCAAGGCGAAGAAAGAATCCCTCAGTCAGGTCAGAGAAAAGGACCCACTGGAAAAGCCGATCTCCCAAACATCTATAAACAAGGGTGTTGAAGAAGCAGCACAGCTGTGTTTCTTTCCAGGTGAGTCACACCCAAACAGGAACAGACGAGGCAAAGCTACTCTGAGGAAAAGCAGAGAGAGCAGAAGGTTAGAGATTGAACTAACAGATTCTGCAGAATAGGAGAACAGAGAGAGAATGAAGCAGAATGATGAAATGGGGGTCCCTATGTCCTCCAAAAGTCTAAGCCTATAGCAGCATAACTATAGAGATAGCTCAGGATAACCTGAGCCACTCTAACTATAAGCTTTATCAAAAAGGAAAGTTTTAAGCCTAGCCTTAAAAGTAGACAGGGTGTCTGCCTCACGGACTAAAACTGGTAGTTGGTTCCACAGGAGAGGAGCCTGATAACTAAAAGATCTGCCTCCCATTCTACTTTTAGAAATTCTAGGAACCACTAGTAAACCTGCAGATTGAGAGCGAAGTGCTCTGTTAGGAACATAAGGAACAATCAGATCTCTGATATAAGATGGAGCTTGGCCATTTAAGGCTTTATATGTGAGAAGGAGGATTTTAAATTCTATTCTGGATTTAACAGGAAGCCAATGAAGAGAAGCCAGGATAGGAGAGATATGATCTCTCTTTTTCATTTTCATTAGAACTCTGGCTGCAGCATTTTGGATCAGCTGAAGGCTTTTAACTACAGTTTGTGGACTTCCTGATAGTAAAGAATTACAATAGTCCAGCCTTGAAGTAACAAATGCATGGACTAGTTTCTCAGCATCACCCCTGGACAGGATATTTCTAATTTTTGCAATGTTCCTCAGATGAAAGAAGGAAATTCTAGAAACCTCTTTGATGTGGGATTTAAATGACAGGTCCTGATCAAAACAACACCAAGATTTTTTACTTTATTATCTGAAATCAGTTTAATCCCATCCAAATGAAGTGACTGGCTAATCAGCTTCTTTTTCAGAGACTCTGGTCCAAAGACTATAACTTCTGTTTTGTCTGCATTCAGAAGCAGAAAGTTAAGAGTCATCCAGGTTTTTATGTCTTCAAGACATGCCTGTAATCTATGTAATGGGTTAGCTTCATCTGGATTTATAGACAGATATAGCTGGGTATCATCAGCATAACAGTGGAAATTAATCCCATGCTGTCTAATAATTCTACCAATTGGGAGCATGTATAAAGTAAAGAGAATTGGTCCTAGCACTGATCCCTGTGGTACTCCACAGGTAACCTTTGAGCGTGTTGAAGATCTATCATTAACATGAACAAACTGAATTCGATCAGATAGATAAGATTTAAACCAGTCTAGTGCTGTTCCTTTAATTCCAACAAAATATTCAAGTCTTTCTAAAAGAATATTATGGTCAACTGTATCAAATGCAGCACTAAGATCCAACAGGACGAGCACAGATACAAGTCCATTATCTGAGGCCATGAGAATATCATTAGTGACTTTCACCAGAGCTGTTTCAGTGCTATGATGAGCTCTAAAGCCAGACTGAAACTCTTCAAAAAGTTCATTATGGTGGAAGTGATCGCAAACTTGTTTGGCAACTACTTTCTCAAGAATTTTGGATAAGAAAGGAAGATTGGATATAGGTCTATAATTGACCAAGTCATCTGGGTCAAGAGACGGTTTCTTAAGCAGAGGTTTAATTACAGCAACCTTAAAAGCTTTAGGTACATATCCCTGTAACAGAGATAGATTAATCACATCTAAAATGGAGGAGGAGATCAAAGGGAATACCTCCTTAAATAACCTGGTTGGAACTGGATCTAACATACAAGTTGAAGGCTTAGATGAAGACAATAATTTTGCTAATTCAGAGAGTTCAACTGGATCAAAGCAGTCTAAACCCAGTTCAGATTCCATGACTACCTCAGGTACAATCGCGGATAGAGGAGTGCTTATGATCTTATTTTTAATAAGATCAATCTTATTTATAAAGAATCCCATAAAGTCATTGCTGCTAAGAGCAGGTGGAATGGACGGTTCAACAGAGCTATGGCTCTGGGTGAGTTTGGCAACTGTATTAAAAAGAAATCTAGGATTATTCTTATTCTCCTCTATTAATGAGGAGAAGTATGCTGCTCTTGCTTTACAAAGGGTCCTCTTATACAGCAGTAAACCATTTTTCCAGACTAGGAAGGACTCTCGCAGGCCTGTGGAGCGATATTTTCTCTCCAGTTTCCTAGCATTTTGCTTCAAAGTACGCAGCTCTGCATTAAACCAAGGAGCAAGCTTTCTATTTTTAACGGTTTTCATTTTCAAAGGAGCTGCGTTGTCTAAGGCAATACGCAGAGAACTAGCAACCCCATCAACAAAATCATCAACCTGTGAAGGGGAATAAGCTAAACTTTTGCACTCTGCAGCACTGCTCAGTGACACAGAGGAGAGAGAAAGTGAAGCAGATTCTTTAAAATTTATAACTGCACTATCTGATAAAGATCTACTAAAATTGAACTGAACCTTCTTTTGGGGGAGGAGAACTCTGTTAAAGTAATCCTGAAGGTTATTAGAAAGTGGTCAGAGAGGACAGGGTTGTGAGGAAATACTGTTATTTCTTCACATTCTATGCCGTATGTCAGCACAAGATCCAAAGTATGAAGATGAGAATGCGTGGGACTATTCACATTTTGAACAAAGCCAATAGTGTCTAAGATAGCATTAAAGGCTGCTCTTAAGCTATCGCCTTCAATGTCAGCATGGATGTTAAAATCTCCCACTATGATGACCCTGTCAGTATTTAATACCAAATCAGAAAGGAACTCTGAAAACTCATCTAAAAATTCAGAGTAAGGACCTGGTGGACGATACAAAGTTACAAAAAGAAGAGGTTTTCTTGCCTTGAAATTTGGATCAGGGAAATTAAGGGTTAAATGTTCAAAAGAGTTGTAGGTATTAACTGTTTTGGGAGTAATCAGTAAGTCAGACTGGAAGATTGTTGCTACTCCTCCTCCTCGCCCAGAACTTCTGGGGATGTGAAAATTTAAATAGCTTGAAGGAGTTGCCTCATTTATGCTCACATAATCCTCTTGCTGCAGCCAGGTTTCTGTAAGGCAAAACAAGTCAATGTGATTATCACAAATCAAGTCATTAACTAGTAGACTTTTAGAGGAAAGCGATCTTATGTTAAACAGACCGCATTTAATTGTTTTAACTTTTTCCC